CGCGGCTGGGGAAGGCTGCAATATCCTCTCACGACGCAGGAACAGTACGCTGTGCGCCTGCGTGTCCTCGGATGGATAGGGTCGCTAGCTTCCAAATTCTCCAAGTGAGCATTGCCAATGGGATCGGTGCGATGAGCGAGGAGAAGCCGGGGGCAGTTGCGATGTGTGCTCGCGTGCAGAGCGTTTGGTTGGCGGCGAGGAGGAGGGGGGCGTGGAGGGCGTGATGCAGGTACCCGTTTGCTCGTGCTGCAGAGTCGTTCGGAATGCTGCGTTCCAAACACAGCGGCGTCGGTGGTGCAGGAGCTGATCGGGCTATCGATTCGCGTGGTGTGGCCGGGTAGGAGAGAGTGCAGCCGGAAGCCGGTCGTTCGCTGGTGGTGATGTCGCTGGGTGGCAGAGGTGTGGCCGGAAGCGCAGAGGGCTGCTACGCGCAATTGTGCATGCGAGCACGCGTGTGTGGCCCGGCGCGGTGGCTCAGCTTCCACTTCCACTCGACGCGCGGAGGAGCAATAGTGATGATAGATGAAGCGGCAATGGCAGCTAGTGGTTCGCGGCGCTCAATTGTCAATCTTGGAGCAGAGGAAGTCCGGGCCACGCCTCCCGGGTGCTCTTAATTTCTGCCAACCGTCGCCGGTGCACGCGACAACAGGGCGAGGGCGATCGGGAGCGGTCTCGCGCGCAGGGCGGCGGGGAAACAGGCAGGGCGGAGGCAGCGAGAGTGCGCAGCAGGCGTGAAGAGAAGAGATGGTGCAACTTGCGTTGATGACAGAACGTCCAGTCGCAGCAGCAGCGCACACCCCCCAGCATCAGGCTGCACCGCGCGCGCTCCGTCTTCATCATCCCTCGATGTTTTCTAAAGTTTCACACGCTGCTGTGCACGACCAGGGGCTCCCGAGCGTTCCTGCATGACCCGTCCAATAAGCTCCTTCCTCCAGCGATCCTCGCCCGCCGCCAGAAGGGGCCCACCTGCCAGGAACACCGCACCACCCACCATCAACTTCTTCTGTTCAAATTTGATTAGTTACCCACCAGCGAGCCTGCACACGACACGCTACGACACCGGCACCTCCAGAGCAGCATCTGCACCGGCGTTGGCCAACATCGTCGATGCATTGCCGGGTAGCGGAATGCGCATCATTGGTGACAAAACACCCCCAGATATGTTGTGATGTGCTCCATCTGCCTGCCTGCACACTTGCATCTCGCCTCTGGGAGCCGCGGTCGTGGCCAACTTCGGCACTTAGGCGCTGCCTCCTATAGCAGCCCGCCGTCGCTCCCAAGAATCCGGCCGCTGCACTCGGAGCACTCGCTTTGCCCTGTGCTGCCGAGGACGGCGGCGTGCATCATCACGCACTCCCGATGGCCTCGCTTGCGACACTATCGCCAAGCGACCCGTCCGCCCGTGCCATCGCCCTCGCATCCCTACGCCTCGAGGAGGGGGTCGAGAGCGGCTCTGCTCTGCTCTGCGATGATGATGCTGAGATCCTCGCGATTCCGCTCCCTCGCACGCACCGCGAGGTACACGATGCAGTGAGGCTGCAAATCACGACCACAACTCGCGCCACGTCGTCGTCGTCCGACGGTATTGCTGCAGCGTGCATCAACCTTGCTCGAGCTCTCGCTCGTGGTTGACAGTGCATGGCAAACGCTCCTTACTTTGCTTCAGAACCAGCCTGCTGCGAAGGCGCAACCCGTTTCATTGTCGGTCTCACCTGCGCCGCTGACGCCGAACGTTTGGAATAGATGGAGGCAGCATTGTGATAGGTGCCCCCGTAATCAACATCTTCGTGAGCGTGTATCACTCTGTTCAACTCTGCGTCTGGCCGACGCCCACAGAGCCCGCCCGAAATGGAACCTTGCATGGTCACCGCTGCTAATACTTGCCTACTTCTTCCCTCTGATCCATGCACACTTCGCAGCACTAGTTAGTTAGAGAACGGATCAGGACGTTTCGAAATGGCACACTGTATCCGTCGGCATCCATTCTGCGGTATGCCGTATGCGCTCTGACGCCCGTCTTGAACGTTCTGGAGCAACAGACGCAGCTTATAACGGCATATTGACTGTATAGCAGGCGCTTCTGCCAGTGGCCCGCGTAGTCCTGCTCGTAGGTATTATAGGGTCACATCGCTGTTACCGACTGGCGCTAACTGCCAGGGCTGAGTTGATGAACAAGAACCTGTTCTCAACCAGGCGCGGTGCTCCAACAGACTTCACAAGCGCGTGCAGTTCGCGTTTGCACCCAAACGTTCGACGATCGGCCCGTCAACGCCTCTGCCTCGAAGGAGCTCGCGTCCCGTCAGCCTGGCTCTTGAGCTCGGAGCCAGTTTGCCAGTTTGCGCCAACAAACGTCCAACGGCCTCGAGGATGGGCAACATGGATCAGTGCATATTGCATGCTGTCAGCTGAGATGCTGGGCAGAGCTGAAGTATTCCATCAATGGAATCGGTGCAAGTCACGTCAATGCCGAAGACAGTAGTGACACAGTCAAGCCAGCTTCGGGCCCAGCTGCGACGATCTGATCTTGCTTGTACTCCGCAATACCTCGGACACTGAATGACATGAAACAGTCCATCTGAGACAAGATACCACAACGACCCTTCAATGTTGAGATGAAGGCCTGGGCGACTTGCGTTCGAGACCGGCGCTCTGTTACGATGCACACGCAATGCATTGCACAGTGACGATGACCACATTTCCACTCCTCACTGCACCGTCAGTGCCGCAAACGAGCTCATTCTCGACAAATTTGAGACGCTCAGCGCTCTTAACGACGGGCAAACGATTGAACCTGAGGAACAATGTAGGACTCCGAAACGCCTTCTTTGACCAATGACCTGACGACTTTCAGTCGTTGAAAATCGTCGTCCAGCAGGCTCATTCACAGATATTCTGATGCGCAATCATGGGACCCGGTTCCTCTACGTGACTAACAATCGACTCAACATCTGACATCAATGGCAAGTGCGCGTCGCACATGACAGGCAGCCTCCAAGATGACAGCTCGTGAGGCATGGAGGTCATCACGTTGTGTGTGGCGGTGCCGATCTGCACAGCGGCAACGTATACACCACGCCCGCCCTCCTTCCCGCCGGCCTGACTCAGTCTCGATCGCAGGTGCACAGCTGAGCCAGGACGCCAATCGCCTCATCACACGAGCCATCTGTTCGGATTGCAGCAGAATTGCGCGTCAAGGAAAGGGACAAAACTTACAAGTCACGGCATGCAGTGCTGATATTGACTATATTCATGAGATGAACTTCATTCGCCTTGACCACGCAACTTGGCACTGCGCAATACAACCCCACCAGTTGCAGACCAGACCTCCGTGCCCGCGAGTCGAGCAAAGTGCAAGCTAATGCGCAAATTCACCACATGCAATGGTGCCCAGCTCTACAAGCCTGTTCGCCTCACTAATCTTTCGATTCGAACACGGCTGAAGAGACACATTGCTCGTCCCATTCCTGCGAGCTGGTAACTTTCAGCAGATCGAGGCAGAACACAAGTTCGTCGGAAGATATGTATTGCCCCACATGCTCCAATGAACACCCACCGGCCGGTACTTCCTAGCGAAAAGACAAACTATGAGGCCCAAGCGTGCATGCATATACATGCTCATGCTGCAGGCTGCGAGTCATAGCACTAGAGTGCCGAAAGACAAATCCAACCTCATTGGTCTGTGGGCAAATATATAATGTGCTCGATATTGCATGGAATTGTGAAGCTAACAAGGCCTCTCGACGGAACTAACACCTGCCATTAGGAGGATCTCACAGTGGTCGGAGATCACGTCCAATTTTCTACAACTTCACAACACACAAGAACGACTCCGTCTGTAAATGGCGACAACACGGCTATTCTCCAGTTTACCCAAGGTTGTTCGGCGCATGAACGGCCCACGCAACCTTAGACCAGCAACTCGGACGCAGCACGAACGTTTCCTGAATCTGAAGACCAGCTTTCCGGGAGTAAATTTTCGGAGAGGACACCGAGCAAACAAAGTCCGAATTTCACTTAACTATCATAGCTCTTATCTTTGTCATACTCTTCTTCGTAAGAGCATCCACACGCTGAACCAGAGCAAGACCATCATTAATGCCAAGGTCTGACAGCCAAATTGCATATTCAACTCGCCATTAGATCGCTGCGGGCATGTTGACCACCCTCTGCATGTGCCGTCGAGATTGAACGTGACGCAGATTGGAATGCATGGACCGCCTGGAGTGGGTGAGTGCAGTGGGACGCCGCTGAGCCATTGTCGTTCAACGATCGATGGTGAGATTTCTCTAACGAGAGTCGTCATTTTGAGGCGAGTGTCATCGATGGGATGAGGGACCATGACTGTGGTTGTGCTCGTAATGGTCCTCCGCGCACCATGTTTGTGCTTCTGTGGTGGAAGAGGATGTTTGTGCTGGGAATGCTCAGCCTGAGAAGTGGAACTCATATCGATCGCTGTCTGCATAATGATCATGGGTGAGATGGTTTGTTCAAGCGACATTTTCAGACATTAAATACTCATCGCTCACTAGCTATCGTGAACAAATCACAGCCCAGCTATCAACACCACCCATCATACAATATCGCAAACATCAATTTCCAGCGCAAAATTCCATAGAGCCCACCCCTCAAACCGCCGTCGGCGATGGCACTGGCGTCGGCGTAGGCGTACACTTCACCCACTGCCTCTTCTCAAACCCCGCAACCCCAGTCCTCGTTCCCATCACCTGATCCTCACCCTCACCCCTCTTCCAATTCCCACTACAATCACAAACATACTTCTGACAAATATGTCTCGGATCCGTAAAAGTACAAACAAGTCTGCAGTCCGGTTCATCAGCCTCAATTCCAGTCTGACTCTCCTCTCCCGTCACCGTCGTAGTCGTAGCCTCAACAAGACCTTTCCCACCAACCGGCGCAGCCTGCACACCCCACACAACTCTCTCAGGCAGACCCGCAGCGAAGAGCATCAAAACACCTAATCTCCAATCGACCATTCCAGCTGTGACACCGCCGGCGAGGATTGCTAGAATGCGGTCTTTGGGGTTGAGTTTCGAGAGACCGGAGTGGTGAGGTTTGTGCGCGTCCACATGGCCGTGAGAGCAACCATCGATCATTTCCAAGCACGTCCCACTGGGTGAGAAACGAGTGCAGACTGGGCCGCATTTTCCCTGGGCTTGGATGTTGGAGTCGGAGAGTTGTGCGAGGGTGTCCCCAGAGATGGCCGTGTTGGGTAGTGCGGAGGTTTGGAGCGTGGATTTGACGATAGGGCGTTGGATGGTAGAGGCCGAGGATGCGGCCGTGGTCATGGCGGACGTGGCTGGCTGCTGGACGATTGGCTGTGCAGCTGCTAGGAGTGACAGACTGCTTATGATGCAGAGTGTGGAGGTGAGGAACTGCATGTTGGATTGAATCGACGAGTGAATTTGATTGATGAGTGGATGCTCGAGATGACTGAGAGGTAGTCGATGCAGGTTCTGGAGTCAAGTCAGTACTGTGGGACACATTAATATACCTGCCTTCGACCGAGCCACAGAATCCAGTGAAGACTGCGAGGTTCGAAGGCAAACAATAGAGGAAATATTGTGTGGCACTTCTCAAGCACATATGGAATGGTGTTGCAGTAGGTTTGATTCTAGGTATACGACAGCACAAGCCCATTCGGTTCGGATCATTAGGTAACATGCGTCAAGGCAGCATCAACACGACAGCGCCTCTCCAATTTCCGCCACAAGACCTCCTTCTTCTATTCGTCACTCCATCAACGCTCGAAATAGGACGGGATCAGGAGCGTTCGTCCTCTCAGCGATCATCGAATGAGGACTTCAGACCCAGTAGAAGTCGTCATCTTGCGAAAAAGCCAGTCCATCATCGTAGTATCCGAGGAAGTGGTCATCGGCGTTGAGGTACGGCTTTTCAGTCTTCGAGGAGCTCGGAAAATACATCTCGTTGTATTCAGGAGCAGGGCTTTCACGTTGGCCGCCAACACACGAATCACACGTATCCTCGTCTTCAACTTCAGTGACAGTCGCCGTAAGTGGCCCTGACGTGGGCGACGAAATAGTGGAATCAATTTCGTCTTCGACAGTCGACCAGTCAATCCAATCATCATTATCATCAATCGCTTCCGTCTGCTCAATCAGCTCTGGAGCCTCAGCGCAGTCGCGACACCAGCAGTTCTCGGCATGGCCCATGGACAAGAACCTCTCCAAATCACACGGACTTTGAGGACGACTCTCAGGCAGTGGCACTTGCTCTGGCTCGAAGAGTTCTTGTTCGCTCGCGTAATGTTCAGCTGACCGGGCCATTTCGTCGTGATATGGGGTCCGAGGTGACGTGGCTTGCGGCCCCATTGGCAGACAGATGCCATTACCAAGCATGTGCAACCCCGGTGACGAAGGGATGTACGACGGCAGCTCACAGCATGGCGTGGTCGCGCGTGGTGTCGCAAAGAGATCGGCGAGGTAAAGAACGGATTGACCCAGACCCTGGTGATTGATGGGCCGTGGATGTTGACAATTTTCATTCGCGTGGCCAGTGAGGCTGTTGAGGTGCACGTATGGGATTTCATTGTCTGGAAGCTCGTACGGCTCTTCATCTATTGGGAATATCGGGACGCCACCACAGTCGTCCGAATCGTTCCAGCTAGGCAAGTGCTTGTGCGTCTCCTGGTCATTTCTTGTGGGCTGATGATGTGCAAGGGTGGAATCCTCGTTGAGGATCCGCCACAAGTTGGCAGCAGTTGCCAATGCCACAAGCTCTTCTGGAGGTTCGCAGGTATGGTGCTGCTGATCGATGATGTGCTTGTCTGCAGAGAGCACGGTTTGCTTGTCTTCAAGATCGCGTATGTCGGATTGGTCGATGAAAGGAGGAAGTCGGTCAGCGCATGCCGCTGTCCAAGCCGAAGACTTTGGATCTTGCAATTCTTGGTCTGATGAGTGTAGCTTGCAGCCAGTAGGCGGCAACTTGACAACAGGGGCAGATACAGAAGTCGTCAATGTTGGGAAGAATCGCGAACGTTTTCGGGGCTGATATGTGGGTGTCGGGCGCCAAACTTGAAACCTGTCCTGCTCAAGAGGTTCATCGTGCTCGGGAAGACTTGAAAGATCTGTGAACCTTGGCACTTCTCCGTTCCAGCCCCTGTCCTGCATCAAGGACGGGATGTAAGGACACCATTCAGGCACACGGAGCTGACTGAATGATCGAGTTGGAGAGAAGATTGGCCTCGCTGCTGTCAAGTAAGGGAAGTCCCTAAGATCGAGACGTCCAAAGTCGAGGACAGGTAGCTGTGGTGGAGTTGGTGGGACCTGATTCCATGATGGCCAGGTGAAAGTGAGACTTGGCTTGGGAGGCTCCGGCGTTGCATTGATGGCCGGAAACAGATGAGAAGTGGCTTTCGCATCAGCCAAAACTTGGTCAATGTCTCTGGAGAGCTGCTCGTCCAGTATCTGAGTCATCAACTTTCTCTTGTTGCGTCTGGCGTCTCGACGCTTCTTGGCCTCTTTCGTTCCTCTGCTGTTCCTGGCACGGCGGTGGTGACCAGAGACATGGTACTCGCGATCTCGAGCCATGGTGGGTGCTGGCATGGCCAACGTGGAGAAGCGATTGCCTAGTTTCCAGTAAGTAGCTGGCCTGCTGGGCTTAGATGGAAGTAGACTCACTTGAGGCACCGCGAGTATGATGGATGCTGAGATCCAGCCCTCCATCGATGCGGTCCACTTCCAAGAAGGGACGTTCACGCCGACGTTGGTGCAGGCGGGGAGGGGCATTGTGATGGCTCGGGGCAGACAAGTTGCGAAACATGTCTGGGAGGCAAGTTGAGGTGCGCCTGTGCTGTTGCGCTGTAGGGATATTGATCGCCACCGAGAAGCAATGGGTTGTGCTGTGTCTGCAGGCAAGGTAGAGTGCTCAGGATGAATATGCTGAGTGTACTAGGGATTTGTTGTTTCGGTTGGTAGGTTGCAACGAGAGACATGCGAGTAAGGACACTTCGGGACACCGAACGTGCCGTGGAGGAGGAGCATATCGGCGTGCCATGTCGCTCTTGCTCCTGTCGTCCGGTGTTGAGATCAAAGCAGGCATGATTCAGTGAATTTCGTGTTAAGGAGTCACGACCTACATCGTTCTTGCGAGAAGTGTGTGTTTTGACGATTGTCAGTTATGGTTGGCAGAGACATGCAATGTGGTCAAGACAGCTCGTAGGCCTTGGCCGCCTTTATCTTGTCGAGGAAACCTTGAAACGTCCATCCGTGCCACGAGTGCGCGTCGCGGTGACGATGCCAACTGGCTCTCAATTCGGAGCAACGGCTCCGCCGGCTGCCCATTGACTGCAAACGGCCAGTCGCAAAGCAGGATCGGTATCAAGCAGTGCTCGCTAATACCCAAAGGTGCTCTTCGCTGGTCGCTGCTATGGATTGCCAGTGGAAAGTTGAAATGCACAGGAGATGTGAAGTCTCACGTCGACTAGACTCAAAGCTCCTCCAACGGCGGTAGCGAACGGAGTTAGCTTGGTCGATGTACAGCGGAGAAGCTACGTGCACATCGTGACAGCCGTCGTTGTAAGCAAAGCTCCTCACAGCGTTGAGATAGAGATTGAATTTTCATAAAGCTCTCATCGGCGGCGCCAGTTCCGGCTCAGTGAAAAAGCACTGATAGCAAGCACGAGTGCTACCTCGGATCGATAGCGATGAATCAGTTGCTTACATATCGTCTGGGGTCGAGCAGGGTGGCCCAACATGGGTTTATCCGAGACGATAGATGCTATGCACGACATAAAAGCACAATATATCAGCACTTCACGGACTCAACACTTGAAACACACAGACCTGAAACCAAACACCAGGAAAGATGGGCCCGCCAGCGAATGATTATGCATCTCGAGAAGGGCTCGTGCAAGTATGCGAAGTGACGAGTACCATTGAGCAACCAGTGGAGCCGTGTGGAACCTGATGTCGGCGCTGGAGAGGCTCACCGAGTGGATGCCAGGCATGGAGTCTTGCACAGTGCCTGAAGATACACCAAAATTTCCAGAATATGGTGCAGTCAGAGTCGTCAAACTCAAGGGCAGCGAGGCAAATTATAACGAGACTCTGGAGATCTTCGATGCCAAGGACCACTTCACCTCTTATGTGGTGGATACCGGAGACAGTTCGCCAGTCAACGGGTCCAGAGGAAGCACCAAGATGGAATCTCTGACAGCAACATCCACGCGCGTCACTTGGAGACTCGATGTCAAAGAATTCCCTTCCCCGGAGGTTGTATCCCAGCTTCAAGAATGGCTGGTCCCTTTCATCCGCGAGAGCCATGATGAGGCGAGAAAGGTGTTGCTGAAGCAGGAGACCACAAAGTAGACTTTGGTGGTAGTGGATTAGAAGAAATCCTTTGAGGCCAGTCGTTGATGGTACACATTGGAATAAGATTTGTTTGTAGTGGGCAAGGAGCTTACGGCTCAGAACGCTATATTCTGGAAAATGTTCGAATCTTCCATAGTTCGTATGAAGTTGCCATGCTTCTCGAAGAGCTACCTGTCTCAATGTGTGAAGTACAAGTTCGGTAAGCAGGGTGCTGCGGCAAGAGAGTATGCCGCGCGAGAGAGTGAGCCTGGCGTGAGGTGCGGGGGCCCATCAGGACATGCGGCCAACAAGTTTCCGAAAGGGGGTGAGGGAGCAGAGACGGATGGAGTGTGAAGTGAAGTAGGTCGGGCCATGTTGATTATTCATGCGTGCGAAGATAGGCAGGTGAGCCGATTCGGGATGACGGCAGACTCCACCAAAGTTTGAACAAGCGGAGAAATGAGTAACCACTACCGCATTGCCGGCTCTCTCTGTCTCTCGCCAACACTCGCACTTTCGACTGTGAAGTGAACTGCCACGTGCAGCGTGCAGTGACCGGCGCTCCAGGAGTCTCCAATTACTGATCACCACCCAGCTCCTGGGGTCGCCCATCAACGACATCATCGGCCGCCGCGGGAAAACTGGCCGGCAAACAGCAAGCACTGCCATTCTGAAGCTGCTGCCATTCTGCTCACCATGACGCCGCTACACAATGGAACCGTCGCCCACGGCTCGAACGGACACCGACCGACACGTAGCACTGGACGTGTGCTGCCTGCCATCCCGCTCGCCTTCAGCAAGCCGAAACAGCAGCAGCCGCCGCATGTCCGGGCATCGGCCCAGAAGAATGCAGCTGTGAAGGCGAGCACTCCGGTCACCACTTCGCCACCAAGATCCGAAAAGGGCCAGAACGGTGAGATTGAGGAAAGAGTGATGGCGGAGGAGGCACGAGGGTCAGAGCAGCTGCCAACAGCTGGAGCCCAGCAAGAGCAAGAGCAGGACGTCCACACTCGGCCGTCAGCAGAGACACCCGTGTCAAGAGGAAGCGGCGCTGCGTCTGTGTCAAACGGAGCTACTCCGGAACCTGCGTCCAGTGAGGCGCCTTCACACATCACTCCGCTCACGAACGGCCACGCTCCTGCCTCCAGCTCCACCGGCCCGAACAGTCCAGCATCTGGGCGAAAGCCGGCAGACCGATTCGACATGCGGCCTATTCGCACGGAGCTGCCACCTGCCTTTATACCATCAGCGGAGCAGCAGACTCCGCTGTCCGCAGCATCAATGCAGTACCGGCCAGCCGCTCCACCTTATGGACATTCCGTGCACCCGAGCGCCGGCAGCATTGTCTTCGGTGGAAATGAGTCTTCTGGATCTTCCCCAGCGCCCCCACCAGGCATGGGCTCGGCTTTTATGCCACCCCCTCCAGCTCCACCGCTGGCACACAACTACAATCATGCACATCATGCTTCGGAACCACCACCTCAGCGCTACCAGAACGGACATCCGCCACCGTCGCAGCTCGCGAATAGGCAGGGTTTCGCTCCATCGCAACATGTCGCCCACCACCACACCCATGCTCCTCCGCGCTACCCCACGAGGGGAGACTTTACACCCAATGGCGTCGTCGCAGCAAACGGCTATGGGCCACGATCACGTTCTGGCTCGCATGCATCATCACGAGCGGGTATCGATCTGCAGTCGCCCATTGGGCTCGACCAGAGCATCGATAGCGCTAAAGCAATTTACCCTGACCACAAATCTACTTTCGGAAGCAGGAATATCCCACCTCCCTTCCCACACCACATGGGCCCTCCGCCACCCAACTTCCACCATCCAGAGATGGCTGCTGGCTTGGAGAATGCGGAATCGATGCGTGATCATGTAACATCGCAATTTCGCAATCCTGCGTTCGCTGATTGCCACATTCTGGTGTCTGAGGAGGAAACGTCCACTCACCTCGAGCTGGATGGCCACAAACTTATACTGGCACGCAGTCCTCGATTGTCCGAGATCATTCGCAACAACGTAGCGCCGACGTTACCTCAATCAAAATCACAGCTGAACGTTCCGCTGAGTGGACGTTATGTGCGAATCAGCCCATTCGTGGACTCTGTTCGCTACCTTTACGGTGGGCCATTGCCGCCTTTCGATCTGTACAATTTGGGCCCCAACACCACTGGCGAAGATCGAGTGGAGGTTGCCTTGCAGTACATTGCTACTGGCGCTTGGCTCAACATCCATGCAGTGGCTCAGCGTGGTGTTGAGATTGCGGCGCTCCATGTGCAATGGGACACCATCACATCCATTCTTGCGTTCGCACTTGACGGAGGACTGGGGCAAATGTGGCCAATCGAGGATGGCAGTGAGGAGAAGACGAGCACGTGTTCGAGTGACTCCTCCTCGACGAAGCCGGAAGCTGGTGGATCACCGACCTACGAACCTCACTCCTCGGCTCTGCTTGCACGGGCGCTCGAATTCGCTGCCCACAACCTCCCACCGAACTTTTACATCGATTCCTCCGCACCTCAGTCTCCCTCCTTCCCCCGCCTGCCAGTGTACGCACACCAGCATGAGAGCAAGTCATCAAGATCAGACCCCCGATTGAGCAAAATTCGATTTGGAGAAATGGCCAACGATGATCACCAGCGCCCATCATTTGCGACCACTGCTGTATCATCTGTACTACTTTCACTCCCGTTTCCCCTGCTCAAATACTTGCTGGAGCACCCTGCACTCGCTGGTCGTTTGGGAGCCGACACTGTGGGCAGCATCATGCGCCAAGTTGTCAATGAGCGTGAAGTTCGTCGACATAAAGCGCTGCGAGCCCGCGCTCTCGGTCGCGATGACGGGACTTCGGAGAATCAGCAAGTGCAGAATTTATACTGGGAAGAATCTGTGGAGCCATCGCATCACACACGCGCGGGCTTCCGGCTGTCGCGTCGAAGACGTGGCATCGATACTCCCACCAGCTCTTCCGATGCCGATGTCGCTAAATGAAGCGTGGGCATTCGGTATGATTCAGATCGATCAGCGTACTTTTGCTTTGGTTGTTTTCCAGGAGAGGCAAAAATCTCGAGCGTGTTGTTTTGTGGTGCATAGCAAGCGAGTGGCGTTTCAGCGATGGGAATGAAACAAGTCTTTCGCGCTTGGGAAAATGAGAAGATGTTTCTTACATGCTTTTCGCGAGGCGCTTTTGGTCGGGGGAAATGTCTCTTACGTGCATATGGGGAATGAGCTGCTTGAGAAAAAATCCGGACGCGTGGCGTTGGTGGAACATTTTGGAATAGGACATGAGGGTGCTGCTTCGACACATTTCGGACGAAGCCTCATGATGAATGAGAGCGATACACGATGGGCTTTGCGTCGGTCTCTCGTTACCGACTCAGCTGATCTGGGAGTGATTGAACGGGTGAATCTCTGGAATTATAGCCTGGGCCTCGCAAGTTTGTCAATGGCACAACAACCAAGAATTTTCGAGCTTCAAAGGCTAATGAAAAAGCGCAAAAGGGCTGGGAACGGCTGGTAGCAGAGATACATAGTACTGCATATACTAACTACAACCCCACAAGGCGTCCTCTACTGTTTTGCGCCCCATTTACTGACGTCTCTATTCTTTCTTACAACTCATCATGACCAGCCTGTTGTTGCGTCTTCAAAACCTCGACGCCACAAACCGCGGGCGTCCCCACTTCCATTCTATACACACATTTCTCCTCCTCCATGATCTTCCAGATCTCGTTTTCTTCACTACAGGCCAGAATCACCGTCGTGGAGCGATTGGGTCCGTTCCAGCAATGCTGACCATTCTCGTGCTTCATTGCGATCCTCTCGCCTCTGCCCAGACCTTTGCCGTTCGTCGGTAGGTCCTCGTCGACGGTGATCGTTTCGATTCGGTTGTAAGAGCCCATATTCGTGCTTCCGCCACCCTTTTTAGATTTCTGACTCGTGCGACCCATGAAGCAAAATTCGTAGGTGTATTCGCCAGAGTCTTTGGAGACGCAGACATCTTTGAGTGCGCGGAAGACATCGTCGGGGCCGAAATGTCTGGCGAGGTCATCGGTGTGCTCGGTTTGAGACTTTTTGGAGTCTTCGAGGGCCTTGTTGGCGGCTGTGAGTCGTTCACGGGCTTCGGTGACTTTTTTGGTTTCGGTGCCGGAGGAGGCGGCGTTGTTTGCGAGGATGCCGTTGTCGATCAGGGTTTGGCGGAGGTCGTGGAGTTTGTTGTCCACGAAGGAGCGGATGGAGGGTGGGAGGTAGCTTGTGAAGGAGTAGACTGGGATGTGGTTAGCTTGGAGTCAAGTGATGGGAAACAGGGAGAGGGCCACTTACGAATATCAGTCTCGCTTTCCTCCTCAACGTACTGGTCCCAGTCGAGACCATTCTCAGAGTCCGCCTTGATGAGCTCCTGCATATCTCGCTCTTGGGCGTCGTTGGGCTCTGCCGCAAGAGTGTAGCTCGCAGCGTAGTCTTCCCAAGCTCGGACGGCCCGCTTGACACCCTCGTCGTTAAAATTAGGGTTGTATTCCTCCTTGAACGTCGTGAGCAGACTCTCGAGCTTCTTCAGCCTGTCGCGGTTGAGCGAGAGCTCGGCTCGTGTCCGGACCAGGTTATTCCTCAATTCGTCCATTCTCGTGCGTGCGATTTCGATGAGCTGGCTCAACTTGCCACCCTTGCCAGGACCAGCCTTGACAGTCTTGCCTGCTTCGCTCCGTTGTACGTCCTTCAACTCTTGCTCCATGCTCTTGGCTTTAATCTCAGCTGCCTCGACCTCTGCTTTTAGACTCTGCAAGCGATCCTCAACAGCCTTCCGTAGTCGCTGTGCCTCTTTAACCAGTTCCGCTCGCTTCTTGTTGGCAGCATTCAGGCTTTTCGTCCTTGCCTCGTCATGCTTCCTCCACTCCTTGCCAATCTCTGCACATTTATCCTGGCATTTGACAATGCCTTCCCACTCCTCGCTGCCATCGCAGCACAGCTCATAATCGCAGATCCCATCGTTCACGTTGGTGAAGGGAACATAGCTCGGTCTATGTCCTTTATTCTTGCAATAGAAACCAGGTAAAGCATTCGAAACATTCGGAGGGTTCTCGAGTGTGTGGGGAGATGATGAGGATATGTGGGCACATGCGGCGGTCCCTGGCTCGTCTGACCCATCCGGGCAGTCGCAGTAATCGTCATTGACTTGAGCGAAGGAGAGTGTGACAGAGGGGTTTGTGATGCATTTGAATGTGGTCGTGTCTTCGTAGAATTTGGCGACTGGACATGGATGTTAGTTTAGCAGTTCAATGGCTAGGAGAGAGACTAAGATGGACTTGTTGGACGTACAATCCGGACCTACTCCACGTGGGCGAGCGGCATGTGAAAAGGCGACACATTCGAGGGCCACCAGGGCCACGGCTGCACCTCTCATGTTTGCTCGCGAATTGTCTAAACGGAAGGGAGGTGAGCAGCGAAGACGATCGAGGAGCGGTGTTTCTGGACAGCTTGCATCCCAGCAAGTGAGCCGAGTCGCCAAGATTTCTGGGAGAAGGCGGTGGTCTCCAGTCTGCTCCCATTTGTGCTCCACAACATCCATCCTCCTCCACATGTACATGCACAAAACGAGCCCATTCGGCAACACACGCAGGACGATCACGCATCATACGCGCCAGACGCCCGTAGCCAGCACACCAGTATGCACGTCTCATTGGCGTTCCTCACTGTCGACCACCACCGCCGGGAGTGTCTCCGAGAGCGATGGTGCTTGTTGAATGGTTCAGGTCTCGCTGGAGACGCGATGAAGCCATGTCGCGCACCAGTCTCCACTGTGATGCATGGCTCGCTCCTGCTGGGTGAAACTTCCCTGCGTATAATGCAGGACCGCCATTTCTGCCTTTGCATCTCATGACTTCCACGCTTCTTCGTCACTTCACACACCTCTCATTGCAGCTGCTGATCTCTACATCCTCCGTCTCCCCATCGGCGGCAGAATCATGGCATTGCTCAAGGCTCTAGGAGTTGCGCTCATAGCGCTCATCACCTTCACTACTGCAGATGTGTCGCAATGCGTGGGTGCTTGAGTACGACAACTCACCCAAGATCTACTGACTGTCCACTAGTGCCGTAACCTTGAGAACAAACTGGGAGCACAATCCTTCTACGGCCACAACGACACTGATTTTGCCGTTCAGAACACCCGCTGGTCGACCAATGCTCGCCTCAATCCAACCTGTATCATCAAGCCACATCATGCTGAGCACGTTGCCCAAGCTGTGACTGTTCTGGTGGAGGGCGAGTGTGAATTCGCCATCAAGGCTGGAGGTCACACGCCTTGGTCTGGAGCGAACAGCATCGACCATGGTGTTGTCATTGATCTCTCTTTCCTCAATCGCACAGCTTTGTCGCCCGACAGAAGCTTCGCTCGACTCGGCGCTGGAGGTACCTGGGGCCATGCCTACAATCAGCTCAACGGAAGCGGAGTGGCAATCCCTGGCGGTCGAGTCAAGACTGTAGGTGTAGGAGGTCTTGTGCTGGGCGGTGGGTATTCGTGGCTCACTCCCAAGGTTGGGTGGGTCGCGAACAATGTTCTCAACTACGAGATCGTGCTCGCCTCGGGAGAGGTAAGGAACGTCAATGCTAGTAGTGACAGTGACCTCTTCATGGCATTGAAGGGCGGCGGCAACAACTTCGGCATCGTCACCAGCTTTGACATTGCGACTTTCAAGCACGACCAAAAGATCTGGGGAGGGTTTTTCGCACTTCCCGCAACGGATACAAACACGACCTTTCAGTCCTTTCAGCAGTTTGTCGAAAAGGTGGCCGAAGGAGATGATGACGCTTCGTTGGTGGCTCTCGAGTTTGTGCACACCAAAACTTCATCCCAGGACCAGATCATCAACTGGGTATCCTCGATTGATGCAGTCGATGAGACTTCGGCACTATGGGCCTACGATCCTCTTTTCTCAGGGAACAAACTGGCGAACAGCACGGGCTGGACGACGTTCGCTGATTTTCCAAATAGTATTCCGCCGGTTGCTCGGTGAGATTTTCTCCAAACTCTCTCATGACGCGATCTAACCTGAGCAGGGTCACATTTGCAACCGTGACGGTACAGCCGATGGCCATTGACTCTGTACCCGTACTCGAGAAGATCCACCAGATTACGCGGGATGTCTACGAGACGCTGAGCCATGTTCCGGATCTGACCTGGGATGTTCAGTACGAGCCACTTCCGCGTGCTTATGATGACCGCGGGCTGGTCGAAGGCGGCAACATCATGGGCTTGAATTACACGACCAAGAGCTTAGTAATTGTGTTTCTCATGCCATTGTGGTGAGTGTGTTGCAAACGTGTATGCGACACAAGCTAAAGGCAACCGCAGGGAAGATGCTCGCTTCGACAACGAGGTCAATTCTGCTGTTCAGAAGTGGCTAACTCTGGTCCAAACATACATCGCTGTCCACGATGTCGGCTATCCTTTTGAGTACCTGAATTACGCAGCACCATTCCAAAACCCGCTTGCAAGCTATGGAGCGCACAACTTGCAATTCTTGAAAGAAGTCAGCAAGAAATATGATCCGGACCAAATCTTTCAGCGGCTCGTGCCTGGCGGCTTCAAGCTCAATTGAACATCGTCATCTGATGATTTGTTGCTGTCTAATGTAAATACTGTCGATATCTCAGACCACTGTTTTCCAGCCCCAGCCACCTTTACTGACTCTACACACGCAGATCAGAGCGGCTGCCACGATCGTCATGACGCCACCATATATCCAGATCTCGTTATACCCACTCGCACTCAAGATCGCTCCAGAAATTGGCGTCCCGACCAAAATACCTATACTGGTCACAGAGAATCCCATGCCCATTCTCGTCCCTATCAGACCTCGATTGGCTGTGATATGAACGTAAATCGTTGCGGGAAGAGACACAAAGGTTCCCGAGAAGAATCCATATAACGCAGAAATGGCGGCCACAGAACCAAAGGAATTCGTTGCAACGAGACACAGGCAAAGGATGCCAGTCATCAATGTGCAGGGGATGATTACATTGAACGGTCCGATGCGATCGGCCAAAAGATTGGGCAGGACTCGTCCGAAGGTCGACGCTGCATTCAAGATTGCAAGGAGGTAGAACGCCAGGTCTGGAGATGTCCCTAATGCGAGGGCATAAGACTGAATGTAGAAGAATGGCGTGTATCTGCAGCGATATCGTCAGTTTCGCCATCGATGGACTCGATCGCCAGAGCAAAGCACTTACAATCCAAGGAATCCGATAAACGTGCCTAAGACGAAAAATGTAAACGGCACCTCTTTCCACGCCGCCAGGTCCAAAAACTTGCGCCGTCCAGCAGGCAAGACTCTTATCCTCAGCACGGCACAGCTCACTCCCAAAGTCGTCAACTCCAGAAATCCCAGCACCCTCGTCGTCCAAGCGAATCCAATTGCGGGCTGTAATCGATAAAACACAATGGGATACACTACGCCGCCAATACTCGAGCCCGCTGCCGCAAGTCCCACCGCCGTCGCTATTCGCGTGCTGAAGTATGTCGATAACACCGCCACACATGGTATGAAAAGACATCCGGTCCCGATGCCGATACAGATCGCTTGTGAAAGAATAACTTGGTAATAGGTTGTGCTCAGGGAAAGCATCATCTGACCGAACACAACGAGAAATGTCCCAGTGAAGACAAGTGATCGGGCGTAGCCGGAGTCATATATGGGGCCTGTTAGACTTCCTACGAAGAGAAGAAGTGTGGCCTGGATGCTGCCGATCCAGGAGATGGCGCTGGGTGAGGATGTAGAGAGGAGGCCGGTTTCATAGTAGGTTTGGTACGTGCCGCTGGACAGGACTTGTGGTCAGTTATGGTTCTTTCCTTCTATATGACAGGTCACTCCGTTCACCCACAATGTGTTTACGATGCCCCAGGTGTTCTGTCATACGAGAACAAATATCAGCACTCCTCATTTCTCGATCGAATTTGTGGTGAGGGGCGATTTAGTCTTACCATGAACAAGAAGAAGCTCGACACAACTTGCAACCAAGCCCAAAGCCCGCCATTCGGTACGCTTTTGATATTGTTCACGCTGGGTTTCGATGAAGCTTTTGTTGCAACTCGTTCCAGGTCGTTCGATTCTTGCTCATCTTTCTCGTCGGACTCACCTTCAGTGAAAGGTGGTTCGGCGGCTTCAATCAATTCCTTTTGGCCAGTAGTAAGATCATGGTCGATGTTGCTGTGTTGATTGATATTCCGAGTCTCGGCCTCCTTCCCCAGATCACTCGCCGAAGACCGCGACATCTCTCTTAGATCTCTGGGCGCTCCACAAAGCGTAGGTATCGATCGCTTGGCGGCGATGCTGCGTCTGCGGCGCGGAATGCTTTAAACTTTCGCTTTCGCTATCACCATAAGAGAGGAGGAGGTGTGCTGATGTATTTCTATTTCACCTCGTTTGTGGTGGTACTTCGGTGTCTCGAAACCATCATTTTTCGAAAGAGCGGTCACGGACGAGACGAAGCAGAGGAGAAGGTACCTTGTTCTTTCCACGATTGTCCATCACTCGCTCGCCCAAGGAGTGTCGCTCCCATCTAAAGTCCGCCATTTACGCCGCCGAGCCCGAAAGCGGGCACCGTCTACCCGCGGCAGATGGGGTTTGCGACTCGCTAGACGTGCCGCTTTGCCGGGCCGTTAAACAAATGGGAGATCGAGAGAGACGTAGGAGGTACAAACATACATTGTTACGATTGTGTTGAAACTCTTCATCACCGCGTCGTTGCGAATTGGCCAGCTTCGTATGTCCTGGTCACGGACCTTTGACCTTCTGGACGCAGACGTGTGAACGAGCATATGCTTGAAGCTGCGCAAATCACATAAAGAGGCTTTCGTGCGAGAGATGAGACGTTGTGATCGGCAGGATGTATTCCTGCACGCCCCACGTGCGACGGCAATACGTACATCTGCCGCCTTGCTGATGCAAGATGTCACGCAGGGAACCGGAGTCTGAGAGGAGCGGTATTCGAAAGCGGCAATTCTTGTCATCATTTCAGCTTATTGTTCCACTTCATATGAATATGGGCTTCTGGGAATCACAGGACTGAAGCATGGCAGGTGTTCCATTGCTAGGGCCCAAAGGAGGAGGAGGCACGGAAGAAGCGCTTTCAATGGAATAATTCTACACACAGTTTTGTTGTCTCTAACGCTGACAAAAAAGTAGCTCAATCGCACACGCACTATGGAAGCGCATTCCCTAGCATTTCAAAACGACAGCGATGACCTATATAGGCTCGTCCCTGGGCTCGATCAAGATCTCGTTGACAGCAATGTGTTCTGGCTGCTTCAGACCATACACGATAGCATTCGCCACGTCCTCAGGATCCATGATCTTCGCCCCACTCGGTTGTCCATATGCTTTGATAGCCTCCTCATCACTGGACATGTTCAGTAGATCGGTCTGGGTGTTTCCAGGCTGCACAGCTGTCACCCGCAGACCTTTACCCGCAGTCTCAAGGCGCAAGGACTGCAGAGTTGCTTCGACGAAGAATTTGGAGGCAGAGTAGACACCGAGACCAGGAAAGACTTTACGTCCTGCATCGGAAGAAATGGCCACGATGTGTCCGGCGCCACGCCTCAGCATACCGGGGACAGTCGCTGCGAGAACATGCAGCAGACCCTTGCAGTTGACGTCCACAGTGGTGTTCCATTCGTCTGTGTGTGCGTTGGCCATCATGGTGAAGTACATCACGCCAGCGCAAGAGACGAGGATGTCGACTGCGCCGAGCTCCTTCTCGGCCGTCTGAAGGAGATCATCGACTTGCGCTTTGTCCGTGACATCAGTTTGCTTGACAATGACCTTGCCATCTCTGACTGCAAGCCGGCGCTTGAGACTCTCGAGGGCTGGCGTTCTGCGAGCAGCGAGGACAAGGTGGCAACCTTCAGCCGCAAGGGCGCTGGCCACAGCGGCACCGATCCCTGACGAGGCACCGGTAATGACTGCAACGCGGCCAGTGAGGATACTCTTGCGCACTCTAAGAGCCGACCCTCCAAGAGCGCTATTTCGTGCAGGAGGCTTCTCCAACCATCCTCTGGCGAACCAGTGTCGTGCGTATGTCTCGAGGAGTATCGGATCAACCTTTGGTCGCTCCACAATAGCGCGGAAAGGCCTGGTCTGAGCGTTGTTGAGCACCACGATGTCACGCAGGAAGCCAACACTTGGCATTCCACTGCGCATGATGTCGACTGTAAAGGCTCCTTCGCCGCCCTTCATTGCGCCTCGTTTCTCGTTCCACAAGTTCACCCACTTGTCGAAGTCCATCGGCTCAGTGGGATACCCGAGCTCCGCAAAGTGCTGGAATACTTCCCTGGTCTCAATCGGATCTGGATCTCCCAGATGGAAGACCAGCTGTTTCGCATGCGTCTGGTTACCAAGATGGACAATAGCTTTGCTCACGAAGTCGACTGGTGTCATCTCTGCCCTCCAGCCGCGAACGTCTGGATAGTAGCCCAAGTGTATTGATTCCACGAACAATGCGGTAAGCAGATCCCAGGCGTTGGCAGCGCCAGTCAGGCTGTGTCCAGAAATGGTTCCCGCGCGCAGAATCCTCACAGGAAGGCCGCGACGCCCAGCTTCAAGCACAAGCTGTTCTGCAGCCCACTTCGTTTGGCCATAGCCATCAGGAATCTTCTCAGGCACAGCGTCCACGTAGAGCATAGCATCTTCGGGCCAGCCGTGACCAGATTCGGAACGAGGCAGGACTCCGTTGGTAGATACATACTGCACAGTGGCGCCGCCCATGCATGCTAATCGCAAAATCTCTTTTGTGCCATCGACATTGCTTGCTCGCAACGCAGCGTATGGGTACACGAGGTTGACCTGTGCAGCAGCGTGAACGATCACTTGCACTCTCTCAGCGAGCTCACTGAACTTCTCGGGAGCCAGTCCGAATCGTTTCCTAGGCAAATCGGCGGGTAAAACCTCGACACGCTCCATGACGGAGTCGCTCCATAGTCCCAGGTCGATGAGATTCCTTCGTATCCTTGCAGTGCAACCAGGCTTGTCTTCTTCCGAAGATTCAGGAGAACGAACAAGACAGATAATCTGAGCCGAAGTCCCTTCCAAAAGTTCGTGAAGTAAGAAGGCACCAAGGAAACCAGTCGCGCCGGTAAGCAGTACTGTTCTCGCATCCTTGAGAGCACAAATTTTCGCTCCATTTGGCTCGATGTCGCGATCCAGATTCGAATCTTTGCGCAACGCAGTCGGAAGATCGGATTGTACTGCGGCAATTGTACCATCTCGTACCTCGCGAACAGTGTGCAGGTGGCTCTCGAGCGTCGGCGGATCAGCCAGTCGTCCCACAGGGATGCGGAAGCCAAAACGCCTAGAAAGCTTGGTAGCCAACGCCGCGAGCGAAAGCGAGTGACCACCGAGATCAAAGAAGCTGTGCTCTGGCTTCAACTGCTTTCGCTCCGCGCCCAGAGTATTGGCCCACACCTCTGCAATGTCGTCGATGCTAATGGGATCCTTGGCAGGTTTCGCGCCGTTTGCTGTTTTGACTGGGATAGGCGAAGGAAGACTCTTGAGGTCGATTTTTCCAGATACACTGTGCGTGGGAAGTTCTTTCAGTTCTACCCAGAGCGTGGGAAGCATGTACTGTGCAAGGTATGGCGTGAGGACCTTTCTCGCAGCTGGGCTATGGTTCTGATCGTCAATCTCCACAATAGGTCGGTCGCTGCCAGCTTCGGAGTCCTTCACAAAGTAGGCTACCAGCTGGCGATCCAAGCCATCTCCATGTGCAGTGACCGCGCATTGTCTGACGGCCAGATATTTAGTAACAGTATCTTCGACCTTCGCAGGGACGACAGAATAGCCACGAAGCTTGATCATGGTACCAGTTCGTCCGGTAATCTCCAACAAGCCGTTCTCATGTAAGATCGCAAGATCGCCTGTTCTGTAAATCCGTGCGTCCGGGTTGTCGCCGTTGAAGTGGTCTGGCAAAAATGCCGCCGCGGTGGTCTCGGGACGGTTCAGGTAGCCACGAGCTAGCAAGGAACCGCCGACATACAGCTCACCGCTGTTTCCAGGCTCAACTTCTTTCCCATCTTCGCCCAGGATATGGATATGCTCAGGTTCGAACGGCTTTCCGACAGGGCAGTTGACGGCGTCATCGCGAATCATGTCCGCGACATCACCACATGCGATTTCGTGTGTCTCGCAAGCGCTATAGCAATTCAGTAGTCGGACTTGTGGAAGAGCGTGGAGAGCTCTGCGAGCAAGGTCGTCTAAGATAGATTAGCATGTGGTCGAAGGATTGCGGAGCGTGGAGTCTTGGGGCTATTGGTTCACTTACTAGAGACGACTTCACCGTTCAGCCATAGAGTCTTCAGATTTGCAAGTCTCGAGCCAATGTCAGGGAATCGAGCAAGTACAGCTGCCAGTAATGTGGGGGTCATCAAAGTCTCTGTGACTTTCTTCGCAGATAGTAATTCTACTAGAGCGGCTGGGTCATAGCTGGACTCGTCTGGCACGGTCACCACGGTCGCGCCTCGAAGCAAAGGTCTGATGATCTCCCATACGAAGAAGACATTGCAAGCCACACGCGCGCCAGGTTCGACATCTGAGAGACCAAATCGAAGATTGTACGACAGCACGGAGGCACGATGAGGATTCGCGATGCCTTTGGGTTTGCCAGTGGTACCAGAGGAGTAAGCAACGAATGCTAGTTTCTCGAGATCATCAGGATCTGGGCCTTCTCCATTGGTCTCCGCATGGCCGTTGGTCAGTACTTCTTGATCTTCGTCAAGTACAACGCGAGGGATATCGGGCTTGATCTTGCCAGTCTCGGATTCGTTGTGGATGACTACGACCGGTTGGGCATCTTCGATCACATCGGCCAGCAAATCTGGAGGGTAGGCAAGCTCGAGCACGAGATAGGCACCCCCAGCTTTGAGGGCGGCGAGGCAGGCGACAACGTAATCGGCACTTCGTGGCAATAGCACGCCGACGAGGCTATCTCTCTTCACGCCATGCTGGCGAAGTCGGTGGGCGAGCTCATCGACCTTCTTCGCGAGTTGCGCATACGTGTATGTAACTTTTTCGTCCTCGAGGGCTACCGCGTCTGGTGTGGCCTGCGCTTGGTTATCAAATAGCGTGGAAAGGTCCTTGGTGGTGTCAATAATATTCATGGTCGGTGTAGTGTCATCTGGAGGTACAGTACAAGAAGTGAGTGCAACTGGAAGCGTGGAAGTTATTCAATGCCAGAAGCGACGTGGCTTGGCCTAGTCTCAAGTATCGGTTGAGAGCACAGCGCCCAGTTGAAGAGCGTGCCGAGTTCGCATGCCAGGCGTGGCGTGCAAAACGCCCACGTCACAATGGGGAAACAATTACCTCTTTCAGCCGTTTCACTGGATATCACAGGACAAAGTATCATCAATCGTTTACCGTCTCTCGCCGCGCTGCGTTTGGCAGGAGTGCAAATGCAGCATATGCGCTGCTGGACAAGGTGTCATGAACGTGTCTCCAATGGCCGCGATTGAGCCGGTGGATGACACAGATGGAGCGAAGTGGTCCAGAAGCGCGCGCCAGCCTCTCTCTCGACAAGCATTCTCTCGCGGGTTGAGCGCCAAGCAATAGTGTCCCCGAAGGCTTTGCAAAATTCTTCTGACCTGGCACAAACCGGGTGAGGTACTTCTCCGATTGGCGGTGGTGGACAGCATGGAACGAGCCTCAGTCGCACCCACAGCTCCAGTGCCGACGCGCGCATAGCGCGATAGTAGCGCGAGATTTTGCGAGCGTGACCGTGTCGAAGTTGTAGTTGTACCAGCGTTCACACATTCTGCAGCCAGTCAACAGCAGCTTCAGTCTGCTCGGACCCTCGCTTGGGATGTCGTGATTTGAGCTGCAGATGAGCTGACAGCACAATTCACGTCCCCACGAGTCACTTTTGACTCCAACATCCCACTTTTCACGTCGACCACCGAGCGCTGTGCTGGCTCTGAGCGTTCTGTGCGGCGTGCGCGTGGCGTTTGGCGGACTCGTGGTCAACTCGTGGGTGAAGTTCGCAGGTTGGCAGGCAGCGGAAGCGGGATGGACACGCGCTGGGTCTGGATGGGCCATGGTCTGGCGTTGAAAGAGCTATGGCATATCGGAGTGGCGTTGGGTGGCACAGGAGTGTTGAAGGTGAAAAGATGCAGAAGATGAACATGAACAAGTGAAGTCGCTTCCCTCAAGTGGCAGTGGCACATTTGATTACCACTGGCGCCACGACTGGCCCTCCACGTGACCAGAATTGATGCGGAGTACATTCTGTCCAAGCATGGCGAAGACTTCCGGAGTTACCAGTTACCAGGCTGGGAAAGCGATGAGAGCGGAACAGTCAACGAGGAAGAGCATTGTCTCGAGACAGCGCTGGTCATTGGCCGCTGGTGCTCAATACCGCGAACGCCCTGATGTTTCCGACGCCACAGGTAGTAGAATGCCGTCACGAGCCCGGACTGCTTACTGCCTTAGAGTCTCATTTGATCTGTGTTCACGATACAGTACGGACTGGCAGTAAAATCGGAATTGCACTAGGCACCAAGAGCTCTAACGTGACAAGCCAGTTACCTGCCTGCGTTATTTTCAAACGCTCCGTTACACTGGAGGCAGCCTGGGATGAGAAGGACTCAAAACTGCAGGCATCTCGCTGTTGATTGGGGGACCGAAGAGAGAGAAGGTAGGAGAATACAGTTCTCGGGATGCCACAATGTTCTGCCTGGATGGTCGTGCGATGGGTGTGTGCTTCGCTCTCAGACTGAGGAGCAGAGCTGAGCAAAATTGCAACAAGTGGAATGTCGAGGCACCCGGACAAGCCGCTTAGAGATGCAGTGACGACTACACGCGGAGCTGGAGTTCACGTCACCACGCCGAGTGTTGCTGCTTCTATAAGAGGCAACATGTCGTTCATACGCATGTGCGACCCTTGCCAGTACTCAACTCGTCGTACAGTTCGGAAGTGAACTGGCTTCCTCGCATTATGATGTACACAGACGGTACTCAAAGCAGCTAAGGTAGGAAGCAATGCTTGTCTTTGCACAAGCATTATGAGACCGCGTATGTTGTAGTAACAACATCAAGAAGACTCGCTCAGCATGCGGGCCGGATCATAGTAGTAGTACAGTTTGAGGCTCAGCTGGCCACTATGTCGGGTTGCAGCTCCTGCTTTCATCTCCCGAAGTTCTGCAGAATCCTGGCATGTCCGTACTGCGCCTTTGGCATTACTCGTGATTCACCGGTGAGCTTGTTGGTGTTTAATTACTCTGGATAAAATACTCTTGGTCCCACTTCGAGACTTCCTTCGTGGAATGGAAAAGGTATCGCAAAGGAAGATCTGTTGGAACGGTGCTATGATGACCTTTGACTGGCCCCGGCACGGTCGTGGCCGGATTTCAGCTTGACGATTGCCACGCAGTCCTCGTCCCTAGCAGCATTGAGGGAGTCTGCTGATGGATTAGAGAAGCAGGCATCGTCGATGATGCTCCGACCTGAATTAGAACTGGGACATCTGGGACCATATGGCAGGTAGTCGTTCGCTTTCACATAGTCGTGTATCGATGGCCATCGACACCGCATCCGCATTTCCTTGTCTTCTTTGCAGATCTCGATCTGTGAAGCTTTCGAATAAGCGATCTCTTGGAGCTGGGCGACTGCAGTTCGGTCGGATTCGGTCCTCATCCGAGCGGCGAGCGTGAGCAGCAGCAATTGATTGAGAGCAAAAAGATGGGTTCGGTCCCTTGTACCTCCGCGCAACTTCCGTGAAGAGTTCCTTCAACCTTGATCGGCGTTGTCTATGCCCGCTGTGCCCGTGTCTACTCCAGTTTCATCTGATCAGCTGTGGGGAAGGTAAGTGTTGGAGCGACATGGATAGTTGCCCCTCACGACCAATCTATTCTTGGCGTAATGTTTGTTCTCACACACAACCCGTGCGCGTTGGCGCTAGACACAGCGATACCAAGACATACTGTACATTCCATCTGATCAAATCGAGCAGAATAAGCGATGGAGGACCCATCACCGCAAGTTCAACCACGTGTGGAGGAGAGCACCTTCGCATTCGACCACAACGAACCCAGCTCGCCATTCGTGTCGGAAGCCAACAGCAGGCTGATAAGCAAAACATGGGATGCCCCAATCACTAAGACGGAAGAGGAGCAGCATACTATGGATATCTTTGCGACACCAACGAAGCACGGACTCGACGACATGGCGGAGGACATGGAGAACGTGCCAGAAACTGGGAATACAATCACAAAGCTCAGACCAGCGACACCACCTGAAAGCAAAGCCTTGCCAGACTCGCCAGTCAATGAGGCGCGACGAGGAAGCACCGATTCCGACCTCATGCCTCCTCCACAGTCGACGCGCAAATCGCAGACACCGAAACGATCGCCGCTGAAGCCATCTCGAAACGCGACCGGCAATGCCCAAACACCGCGCGCGACGACGAGTCCACGGAAGAACTCGTTCGGGTCAGAACTGACGCAGTCCACGCCCCGGGGCTCCAACAATAACCCCGATACACGAACAACACATCAGTACGCAGAAGAGAGCTCCGGATTCGATGACACCTGCTTCAGCGCCTTCTCTGAGGTACCAGATATGACCACATGGGCGAAAATAGGTCAAAGTCCAACCAAGCGCGGCGAGGCATTGCGAACGCCCGGCAGACAGACTGATGCCACTCCGCGAACCTCTCGCAAGCGGTCATCTCCTTCCCGATCTCCCTCGCCGACTCCACGAAGGTCGAGAGTAGGGTCGAAGAGCGGACACGGCCATTCGTCAAGTCAGGATGGTACTACCTTCCTCATTGACTTCACACAGCAAATGGACAACATGGCAAGCTACAGCCGTCATGCTTCGCCAGCCAAATCGAGTACTCAGCCAGATCTCCTCAAGTTCATGAACAGTCAACGCTCGCCGCACAAGACAACGCGCCAAAGTTATGCCACACCTGCAAAGCAAAGTAGCATCATGAACCTCCTCGACTTCGAGCTCCCACCTGCACCTACGCCCCGGTCCGTGCCCACGATTACTGTTCGAGAGCTCGAGTCGCTCAAATCGTCCTACCTTTCGCAGATATCATCTTTGAAAGCGACGCTGAGCGGTCGCGAAGCTGAAGTGGAAAGCCTCAAGCGCGCAGTTGGCGATGCGGAGCGTCGAGTTGGCGAGGCGCAAGAGAGGCTGCGAGAAGAGAAGAATAGACGCGAAGATGCGGAAGAGCAAAAGGCTGGGTGGGAGAAGCGAGGGCAGGAAGTCGAGCACTTGCTCAAGGATGTTAAGGAGGAAGTCATGAAGTCGGAAGCAGAGAAAGAGGAATTGGCGCGCAAGGTGGAGGAGTACGAGCGCAGAATTGAGGACTCGGAAGCAAGAGCAGTCAAGGCTGAGGAGCGGTATGCGGACGCCTTGGCAGCAAGGGCAGCAGCAGGAGAGGGCGGCGAAATTGATCCTTCTGCTGTCGAGGAGCGCGTGCAACGGCTCGTTTCCGCACAAATCGACAGCAAGATTGAGGCCGTTTCGCGTGAGCTGCATGCTGTCTACAAAGAGAAGCACGAACGCAAGGTTGCCACGCTGAAGAAGAGCTACGAGGCTCGTGGTGAAAAGAAGTGCGCTGAGCTGCAAGCCCGTCTCCATCAACTTGAGAAGCAGAACGAAGGTCTCTTGGCAGCAAAGGATGCGACATTTTCTGGGCCAGTCGCAGGCGATATGACATTCTCTGGCGAGGCCGAAGCAGAACTCAAAGCTCAGATTGAGGAGCAACGTGCACAGTTCGCTCGTCTGGAGGCAGAGATGTTGACTTCACGGCAACACCAGGAGCAGCTTGAACGCGAGCTTGCACAGGAACGAATCGAAAAGGGTGATCTTGTCGCTGCTGTTGACGAGATGCTTCTCTTGCAGTCTGAACAGGGCCCGGCACAAGGTGCCATGTCTGTCGTTGAGGACTTCAGAAAAAGCATTAGTCGACCCGCTTCTGCAATGTCCAGCGGACTTCGAGCTCCAGGAAGCAAGATAGGAGGCGTCGGGCGACCAGCGAGCGGCATCGCAAAAGGTGGCATGATGTCGAGGATTGAGAAGATGGGTAGCAGCAGGACTGGTGGCGGACATGATTAGCTTGGGCGAACGACTTCGTCTTGAGCGTTCTTCTGTCATGGTCTTTAGAAGCCACTGCTGTGCAGTGCAGGCGTTTTCTGGTGGGCTGGGATGCGACGAAGATATGAATAGCGAAAGTTGATTGTATCATAAGCTTCATCATACAGTAGCACCGTGTCGTTTGCGCGGGTGCAGTCTATACTTGCATACCAGGGCGGATCCAAGATGCCTCGTTCTCCCAGAGCACCTCTTGCCTGTCGTTACAACTTGGGAATCCCCTGCATTTTCCGTCTTTCCTGCAGAGCTTTTTCATACAGACCCAGCTGCTCCCAAAAACCGTCATTCGGCCTACATCTTGCCCTTCCTCTCCTCACCCATTCCAGAGCCTCTTCCCTCCCAACTTCAAATCTCCACATCAAGAATGCACAGACTATCGTCGCGGATCGACTCACTCCCATGGCACAGTGCACGAAGACTCCACCACCTTCCTGAAGGCCCTGATGGATAAAGTGATTTGTCTTCTCGAACCATTTGGCCAAGTCTTGACGTTCATCGTCTTCGACATCGATTCGAAGCCATCTATCATCCCCTTGAACAATTTCAGCACCTCGAGTCCTCTGCTTCCCAGCCTCAGTGACTTCTGCCACTTTCTTCCTCCCTTCCTCGTCCATTTCCCAATCCAACAAACTCACCACATGCGTCACACCCGCCTTCTTCAATGGCGAAGGATTTTGATATACAGCCGCGATGCCGCCGATGTACAATTTCCCTTGGCTTTGCATACTCTCATCTGATACATTCGGTTTCGTTCCAGAGGATTTGTTGCATGTTGATTCATCCACAGACGTAGCCGAAGGTTTCGAAAGAGGTATCTCGTCAAAGTACGAAGCGTTTTTCCAGCCATCGGTCAATTGAGCAAACTCCCAAAATCGAGCCATGTTGAGCTGTCGAACGAGCATCGCGTGGAATAAAAGTTCGTGTTCTCTTGTGGGCTTAGTGCTTCATCATGCCTCATTCAAGTTCGTCGAGATTAGGAATGTCATCGAGGACCAATTTGAAGCATGGAGAGAGAAAGAAGTATACAATGCTATCATGAAGAGAACCGTGTCATCAGTACAATTAGCCATCGAACGGAGAGTAGGAAGACAAGAGGTGAGGTTGAAGAGACGTTAGATGCCTCGGCACGGAAACAACGATGACCCCTGCCTCGCGCTTTGAGTATGCCAGATTTCATCAAAGGAGGCGCTGGCTTTGTGCAGGCTCTTCGGTGTCCATTACCTGTGCAATGCGAATACTACGAGAGAACCAGAGACACCTGCCTTCGGCAACAGCTCCATATCGCAGTAGTATGCGGCTGCGCCTGCCTGTGGTCTATTCGCCGATTGTGCCCTCCACCTTTCCAAGCTCGCTCCGACGGCTCGACAATATACATCGCTCTCTCCCGACACTCATGCAAAGCTTTCACACCGACATGTATCATAAGATCTCGCGTCAAGACTGGAGAACGTCTCTCAACCCTCCACAAAGTAAATCCTTGTGTAGCCTTCGCATGAGACCTCCAGGTCCGGCAGCAACATCGCAAACGCTCGTTCGACACTCTCGAATTCCTTCTCGCTCGGTCCGCTGAGATATATCACCGTGTTCATCAAACGCAGTCTTCTGAGCGCGGGCTGTCGCTGGATGAAGGGTGCGAGTTCGTGGAAGTGCACAGCTCCTCCAACGAGCGACAAAGCCTTCAACTCCAGCAGCAAAAGCTCGTCAAAGGTCCACAACGTGTCGCACTTTTCGAATCTGCGAATGGTGACCTCCTCGATCTGCTCGTGCGACAGACCTTCGCCGCTGTCTAGAATCTCGAGCGACAGAGACTCGAGCTGCTCGGCACCTTGAAGGACCTGCATGAACTGGTCGATGTACCGGCCTTTCCCAAGTGGATGAGGATCGCGGTCCTTCTTAACCCACACTACCAATTCCGCGTTCTTCAAAGTTGACAGACAGTTGGCAATAGACGCCAAGCATGCCTCGTCGGTCAGTAAGGAGTGTACCGGTAAGCCCCATCGTCCAGGCTCCATTCGAATGTTGTCCACCTGGACGTCGCACTTCGACAAGCAATGCAGCATTCGCACTGCACCATTTTCATTTGCCGGAGTCATTTCGCTTGGAAAAACCATCCCGCCTCCTCGAACGAGTTGCGCGTACTTCCGTGGCCTAGTAGCAGACTTGCGGCAGTCTGTGAGAACAACTTCCAGGGTCTTCTTGTAATTCGAAAGCTTGTCGAAGATGGCCTCGCACATAGCATCAATGGTTCCAACTGTCGCGCTGTCTTTGAGAGCCCTCTGCGGAGTGAACTCTTCGCCGTCAGCTTCGGTTTCCCAATTCTCGTAATTCAGCGCCGTTGTAATCTGCGTCAAGAATGCGGACTTCGATTCGAACGAGGACTCGCTACTATACAAAGTAACCCAGATTCTCGCGAAGGCGATTCGCAAATACTCGTGTGATGGTATGCCATCTGTACAGATGCTTATCTGCCGGACTGCTGAGCCGAATCGTCTCTCGCGAACAATTTTGAGAGCGTCCTTCAGACTGGGCTCGTACGCCGGTAGGATGACAAGGTCCTCGAAGTGGACTTTAGCGAACGCCCACTGTGCCCTGTTGTAGCACTCCTTGTTGGCAAGTCGAAGGCAACCGATCCCTTCTTTATCGACGTTGTTGGCCACTGCCTCGAAGAGCTCAGCAGGGAGATCCGAAAGTGTTGTTCTCTCCATGTCCCTCGCGCGACGGGCCATACTTCGAGTAGTGGTCCCCATTTCATCTGGTGGGGTTTGTCAAGTTTGTCGAAGACGAGGTACATTGTCGATGTTTTATTTGGTGTTCACTCAAGACTGTCACATGAAAGCGGGAGCCATCGGCCCGTTCTTTCTCCGATTCACTGAGCACATCTGCTGACTCCTCGAGTCTCATATTTCTCCTGCATCTTGTTGCTTGCTTTCTCTGTACTCAAGTCTGCTCAGCGATCAACTCGAGACTCGAGGTTAACCATTCCAGATCTCATTCCGCAAGAGCCCAACTGTAAGATGGAGGACATCGAGCCTGTCGACTGGACCACGCTGCCAACGGAGCTCTTTGAGCTCGTAGGCACCTTTCTTCCCACGAAAGACCTTCGCGCCGTCCGACTTATCAACCGCAGTGCAAATGAGAAGATACTTCGGCACTACACCAAAGTCAACTTCTCAACCATCAGCATTCTGCTCTGCTACGCTACAAGCATTCGCGAAGCAGCCAAGATAGTCGCACACCCAACATTCGGGACGGCTATTCGTCAGATCTCTTTGTGCGTCGACACGATCATTCTGAGAAACCCCTATATCAACCCGAACAGTTACCTGGAAATATATGCCATCGGGAATTACTATGATGGTCACGACAATGACGCCCAGATTTTCAACTCTTCCGAGTGCATCGACGAAATCGCGGACATGAATGAGAATGGCGAGGACAGGCAGATCTTCGAGCGGGTTTGGCAGAGACTAAAGGAGATCAACAAACTCGAAACGGTGCACTTGACGGATAGTCAGCTCATGGTCCCAGGAAGCGAGGTCGAGCAGCGAACACCCATTGCCTGGCAAGAGTTTTGGGGCAGCGGCGCTCTTTCTTTCCCCTGCATAGAGGCGAAGAAGCTTCCAACATTGGTTACCGCTCTTGATACCTTGGCCGAGAAAGATCTCATGCTGGACACCTTTTACATGGAGCCGAATCGATGGGCATACCTTGTGGATGGCCCTTTGACTTCAAGCCACACTCTTGATGCGAAGCTCTTCCGTCAGCTCAAGAAGCTGCATCTGAGAGTGGCGCCAAGCCGTTCTGGCGACAGTGTGAGGTTCGGCAGTATGACCGGCCTAGGATCTTCGATCTCTGCGATGCGTCGATTGAAGCAACTTACGATCGAGTGTCCTGGATGGTGTGTCATGCACAATCCTCGCTACACCCAGGAGCACCTGGAGGACGCCATTCGGGGCCAGGTCGACCACGTTTCTCATGTGATGTTCGAGCACGACTTTGTGTTGCCTGGGACGGTAGAGCACCTCTACGTCAAGGCGCATTGGGTCAGCCTTGTAGACATGGGCGATCTGATTCGGACAAATCCTCAACTCAAGACGCTGCAGGTCTACGCCGTCGTCCAGGAGGCATTGGGTGACGAGCATTCGATGGACTCGGGTGATGTCGTGGCAGAGCTGCGTGGCAGCACCGGGAACAGTGAGGTGGAACTGGACATCCACGTTCCGTCGAAGTATCGCTATGAGGCAGAGAGGTAGATCTTGGATGATGAGGGGAGGTGTTGCCATTGTGCTTGTGAAACGACTTGTGGGCCCGCGATCGATTCGTGGATGGGGAAAGGGGCGTTCGCACCGCGATCACCCAAGAGGCGCCGAAGTGTGGTATTGCATAAAAAGTTGTAAGTCGTAGATCGCTTAGGCGAGTCGCGACAGGCTGACAGTGGAACTGGCTCCGGGGTGACAGGGAGCGAAATGTGTGTGGCGCCATATGCTGCGGTTCTGACTAGGCTCAATCCTAGTTCTGCATTGCGGGCTTCACAGCGCACCTGTCGTATGTTGTCAGTCGAGAGGTAGAACATTATTTGGGCGGAGCTGCGATCCTTAGATGCAAACGTGAACGTTGAAGTGAAGCTTCACTTCAACGCGCATTAGGCAGTCACGTATTAGCGTCTTGGCACGTCACAATAAAAACACTTTTTTTTCCCATCAACTTTGTCCTGCACTTGTTGCACAACAACACCGACACTCACTTTCGACTCACCGACAATGGCATCGCCAGAGCCAGTCGACGACGGCGAACCGCCCACTGAGGCCGAAACGCACCAACATGAGAAGCAAGAGATGTAAGTGATCATGAGCGGCGGCGGCGGCGGCGGCGACGGCAGTGGTTTGTTTCAGTGCGAACCAACAATGGTGCAGCGAGAGGCTTCTTAGGGCAATCGGCGAGGATTTGGAGCGCAGGCTTGCTGCTCTGTTGCACTTCAATGTCGCGATTCAGAGCATGCAAGCCTCCCTGTCCGACGGGACCAAAGACATGATGGATCGGCTTCTTATGGTCTAGTAAGTTACCATCTCGGGGCAAGTCCGCAAGATGGTACTAACAGAACCCAGTTGCCGCTCTTCTCCAAAACTCGATATCGAAGACTCACTGCATGAGCCCCTTCGACTGAAGATGGAGACGTTGCGCGCGGCGAACACTCACGAGGGTGATCCTACGGCCGACATTCTGCTCTTCCCATTCTGCAATCAGCTCTGCTCGGCGTACTGCACAGCAAGCAACGAATTGCGGGACTCAGCCAGCAACTGCTGGTCCGTGGTATGGAGGTTGACTCAACACAATGTGCTCAAGGACGGTGACCACATAAAGGAGCATGTCAATGTCGATATTGAGAGGTACGAAGCTTCCCTATCAGCATTTCGTCGAGACCTTGCGAAGTGCGCGGCGGACACCTTCAATTCGGTTCGTCGCACCATCGGAGCGCTGCGCGATACGTTCGAACAACTTCGACTCGAGGCCAAGAAAAATTGCGATGGCTCAGATGTCCAACGCTTCTACAGTCCGATGAGTCGCTGTGAACAATATTATTTCCTCATCGCAATGGCCGAACGCCTTCAAAAGCCTCCGTTCAGCGACGGGACCCACGCGAGACGCAATCGCGAACTGCGGCATAACCTCGAAGCAGCCATGTTCCTCCTGAGCTTCGAAGAACAACGTGAATGGATTCGGAAGGCGTATGAGTTGGTCGACGTCAAGGTCCGTGAGGACCTACAGAAGGCCTTTCCAAGCGACTTCGCGGAGACTTTGCAAGACTGACGCATGGGTATCTTTCATGACTTATTGACGGAAAGAGGCTGCCACCGATCACGGGGAATGGTATAGCTTGGGACTTCAGGAATTGAGCCAAGGTATTGAGGGCACACGGCACTCTCCCAAGCAGGTAAACAATGCAGAGAGCATTCCAAGGGGCACGTATCGCCATGAGACTTTGGTACATGCGCTCTGAACATCATCGAATACTGTTTCATCCCGTATCTCACGTGCCTCGGGTCATTCTTGTCGTCGAATCCTCTGTTGAGGGTAGTCTTTTGGGTCCGTGGCCTCGCAGGTTGGCGGATGTTTCGGACTTTCGTTCCTTCCGATCAATCGCTAAGTCTTGCTTGATACAAGACCTTGCTTATGCTTCATCGCAGGGCGAAGTGGTTTCTCATACGGCTCTGCTCATAGAAACCGAAGTCCCGAAGTGCATAGACGCTGCTGTAGTGGCTGTTGGTCTTGGAGTACGGTCCTGATGTTCGGATATCCTTGTTCTTGCTCATCGCGGACGCGGACCGAGTCCTTCTGCCTTGACCGCCTGGGAGTGTTCAGCACTGCAAGCAGCCATTTCCGGCCATCTTCGCATAAAACACTGCATGTTGACGCCCAGCTACCTTCTTCGGTTCACACTTTCTCTCACAGCTTGCTGCACAACACTTGATCAAAATCGATCTCAGATGCGGACCGCATGCCAAAGAAGGCAATGCATTATTATTATCATTGGAGGGAGTAACAGCCTTTCACTGTAATGCACAAGCGAATCGGGAGAAGTGCCGACAAAGTTCATGTCAGCCTGCTATCCGAGCAAACACCTTCAATAACCTTCGTAGTCTCTGTGGGAAAACATGTGAAAGTGATCTCAGTCCCGGTCCGTTTCACGTTGTTGGCTTACAATTGTACCATGAGGTCCAATTCCAAGACGTACTGTAGCTTCAGCGTACCCTTTTGGTTCGATCAGCTTACCAATGGCAAGAAGTCAAGTTGTACTGTAGGCATCAGTCTCAACTGTTCTCGTCAGGCCTGAGGTTGGGCTGACGAAATCATGGTACTTTGCCGCTCTTCCGAGTTTTCCGTTCTCTTATCGGGGTTACAGGGCACATGGATGTCCATGCGACAATCCAGTGCTTATCAATTGCTTGTCGCCATTTGTTCTTTGCTCAAGCTAGTCGGAAGTCATGTCCAGAAGAGACTCAAAGCGCAGCAAAGGCATCGAAATCAGGTAGAGCACGACGAGAGGCAACGAAGTGATCGCGATGATAGCTGGGGAAGAAGTTTTGAATCGGAGAAGTCGCAGAGCTTTCGTCCAATCGTGTTATGGCTGTTCCCAAACCGTTGGCTCGGTAATTGATACACTTTATAATCCATCATAACCTTCTTCACATCCCACGAAATCTGAGCTGTCTCGGCTGACCTATGCCGTGATTGCAAGCAACGGACGAGAAGAACTTGATGCAGATAGCAGAAGTAAGCCTCTTGAGCCCGAAGTCGCGTCGAACTGCTCGTTAAAGTGTGGGATGCATCGTATTGTACACGACTGCGGGCCTGCTGGCAAGGCGCGATAAAATTGTCATACGTGATCTGGTCGTTCGCGAAGACCATTATGGGGCAGGAGCCGGGGCCTCTGTTCCGCTTCCAGCACCTGCTCGAGGTCCTGTCGTAGGTGGCAGCAGAAGCGGCATATATCCTTGTTGGCACAAACTCTGTTAGCTCGAGCAAACTTTGTTGTGTGACGCGTTGTCGCGTTGAGGGCAGTGTTCCAACATCGTCAGGAGAGAAATGCAAGTACAGGAGGAATTGTGGGTCCGCGCTTGCAATCGCCAGACGAGGGAGCAGGAAAGAAATCGGGGGATAATATCCAGCACGTACCGACGCCTAATGACATGATGGCCATACCCACGGATAGGTACGCGGGTGAGGACGAGGCTGCTTTCTGCGCGGGGGTCTCAGTGAGCCAGCTTTGGAGTGAAAACAGGACGGCGGTCCATCCCAAGAGCCTGGAACATCGTAAGCAAGGTCCCGGTGGAGCGTGGCCGCGAATGCTTTACTTGTTCCTTGTGAAGATCTACATCACAGCAAGTGTCAGTGGGCAACGCTTGTCCATCGTAGTCATGACTACTCACGGCTGCCATTGGCAGAGTACTTGTCATCGTGCCTATGGGATGAAACGTCAGCAAAACCCGTGCCAAGGGCGCGGGCCCGTGGTGAGAAAGCATTGCCTCACTCTGAAAGTCTGTGCTGCTCTCATCCTTCTCAGGAGGTTGGTAAGGTACAACTAGGCAGGTAACACAATCAGCCTTCACTCGCGCTTGTGCCTCTGGGCGCGGTGCTGGCCGACGAGGCAGCGCGAAGGGCTCGTACTCAGGTCCGGTCGACGCATGTCCTTCTTGGAGGCCATCGTGGCTCGATGTGCGGGATCGGTAGAAGTGTCGAGGCGGTGGCGAGATGGCTGGTGCGATAAAGAACCGGTGTGCCGTGATAGTGCTCCGTGGTTGCGCAAGTGTGGTGAGAGTGGGTGAAGTCGGGCTTGGAGACGAGAGCTGGCCGTCGGGCGAACTAACTAGTGGACGCTGCCGAAACGATGTTGCCAAGCATCTCTGGTGTTCACAACTGGTCGGGCCATTACTTATCGTGCTACGTACAGCATCTCTACAGTCCGATGATAAGGACGAATGCTTGGGGGCTGCGAGCGTCTGCCAGTATCACTCATCGAGGCCGAGATAAGCACCAATACCAAGTTCGAGTGATATGTCCCGTTGACTCGCAGAGTGGCGTGGGCTTGTGCACGGTTCTGTTCTGCCATGTCCATCTATCTATTCTCGCACATGCGTGACAGGGGCGGCGAGAGGTCGAATTGACGCGTTTGTGATTGACCTCACCGCGCAGGCGAACATGTGCCACTCGTGGAACAGCTCGACGGGCACGTACAGCAGCGATGGAGGGGAGGGCATCGATGGTGAGACTCGGCGATTCTCAGGTTGGCCAAGAATGGCGACAGGACGGGAAGGAAGGCGGGCCGAAAGGCAGAGCAGCTGGCAACGTGGGCCAATCCTCCGTTTGTCCTGCCAGTGCTGCTGTTTTGGGGGTGGCCGTTGGCGGTACATACAGTACTTCCGTTTCCGCCTTGTTCGGCTATCTCGCCCTGCTCTGCTCTGCTCTGCTCCGCTCATCTGCACGCCTGCTGCTGCTGACGCGACGGGCCCTGGTCGCTGCCCTTTGTGTGTGCGCATGGGATCCCTCCATCGCTCCCCATCACTGCATTACTACGTGCCTGCATACGCTCTTGCTACCACTTCTCACACTACCACCACCGCCACACCTCCCACTCTGCCGACGCCAACCTTTCCTCTTCCGACTCCTCCACCACCACCGCACCCCGTCGCCGACATGGCGTTGAAGAGGTCGACCAGCTAAGGCGTGCGGCGAGCGTCCGATGATGATGCCGCTGCTCGCTCAGCCGTACTATGGATCATGGGCACCGACCACTGGGCGGAGGAACGGGACAGCGACCACTGCCTCCCCAGCGCGCCGTGAGCGGCTCCCACGCCCTCCAGCAAGGCCTCAAGAGGCCCGCTGTTCCCTCGCGCCTCAATAATGTGCGCTCCGTCTCGCAACCGGGCTTTTATGTCGACTTGACTTCCGATGCGGCTACACGACAGAACGCTGCTGCGTTTACGAACAATGGCGGCTCACTATACACTTCCCCGAACGTCATCGATCTCAGCGACGACGACCAGGCACGACCAGCGAAACGAGCCAGGACCGACGCCCACGTCCCTCCTCCCGGCGAAGGCGGCGTGCAGGATCCCGCTCACCGAAGACGACCCGGCTCACCTCTTCCACCCCCTCCGGTTCCGCGACTGCCTGCGTGCATGGGAAGGAGTCGTCGACCCGCGGTGGACAGGTTGGCACGAAGGGCGAATGGCCTAGAACCACCACTGTGTGCGACACGCTTGCCGCTACCGAAGCAGGTGGCAGACTTTGCGCCTTGGAATGGACAACATCCCGAAGATGTCATGACAGACGGCGTGGTGAAGGGTGGCTACTACGACAAGCCTCCCGGGCCCAACTCGACGGAGACGAATTCAGCGAAGCCGACCATATGGCCGAATCTGTCGGCTAAGAACAACATGGGTCTGCAGACTTTGTCATATCTATTCACATCCGTACTCGAAAAGAGGCAGGCACTCGGCAAGTGCACAGCGCCTTCGACCTTTAAGCCGCCCCCTCGTGTAACCGTAACAGATACCAAACGTGAAGCCTGGCTGCGTGACCTCGCCAATCCCGAGGTGCCCTTGCGAAAACAAAGTAGGACCATTCCGCATGGAATCCGGGGCAAGCTGCTCATGGAACAGTGTCTGGGCAAGAACATCGCCATGCCGCGCGCTGTCTGGCTGGCAAAGTGTGTTGGAGCTAACGAGCTTCGGGCTTTCCGGCGAAAGGGGGTCAGTGGCACTGCTGCCGCCGCGGGAGAAAGCAAATGGGTCCGCGAATGGACCGTGCAAGTGGAATTCTTCCTCGAGAGCGTTATTGCTATGTGTGGACAGCCCGAGTGGCAGTCGAAGATGGACTATGCCGTCAAATTGGCCACGGCGTTCTATGCGGAGCGCCTCCTCGAGCGGGATCACTACTTAGACTGGATCGTCTCTTCGTATGCACAGGCTACGACGGAGCGACTACCGATTTGGATCATTCTAGTTCAGCTCTACTGGAAAGAAATAACAAGCTTCGGCCGACGAGGGCGCCGACTTGCTGAGGCCACTCTGGAAAACTTGCAACAACTCACTCGGCTCGACTCGAGGGTTCACGATTCGCTGAAGGCTAGATTGCAGAAACTCGTCATGATCATGGCTGTGACCAATCGAGGCTGCCTCATCATTCCAAGGAGCTGGCAAAAGTATCAGCACCTGCTGACACCCAAGACTGCAGCTCCCGGTACCCCTGCGCAGAATATCACCAAGAGGAACCGAAGATTACTAGCTCCACTGATGAAAACGCCACAGAACACGCGATGTCCTCTGTTGACCTTGTACGGGATTCTGGATGCTCATGCTCATGCGCTGCACGTGGATGTGGGGAGACTCGCCACAGCTTGCCAGGCCATAATCCCAGAGGTTGACAAATTAATTGCCGCGCTGTTGACATGGTCCTCGTCAGTATACCGAACCGGAATAAATCGAGCATACCTCGCTGCCAAAGTCATCGCGGTCCTTGCATCGAAAGGTCTAGATACCGATGGTGCAATACTGAGCTTCCTTGGGATTCCTCAGTCAGTATCTATAGTGGCAGCTGACGTGCACCGCGTACTCACAGAGCTCGTACGCGAGAACGGCTTCTCTTGTGGAAGGTACCTCCAATGGCTGATCACGTCTGGTGCGGTTTCGGGAAGCGCATCACCGGACCTCGCCACTGGCTTGCTCATAGCGCTACCCGCGTCTGCTCTACCCGCTCATCTGCAGAACACGCGGAAGTCCCTACTACACAGAATCTCGGAAGTGAAGGATGAGGGCAGCGTCGTTTCAGACATACTGGGCGTGGGTATCGACGATAGTGACACAGCCTCACGCGTGCGCGTTATGCAGCAAACCGAGAGTCTAGGCGCAGCTGCCAAGCAGGAGCTTGCTGATGCGCTCACTGCACAAGTGGAATACCTGGTGAAAGAAAGCATTCTTACGCACCGATGGTTCTGCTTCGCGCGAGATGTGCTCGAGATCATACTGGATATGCGAGCGTTGCGGCACCTGCTTCAGATGTCGATGACCTCAGGCGACCCCGGCATCTTGGCCAGTATCAGTGATACCATCGATTATCATCGCAAATCCTTTGCAGCCATGGGCTATCTGATGCCCATGGTGGACGACTTGCTTGAACACTATCGAGTCTTGCGGTCGCAACAAGCACTTGACAGAGCACTTATCATCTCGCTCATTACTTTGACCAAGCCATGGGCCGACAAGATGCATCTTTTGCAAAGCCAACAGATCCTCGGCGCCTTGCCCAATGATCTACTGATCTGCGAACAGCAGACTTCCATGGCTGTCTGCTCGCCCGCATCCGATAGTCTGGTTAGCATGCAAGCGGGTAGCCTTGACTCTGACCAGGAAATCGATGCAGTATTCGCTAGTGGGAATACTATGGACGAGCAGCTGATGCAACGGGTATTTGCGAGAATTGCGCAGCGCGCAGGCAAATTCGAAAGCGAGCAAGATCATGCCGCCAGCAAACTTTGTGCATGGCTCACGCAGCTCCGTGCCGTCGATGCCAGCAACTTTGACCTACTCGCCACGAATCATGTGCAGGCGTGTCTCAGAAGCTCTGGCGACGCGGCCTCCTCATTGACATTGATCAGTGCACTTGTCGCCAGCGGATGCATGGAACTCGAGACAATTATTGGCTTGGCCCAGAATATGAAGACACCAGCATCAGCGTGCACCATGGTCCGTCTTCTCACGGCAACAGCCAGCATATGCGTGGGGCTTGGCGAGCACGAAGCCTACCGCTTTCGAGTCATCCAGCAGCGAGCCTGTCAGACTTCTGCCGATGCCTTGGTTCCACTACTCGTCACTGCCATGGACGACAACAAGTTCCCTGCTTCTGATCCAGGCATAATCACGTTGCTTCTGGAGTACACTGTCAGCAGATATCAAGTTTGCCTACGTGCGCTAACAAGCGCTCGTCCGTCACCAGCGTTCCTCTCCAATTGTACGAAGCTCGTCACGAAAATGCTGTCTCCGTCCTGCGATGAGTATGTTTCAGTGGTCGGCCTTGATGCGAAGACGATCATTGGTCTCGCCGACGCTATCTCTGTTGCGCAATGTACGATGGCACTGGCTCTGCTCGCCAAGAAGGAGGCATTGCGAGGATTGCCAAATGAGAGTACCCTGCAGCCAGCAATACTTGACGCCATCGTCCATGGAAGCGAAATATGGCCACAACTACTCGAAAGCGCTGGGCAGGACACAGTTCGCAGCATTTACCAATGGGCAAAAGACCAAGTGTTGGTCTGTGCGTCTTTGGAAACCGGTCCCGCTAGTATCGATGAAGCTAAAGCCAGTCGCAATCTTGATATTTTGTGTGTTGCTCACCACGCTGCCAAAGACAACAGCAAGTCTCAGATCGTCTCGAGCATCTTGGACAGACTAAAAGAATTATTGGAGCGCTTGCCAAAGGAACCCCTCGGTGTAGAGCATAAACAATACCTCATGGCCTTGCGGATTCTCCTCCATCTCTGCATCCTCTACGCCTGCGATCCAACGTCGGACCGTGAGGGCCCTCGAACCAGTCGCGAAAGCCTCCTCGCAACACTGTGCATATTTCTTGGACATCCCGGCCTGCAGTGCCATCAGGAGATCCTGGAATACATTCACGATGTTGCATCTGCTCTTTCGGATGCATTGCCTGCTGAATCTCTGACCGCTCTGGGGCACGCAATGCTTCGCAATGGAGTCCGTGACCCACGACTAGCTTTCATTCTTGGAATGATCAACAATCCTGACGCTTGGCTTGCTCTCGTATCTTATCCGCAGCCGCAACCCGGTGGGGGAAGTGCGCAGGCTAAGGCGCTGTTGCAACGAGCTGCGCAGCAACAACAACAAGCGCAAGCTGCGGGCAGACCTGGTCCGATGTCTGGCGCTGGAGGGTCCGCTGTCCTGCAGCGTGCCATGTCTTTGAGAGCTGGACAGCAACCGCAGGGCGAGCCTAAGGTTGTACCTTATACACTTCGGCGATGGGAGATGATGAGTGATGCGACGCCCAGCATGGGAGACAACGATACGAGTCTCAGTCTTGGATTGTTTGGAGCAAGGAAAGTGTATTGAATGGCAATTGCACTTGGCAGGAGTACGAATCGAAGGGACATGGACAGCATTGAGCTTCCGTCCAAAAGGATGACGATATTAATTGGAAGAAATGGTGTACAACGGCGTATCTTGGGAATGAATTTTGGGATTGGCGGGAACAGAACGAATGCAGTCTGGTTGGTGGCATTTGATGGGAATATCATGGAATCACGATCAACGGAGCACAACAGGGCGATCTTTTCATCCTATTTCTTTTTTCTTCTGGTTTTATTTTACTCGGCATTTCTGGAAGCGTTCAAGCGGTCAGGAGCTGTGTATCCTTTATTCGTGCTCACTGGCATTGTTTTCGGTTCTTCGAAGATGTATGAGTGGTAGACTGGTGCGAGGGCCTAGAGGGGCAGATTGATGGAGAAGTAGAGCATATAGTGGAACACTGTATGATGAGATGCAAATTCTAGTTCAGAGTTTCGAGTTGCTGTCATTTTTGCTGGCATTTGCAAAGATAAATGACAGCTTTGGTTGTGTTGTTCGGATACCGATGCCTGCGTTTGATCCTCGACGTAACCTTTTCCTCTCTCCTTACGGTGTCGCTTGTTGTTACGACCAGTGCAGGTGATATGTAGCCCGTTGCTGACCTAATATTTTAGGGGCAACATTTCTGTGCATCGTTCTTGCCTGGCGCCGCTGTGCGTATCTCGAATGCTTGTATTGGGCAATTCGCGATCCGAACCTCATTGCCTCAATTCACATCATGCGCACATCATCGTCATCAAAATCGTCTTCGTCTCGTTCCTTTTTTCCCTTTTGCCATTCCTCTTGGTCTAGATGGTAGCTCCATGACTCCTTCCATCCTCGTCGTCGCTTTCGCTTTCCATCCCGTTCGAATGCTTGGGTGCCGCGCTGTCTTCATCAGGAGTCGTGACGTTATTTTGACCTGTTGTGAGGCCGTACCCTTGCACAATCTCCGCTACGTGAAGATCGGCAGCGTGGGACATCCATGGGATCTTGCAGAACGATTTGCCACCGCGTCGACTACAATCCGGACGCTGGCAAATGTGTCCCAGGAAACAGGTTGCGGAGCGGCAACTTCCTATGAGAAGTGATCAGTATTGAGTGAGGAGAATGTGAGCTGAACAGGACAGAAGCCTACCTCGTTTCGGGCACGGTTGGTGTCGAGCTACCCATTTCAAGCACTCAAGCATTTTTGGAGTTATTGCAGAGTGGTCGTATGGGCATTCGTCGCCTCTAAGGCAGTATCCATTGAATTGGAAGTTATTGCACAACTTCTTCTGCGCAACTCGAGCCTCGAATTCTGCTCGTTCTTCGCGCGTTGACGGAGGCGTGTATCAGCCAGTTCTCGAGCGCTTAACATGGTAGGAGCGAAGTCCGAATGTGCTCGTCAAAAAATTCGCGGAAAGCTCGACTTGCGAGAACGAACGACAATCACGAGTGGGCAGAAAGCAAAGAGAAAGAATGGACGCCTGAAGTAACAGCAGACGACATGATATGCGGCTTCGCACGCGTGTCTGAAAGATGTTTGTCTCGTCGAGTCTGAGAAGATGAAAGCAAGCGGAAATCAGATCGGGGCCTGTTGCCTGTGCAGGGATGCAGCGGCTCCACTGCGAATAAACAAGACGCAGCAAGCACGCAAAGCCCCACGACGAGTGCGGTGCACAGCACGCAGCATGGCGGGCAGCATGATGGACGCGCAGTGAATTCGCAATGGAGGAGTCGTGCTCGTTGCAAAGCAATGGCAAGGACGAGTGGTCTCGCGCTCGACAAGGATGTTGCGATTGACTTTCGGCTGCCCCGCGAACCGTGTGCTTGACTTCGCGTCGTCGCGTCTCTTCTGTTGACGCCGTGCAATACTCGTGCAGGTCTCGAATTGTTTCCGACGGCCGGACACAGCCATGGACAGCAGTGCTCATAACGCCCTGAATGGCTGCGTCGCGTCGTTACGCTCGAGCATGCAGCTGCTGGAGTCGAGCATCAACATCTTGGACAGCGGGGTGAACGACTACCCACGCCTCGCGAAAGTGCTACAGACAACCAGGGTAGAACATCTCCTCTACAACTGCCAGATGGTGCTGAGAATGCTGACACTAGATCTAGCACTTCGAACTCGTCTCCGAGCACGATCTGACCACCGCTCAATCCACCCTGCTCTCCGAAATCCAACCTGAAGTCTCGAATCTCCTCGCACGCGTGGAGACATACCTCGATAAGCTGGAGCGTCGGGAAAAGAGCCTGATGGCCAAAGCAGAGTTGCAAGAAGGCCGACTTGCGCAACCATCACGAGCAAGCTCCGGATCCAAGAGTCCCGCACGTAGACCAGCCGCCGGAGGGCTCGGCAACATGGAAGAGATGAAGATGCAGCAGCTTCGGCAGAAAAAGGAACGTTTGAGCTATGCTGTGGGAAGGCTGGAGCTGCAAGCAAGTCAGAGGCAGAGGCAGCTGAGAAAGAGCATGGCCGCGCAATGAGACTCTGCTCTAGTCACGCACACAGCGTGCATTCCTCCCCACACACGACTCTACGGCGTCTGTAGCCACGGACCACCTAGGTCCAGCTCATTCGCGATACGAGAGTAGTCCATGCACAATTTGCACTAAGAAAGCTCAAACGTAAGGAAAGTGCCGGTCTCCCGACTACCTCCAGCATGGAGCGCCCAAGTAGCTTGAACGCTGCGCCACGATGACTCGAGGGGAATGAAATGGCCTCTTCTCTGCCATACTGGCAGTGGCGTCAATGCACCCTCCGAGAAGATCTGCCATTTCGCTCGCCTTCGCCAGGGACGTTCGGAAAAAGGCATGCCATTTCGCGCACCACGCTTCATCCCAGTGAGCGCAATGCCTGTGATGATCCGCTGACCATCCGAGCTAATCTTGAGTGAAACAGACTCTGGACAGACTGAGATCAGAAGCGGCCCTAAGATGACAGAGCACGTTGTAGTGATAGCTCCTCAAATTGTAGGCAAAACAAAATAGACACCAAAGAAACGATCCGCATTCTGGGGGTATATACAATTCGAAAAGTCAATTAACGAAACAAAAACGTCCCAAAACTCCTCTGCTCTGTCCACAGAAGCTGATGGAACCCGGCCGTGAGTCGCTGAAAAGCGTAAAGTCTTCGAAACGAAACAGACACAAAAAATGCACATTCTTCCCGGGAATGGCTGTAATCCCCCTTGCTTCAGTATACCATGGGTCGTGCTGAAAAGCGTCCGCATGCTCCAGGCTCTAAGGTATGCTGACGTGACGCTCGTTCTTCTCGCTTTTGACGCTCTCTCTCCTCCTACGGAGCGTTCGATTCTGAGGCTCTCGAAGCCCCTCCGCGGACGCTGCCACTCAGACTCCCGCCAGAGACATCCCGTGTAGGCAAGCCTGGGCTCGAGACCGGCGGCACTCCAAGCGATCCGGAGCTTGAAATGTTGCTCACCTTCCTCTCAACACCAGAGTCGGCGCCATTGGCTTGGAGCGACGTCTGTCTCGATTGCGAAGAGGCGATTCTACCGCCTGTGGGGACGCTGGCAACCGGTGTCACCCCACCCTGCACACGCTGGCGCGTGCCTGGGAGATTCTTCAGCCTCGATGTTCTCCAATTCTCGTACCATGTTCTGCGGCTGATATCACGCAGCTCCACGCGCCATTCGGAGAACACACTGTCGCGAAGACGTCCAAAATCGCAATGGCTGGCATCGTACGGATCCGCGAAGCCCCATGGGAATCGGCGTCCGATCTTCTCTCCTTTCTTTGGTGCGGGCACGTACGGAGGCAGGTCGTAGATGTCCGGCGAGAACACTGACATTGGGAGATACGGCGTCTCTCCATTGCTGGTTTCCATCAAGGACAGGCTCGATTGACGCCGGTGAGACTTGCCCCGCCCTCCCGGGGAAGAAGAGTTGGACTTTCCGGATCCGGTGTCGTCATTTTCGCTGTTGGCCTCTTCTTCAGAGTCTTCCTCCAGCTCCAACGCTTCCAGGGGGTCCAATTTGGCAGTCTTGATAGCGTCCCATACAGTACGTTTCAGGTACGTGATGTGACCGGTAGTGATCGTATCTGCTTTCCCGATGACTGGAATCACCGTAGTCTTGCCCCAGAGAGCCCGCATTACCTGGAGATCGAGGTCGCTGTCGAGAGTGGATGCAGCTCTCTTGGCGCCGGGCTGCTGAGCAATAGTAGCGCTGAGTCTGATCGGGAGTCAGCATTGTCAAGACCTAATCCAGGAGACTAGCAGCCGGCATTGCCTGCTGCAATTCTGGCTTGCGGTGGCTTTACCGCGACGAAAAACATACCTAACGGGATCCAGCACCAGCAACACGCAATGAATGTGCGTATCTTTGACACCGGGCGTACGCATGACCTTCTGCTCCTCGGCGAACGTCTCTTCAAACTTGCTTTCCACGAACCCGGCCAATTCTCTGCACTGCAGATCAACCACATTCTTTTCCAGCCCTTGGGAGTCCCATAACGTCAGACCAATTCGCTCTCCTTCGATCTCCGATTCCAGGTATGTCGAAGTGAACGAGGAGCTTCCGCGGCTGCCATACGAAGTCTGTGGCTCGGGCTCGCTCCCATGAGGCTGCTTGCCAGGGGGCAAGGCTAGCGAGTGCTTAAGGAATGAAATGAAAGAAGTCTTGCCGCTGTTCTTAGCTCCGACAACGAGGATGCTGGGAAGTTCGTTAGCTCTGATTGCTTCTTGGTCCATGGCTCTGTATGACGACTCACTTGAATGGTGTCGGGTCCTTCTTGCGCCGAATTCTGCGAGGGCTGTTGAACGCGTTAACATTCGTTGTAGTTGATGCGTACGAGAAGCGGCCGCGATTCGCCATGCTGGTGGTGTCTGAGAGGTCTGGCGCTACATACTCGCCACTGCTGTGGACACCATTGATTTTGGCCGAAGGAACAGGCGGAGAGGAGCTGTTCAGGGCGCTGTCAGCCCGGCCACTCGAGTAGCCTGGCGGCGAAGAACTGCTCATGGCGGAGCTCGACGGCATGCCTTGCGACTGGCTGGGACGAGAGAAGTTGGCGGTCGGTCGGGTGGGGCCAGATGCGGAGGCGGATGAAGTGGTGTAAGCAGCGTTGAAGATGGCCACGCTGTCCGGTCGTTCCTCGCTGAACGGATTCATTCCTGGCAGCGGCGCGAATGAAGGGAGGTGCGGTGGTTGCTGTCGAGGCTGCGCGGCTTCCCTCTTCGCCTTCTCCTGCTCCTCCTTCCGCCGACTGCTGCCCATGCCACTGACTTTGCGCAACATGCTTCCTGTCTTGCCTGCCTGCGGCGGGCGGTTTGCTGCTTCCTGCTGTACTTGCGCAAAGAGAGTCTTCGGAAGCGGTGGTGCCGTCGGCTCGGCGACGTAGAAGGCGCGTTCGGGCTGGTCGAGTGAATTCTTGCGCGACGAACTGGTGTTGGATTTGCGCAACAGGCTGAAGCTGCGCTTTCGTGGAAACGCCCCGCCGTCACCAGTGCTCGCCGCTCGACTCCGTCCTCCAACGGGCCCGCCGTTAGTCAACGCGTTGTCGTCGGCGATAGGCCACCCGGTCGTCTTCCTCGCGCCCGATCCAGTCGTGTTCACTCGCGCGAGCGGGCGGCTGTCTGGCAGCTGCTCTGAATGCCGTTCTTCCACTCCAATGGCGTTCGCGACGGCAGCGGAGAAGGCTTCACGCTGATTGACGAAGGGAGGGCCGCGCGGCGATGAGGGTATGGGTGGAGGGGAACGATGGCTCGTCGTGTAGTCGGCATCGCGCAGCTGGTCAGCGGAAGAATACCCGGTCGCCATCATGTTTCAAGGGTCAGTAGTCCAGAGGCGATCACCAGGTAAATCATTGCACGACCTCGCTAAGTGTGCTGATCCGCGCATTCGCGCGAAGCGTAGGACAAGATGTCGTCTAGCCGCCCACGCTGCGCAGCGTTACCAAAGGAGAAACAGGACAACAAAACACTCGGAGAGTCAGCGAATTATCCTTTCGAACCGCCTCTTCTCAACATGCAGCAGCCTGCCACATGTGCAACGAGTAAGGAGCCACCGTGCCGGTTGGGTTTCACATGGATTTGCGCGACTAGGCCCGACGTTGCGGAGATGAGCTTCCTGAAACGCGCCACTCCACAGCTTTCACGTGTCATCAACAGCTGCCGACCCAAACTTCTATATATGCGCCAAACGTTCGGCTTGCATGCGGAGGAGACGGCAGTTGTCTGTACATCCCGTATATGTCGGGGAGCGATGTTGATCCAGAGCTCCTCAATACAATAGCCATACCAGCGCGTGACGAACGCGTCCAATGGCCAAATTTCGGATTCGCTTCCTTCGCGTCGATCAGGAGCAGCTCAGGACGACTGGCTGTAGTTTTGGGCTGTATCGCCGCACGATAGCAGCGCCAAGCAGCATCACAGAACTCGTCGGAATATTCGCAAGGCAAGACCACACCTTGGCGTCGACAGCATAGCCAAGATGACATGGAAGGCATTTTCGTCATGCTGGTGCTGAGCAGGCTGGTGTAAAGCGTAGTGCCAGATTTAGAAACCTCGTGGCATGTCCTTGAGCTTAGCAAGATCCCCCATGAATCGGATCCTGAAGAGCCTAACCAACAACTCATGATTGTTGCTCGTGCTGTGGCTGTCGACCTGATGATGCTAAATGGGTGAGAGAACACGTGATACAGCTGTACTGGACTGGTTCAGCTTTAGAAATTCATTGCCGTCCTTCATCTATTATACATAGCTTGTCCGCGCTCTTCATCGCAACATATGTGGACACGCCACACTAAATGAAGCCTCTCATACCTCGCTGCTAACCTGCAGATGTGTGGTTCTTCCAGATGATGCGTATTCAGGGTCCTTTTCTCTTTCTACCTCTCACGAAGGAGCTTCGACCAAGGTCCTATTCCTGCCTTGCTCTCTTGTTCGCGCCAGCCTGCATGCCCTGTTGCTGCTGGTAGCCATACCCACCTTGCTGACCCATGCCACCACCTTGGAAGCCCTGGCCGCCTTGAAAGCCACCACCTTGATAACCGCCTCTTCCGCCCATCCCATACCCACCACCTCTGGCTCCGCCGCCTCCAAAACCTCCTCGTCCCATTGCGTTGTTACCCATCATGCCTCCCATGCCCCCAAATCCGCCACGAAAGCCCATGCCATTCATTCCCATTGCCATCATGGGATTTGCCATCACACCGCTCATCATTGGATTGCCGCTGCCATAGCCATAGCCATTGTTCATACCGCCAAACCCTTGTTGATTCTGCTGTTGCTGGAAACCACCTCGTCCTCCCTGAAAACCTCCGCGCGGCTGGAAACCACCTCGTCCGCGGTCTTGATACCCGCCTCGCTGGAACCCACCACGTTGAGGCGCAGAGTTGTAAGCTCCGGCGTCCTTTTTGGTGGCTTGTCCCGAATCACGTCCCTTAAACGGATTGCCGAGTCCAACATACCAGACCTGGAATTGATTTTTGCGCTTACCTTCAGTTGAACCTGTGCCATCTTCCTTGGGAACTGGATCTTCCCTTGCTTCTACTGCTCGCTTGACTGCTGACGCTGCTGCCGGGGTGTCGAACTCCAAGTAGGCTTCGCCGCGAGACTTTCCATTGATCTTGTGCTCGCCAAAGGCAATGTCCCGAAGTTGTGTTTCGACCTCGGCTTGCGCGCAAAAAGCGCGCAGATCTTCTTCTGTAGTCCACCAGTGGAGTTCGGACAACTTCAATGCCTGGGTGGCGTTCGGCTCGACAGATGTGGTAGCAGGGGTCGATGAGGCAGGTCGGGCTGATGATGTACCATTGGCAGGTGGACCAGACTGTTGATGCTCATCGTGGCCATCATCGGGGGCTTTCCGTTTCTGCCCTGTTTGTGCTGAAGGTGCGTCTTGCTGTTCCTGATGTGTGATATGCTGCTGCTCCTCGTAGCTTGGGTATGAATCGTCGCCAAAGTCAATGCGATCTTCTGGGTTCTCTTCTTCTTGGTGTTGTTGTTCGTTCTGCGCTTGCTCTTGTGCCTGCGATTCGTCGCCGTAAATGTCGAGATCGAACGTGTCGTCTTCGCCAGACATGGTGAAAGTGAGGCCCGCCTACGCTGATGGTTATGCAGGACCCTTCAGGGCTCAGAGAGGTCTGTCACTTGGACAGGAGGGAGGTGAGCGCTTTCAACCTGTTTGGAGAGGTTATGTACAAGTCCTCGAGGGTCAAGTCTGGTTATTGTACAATCAGTCTCGCGATCAATCGTACAGAAGTATCCGTGTCTCGTCCTCTTCTTCCCATCCTCTGTCCTCGGTATCAATGCAGACATACGTACACTGTTGCTCTCCTTCGGCCGCTGGTACACAAAGCTTCAAATAATAGTACAATAGTCGCTGCTCCTGCTAGTGTCCCACTCAAGCGCTGAGTCCAATGCTGTGAGGCTCTTCTGATACCGATGTCCCGATGACACAACACCCGCTCTCGTCGCTGCCCTTGCCGACTCCTGAATGGGGAGGCGCGTCACTGGCCGAGTATCAGGGGACTATGGCTTCGATAGTGCACTGCATCTGTCAGTACGCGAGGGCCGTGATCTCCACTCGGTGTCTTAATATGCTGCTTACCTTTGTCGATGGCGTGTTGAACAGCAGAAGACGCGCTCTGGGAGAGCTCAGAGCACCAGCTGCTGCAGGCCGAACGCTGCCGATGTATCGCCTGCGGACGGCACGGCACGCCTCCACGTCCGATGTCCGATCATCACAGCTGCGGCAATGACGATGTGAAAGGGTCAACGCTGCCATGCTGAATTGGATTAGCCGGGCAACTGGCCTCGTGACAGTGACCACACGCTTGCTCGCCTGGATCAGGTCGCATTGCTAGCCTGTTCCCCGACCGAGCGGCGGTGTGAAGCAGATTGCGGCATATATAGACCTCGCATCATGCCCCTCGCACGCGATCATGTCGCCGCCAACATCGCTGCTGTGAAGCAGGCAGAGGAAAGCGACAAGATGGGTGCGGCAGAGAGCAGCGAGAACGGGACCACCACACAGGCATTTGCAGGCGAACAGAGTCGCGAAGACGAAGAGAATGTCTATGTCAGCCTGACCCACGATGCTCTGGACGCCTCGAAGCAAATGGCACGGGTGAAGAGTGCAAAGGCCGGCGCTGTCGTGCTGTTCGCTGGTGAGTGGCTCTCCCCATTGCCCCGCGACACCGAGACGCCTACTCAGCACTTGAGCAGGACTGTCAATGGCAATGTCACGCCCCAGTAGAATACAAAAAGCTAAGTCGAACGTTGTTTCCTAGGCTGCACACGGGATTCCTTCAACAAGAAAGCCGTCACCCATCTCTCCTACTCAACCTACGCTCCTCTAGCTCTCAAGACGCTCTCTCGCATTGCCCGGGAAATAAAGCGCGATTATAAGCTCACTGCCATTGCTATAACGCATCGCTTAGGCCGAGTCGACATTGGCGATGAAAGCGTTCTGATCGCAGTTTCCGCACCGCATCGCAAAGCAGCTTGGGATGCCGGAGAGGCCTGCCTCGAGAGTGTAAAGAAGTCAGCCGAGATATGGAAAGAAGAATGGTTCGAGGATGGAGGAGTGTGGAGGAGTAATCGTGATGGCGAGGCAGGCACACCTGTGACGAAAGGGAAAGAAAAACTGGAGAAGAGAGAGACAGATCGCCCATCGAAAGGGAAAGAAAGGAAGATGTCCAGTGCTGACCCAAATGCAAAAGACAAGCTGCCTTCCAGAAGAAAATCGAGCGCTGCGAATAGTGGTGGGCCAAGTTCGATTGGTATTAAAAAGGCTGCCACTGAACCTTCGAGGCCGAAGGCTGTAACACGGACAACCACCTTTTACGAGGGCGGTTTCGAGATATAGGTGGGCACTGGACTTTCGCGGGAGTTCCTTGCGGCGGGTGGATCGTGTTCTCTTATGGTATGTGATGTGTAACGGCGATTATGATTAGCTTTACGAGTGCAGTAGCGACAAAACGATTGAACGGGTATCTGCGAAGCGAAGCGAGGCGCATGGATGGTATTTTGCAGAAGTAAATATTCATACAGCGAAAAATAGCTAACAGTTGCCTTTGTCACTGATGTGATGGCAGTGCAAATTTCCTCAAGTCGTGCTTGCTTCGATCGAAATAGTGGTAAAGCTTGCTTCCAGGCGGAACCACTTTCTGCGGCCACGAACAGAAAATCATCACACGTGGTCGGCCTCGAGCACTTTCGGAGTGATTGATACCGTCGTTCACAACATCGTCGGTCGACACCTCTTACCACAGCACCTTATCAATTCTCAACAGGAGAGATTCTCTCACCAGGCTTAGACTTGGCATCATAAATCGAACAGAAAATGCATATTCCTATCCCAACCGCTTCTCCGTCCGCGCCTCGACCGGTTCCCAAAGCTCCCAAAGAGACCAATGCCTGCGACGATGTTTCCCAGCACTCCTTCCTGATCCTAGCTCTAGCAGCAGAGACTGTCGTATGCAACATGGAGCGGGTTGTTGCACTCCAGCAGGTCTGGGTCGAAGACTTTGCCAGAATTGTGCAAGGACTCAGGACAATGAGTGCGCAGAGCTGTGGCGCGAGAAGGACGTATCAAGGCAGTAATGGCATTGACAAGAGTGGAAGTGGATTTTACAACTCATCACACCCAGAAGGCGCTCAAAGTTTGTGTTGCGAGCAAGAGCTGCAAAGAGACTCTCCAGAAAAGGACCCTGCTGCAGCTAAAAAGAGCTGGACACGGGTCTGGAAGCGAAGATCATGGACACCGACCTCAACTCCATCTGTCGCTCTCGTCAAACCGAAGCGATTCTCTGCACCAGATGCTTTTACACGAAAAGGGATGGAGTGTCGCTGTCGATACGTCGTCAAGCTCGAAGAGATACAACATCTGTTGGTGCAGGTTGTGAAGCCAGATACCGGACATCTCCCAGAAACCGTTCAACAAATGGCAATAGCGCTGCTTTGTGATGAGGTCGAGGCATGGACGTCAAGTGTGGAGATGATCAGGACGGCCCCGGCGACTGCAGCGAAGGAGAACAAGTCGTCATCGAGCCGATACTCAATTTTTGCAAGGTCCGCTGCAAAGGGAAGGCTTGAGTCTGAAGACGCCTCGAGTCCATGAAGTGACGTTCGAGAGCTCCACTTAGGTGGCAGTGAGTGCTCATTCCCAGTGGGAGGAGGCATCTGTGCCATATCCTTAATGAATATGATTTGAAATTGGTCACGAACTTGTGAGCATTTCAACCATCGTGCGTGACATGAGTGGGCAATCATCCAGATACTCGATGAGCGGAACCACGTGTGTCCCTTCAACGATCTTGTTCTTTGGAGGAATACCAATTCCATCCCACAATTGCGGCGCCAATCAGACTAGGCACGACCACAATCGCCTTGACTACATTCCGAATCATTGTCCTTTGATCTTCTGCCATGTCTCTACCGGGCCCTCGTACATGCTCCATTCCAGGTCTTGTTGCGCTCAGCTCAGAGATCAGATGTCCAAGAGATGGTCCAGACAACGAGACCTTGTGTTGCGCACCACCAAGAGTGGTCTCGTCGATGACTTTTCTTTTCCGCTGAGGCCTTGGAGTAGGTTTCGCTGTGCTGGATGCAAGGCGACGAGGAATCAAGATCACCTTGGTGACCATCGCCTTCTTGGCGACATTGGTGGCCACCATTGTGCCGTCCACTTAGGTGTTCAGACTCCTCCGAGAAATGAAGAATAAGCGGGGTCCTCATACGATGGGGGCTGTCGGCTTAAACGATCATATTATTAGTCTGCTTGTTGTTCTCCTCCTCTTGACACTCGCCTATTGACGGCAACCCGGTCTCTGCCTGTATGTGGTTTATGGACGGAGCAAGTGGAAAGCGCGACACTAGTTAGCGAGAAGCAGGAAGTCGCCAAGCCGGGCTGGTTGTTTCTGCAGGATCGTACAGCAGCGAATGCGAATGTCTTCTCTGGTCTGCACTCTCAATACATACACTCGTACAGTAAATTGATGTTCTAAGGGCGTGAAGTTCACGATGATTTGGTTGCAAAGTGGAAAACGTCACGACCTGTGCAGGGACCAGCACCAAGTCTCGGCCACGCCAAAAGGCTGTTGCAGTCTTGCAGACCACGGTACACCTCACACAAGTTCGCTGGCATCTGCACTGCACCGAAACGCCACTGCCCGACAACCGTGGTGTCGGATTCGTGGCGTCCACGTTCCGTGATGAAGTGCAACTCCTCTTGCCCGTCTTGAAGAGGATCAACCGGATGAGGGACAGCAAACATCGTGCTGCCGCTTTTGTGGCGCCGACAGACAGCATGATCCCGGCTTGTTCGAGGACGACCTCTTCTTCGAGGACCTCCACGACGAGCAACCATCTGCATATACTTCACGAGACCCTCATCGTGCACCGTATTGCTGATCAGCCTCGCAGCATGTGCTGCGCCGAGGACGGGAACTGAGTAGGGCGGCCCTAGATGTGGACCCAGCCACGCCGTTCCAATTGGTTGAAGCGACGCCCAACCTCGAATTGTCTGGAGCTCCAATGTGCGGCTGAAGACGTCTGTACAAGAAGGATCGCGTGCCCATCCCCGAGCTGTCGCGTAAGGCCATGTCTGCTGCAAACTTCTACGCTGCCGCCATTCGTTTGCCCATTCCCGAACCCGCTGTCAAGTGACTGAGTGAGGCCATTGCAACCCCACCACAGGCAAGCATGTCGACGTTGAAAGTGGACGACCGTTCGCGGCGAGGCCGATCTTCTTCAAGGTCTGGGAGAGACAGGTCGCGTTCAAGAAGCAACGTTCGAGCTCCAGAAGCCCCAGATGTACCGCGTACGGGGTATGCCTATCCTCCGACCACTTCCTCAATGCCTGGCTCATTCAGCAACGGAGCCACAAACGCTGCCTACGACGTGAGAGCTCCAGCTCAAGCCAATGGCTCATACTATCCAACCACGAGTGCGCCGTCTCAGTACGCACCTCCTATCCCAGCTCCTTCGCAGTATGCCCCACCTCAGAGCATTCCATACCCTAGTGATGACGGCGGTTTCACCATGGGCGGCTACACCGACTTCCCGCCAGAAGAACGCCCAGGATACGTGCCGAGCCAAGGAGCCTATATGCCACCTCTGCCCAGAAGGAAAAGCGATGAGGACGACTTAGCATACGGGTCAGACTCGAGCAAAGCGTCAGCACTGCGAGGGCGAGGCCGCGAAGCTCCGTCACGGAACGCCTCATATGGCTCCAGTGCTGCTTATCGCTACACCCCTAATTCAGCTGTAGATACACGACCTCAGGCCCAACAGTATCAGTATAGCCAGGCGCCCGACAAGATCAAATACAACGCCAAGCCCAACGGGTCACAAGCAACCACCTATACTGCTACTCCACCTGAGCAATACCGGCCGGATGTAAGATACAACTCAGGACCGACAAGTCGCCCATACGACCAATTACCAAGGACGTACTCGGATGACTCTTATGGAGACCACGGAGCGCAGGTAGTTGACATCACCCCAGGCAGAGGGAAGAGCGACGGGAAGTCTTCCAAATCCAAATCGCATCGTCATTCGGCCATTGACTTGCCGCCTCCACCACCAATCGGCCTCGCCCCACAAGGCCTTGGGCCTCGAATGGATCGGCTCTCTGTGAGTGGCAACAGGCCTGACATGTTATCACTAGGTCTCGGAGGTGCTGTCGGGGGCGCCGTAGGAGGAGGCCTACCGCCACCGAGTCCCATGCTTGAAGCGTATCATGGCACATATCAATCGATCTCTCCCATGCCCCTCGCCATCCGTCCAGATGATGACTTGGATCTTGATGACCTACCCCCTCTCTCCCCACCTGCCATCCGGAGCTCTGGCTCATCGCGTTTGGAATCCGATGCCTCGAGGCGCGACGCCCAAGGCAAGAAGCGGGTCATCATGTATGATCCGGAAGAAGACGCGAAGAAGATCGCTTCTGCCTTGTCTCATCGCTCTGGCAAATTCGATGCAGATGCAATTTGTGACGTGCTGCCGAGGCTTTCTCATGATCAGATCATGGAAGTGAGAAAAGAGTACAAGAAGCAAGTCAAAGTCCAGGGCAAAGGTGTCAATATGGGCAAACACATCAACATGAAGCTCACCGGCAACTTTGGGAAAGCAGTCTATGTCTGTGCCATGGGCAAATTCGAGAGCGAAGGATACTGGGCCAACTTCTTCTACCAAAGCCACGGAAGCCGGCGAGAACTGCTCATTGAAGCATTAATGGGTCGCACGAATGCCGATATTCGAATGATCAAGGACGAATTCAAGGACAAGCGCTACTCGGACGACTTGGTAAAATGCATGGAAAAGGAACTGAAAATGGACAAGTTCCGATCTGCGGTGCTCATGGTACTGGAAGCCAGAAGGCAAGAAGAACAAGACGTCTATCCTGTGGAGTACGTGCACCGAGATGTCGACACACTTTACCGGTCCATTCAAGCCGAACGCGGAGGCGAGACAGCCATGTTGGAAGTCATTGTCCGACGCAGTGATGCGCATCTCCGGGAAGTACTGCGTGCGTACGAAAAGACCTTCGGTGACAATTTCGCAAGGGCAGCTTTGAGGAAGAGCAATAATTTGGTCGTAAGTCTCACCCTTCATTTCATTTTAATCAGCCGTAACATTTCTCTGACAAAAGTCGGCACACAGGGCGAAGTGATTGCGCATATTCTGAACGGCGTCATTAACCGACCAGCTCGTGACGCTCTGCTTTTGCAGCACGCTATCAGGGATATCGCAGACAAGAATCGGGACGATGAGTTACGTTATGAATTGTTGATCTCGCGATTGGTGCGCATGCATTGGGATCGAACACATTTGATGCGCGTGAAGAAGGAGTATTACGAGAAGTATCGCATTACGTTGGAAGATGCGATTGAAGATGCCACGAGAGGGGACTTTAGGGAGTTCATGTGTGATTTATGTGATACGAGGGGAACGAAGTAGATGTGGTTATGCTCACGTCAAGAAATAAATAATCTATCATTATGTGGAAAGCCTTTCCAGCGACTTTCCAGATGCTGTAGTGGTCTAGGTCAAATACCCCAGCGCTCACAGAGCATTTTATCTATGCAAACGACCCTGTGCATACATCTTCTCGCATTGTCCTCCGATGCTGTATCCTAGTGCCTTCATCTCTCGCATCACCAATGCCACATGCACTTATAATTCAGGATTCGCGCGCCAAGCCGATCGTATTCGAGTGGAGAGATCCAGCTATCATTCGTCATGCGCAGCTTGCCAAACACACTCGCTCCCTTCCAGACAATGACAGCAGGATCGAGATCTCGAGGCGGCGGAGCCACGAGGATTTCTTTGGGATATTGCGGCATTCGATTGCGAAGCATCAGTTCCACATAGCTTTGCATGTAAGGTGTCTTGGAGGCACCGCCGATGAGCATGATGCTGCCGAGGAAGTCTCGCTTGCGGCGTTCGTCAATCTGGCCGTTGGGTAGGAGAGAGGCGTGGTCAATGGAGCGGAGGATGGCTTCATCGAGCGGCATGATGGGGACGACGCGGTCTCTTGTATCGTCGTCTGCCGGGGCGCCATCGGTGAGTCCTTCTCCCATGGTGATATCGCCGTCATCGGCAGGCATGGGCGTGCCTTCTGGAGGCGGTGATCCGGCCACAGAGGATTTGGGCGTGCCATCGTTGTCTCCGTTAAGGTAGCTGGGAAGTCCAAGGGGACGCTGTTTCTGCGGTGTTGGAGCTGCCAGCGGTGTGCCGATAAGACGCGCGGGCTCGCTTGGCGCAGGTAGTGTCGCAGATGGAATGTTCGCTCTGGCATACTTTCGCACCTCCTTCTGTGCCTCGGAGTCGGGGTCATTCGGCTTTTGGTCGTACAAGTCTGCGGATGCTGGTACAAGTGACCTCCGTCCCGCGAGCTTCTCTGAATTGTCGAATACGGCCGGCCGGAAGAAGCCCATGGGTGCGAGGAAGGCTTCGTCATACAGCTTGAACTGGTACTTGCGAGTCGGCTGCCCAGAAGCACGCAGGTGGAAGTCGTACAGCTGCACGCTGACATTCTCGTCAGTCAACGATGTGTACTTCTCCTTTAGCTCTTCGGCGAGTAGGAAGTCATGTCGTCGCATCAAGTTGAACTCGCTGTAGTTGAACTTGTCGAACAGCATCATGCGAACGAACGTTTCCGTCACATCGTAGCCTCCATATTTCAAGTTGATTCGTGAGGGTTCGATGCACATGCCATCCTCCACGCAGCACACTGTCGTCTTCTGCGCTCCCATATCTACCATGCACGCTGTACTGAATCCTGCTCCAAAAGTAGCCGCCAGCGACTCTTGCATGAAACAGACGCGGCCAAAGCCAAAGTCAGTCATGAGCTCTTGGAGGATGGTCGTGACAAACGCCTTCTCGTACAAGTCGGGAATGAGGAAGACACAGCTGTATTGGGACCACTCTCGCTTGTGGGGCAAATCGAGTTGAGTCTTGATGCTCTCCTCGATGATTGTGAAGAAATCCCGCTGTAGCCTGTTGCGATTGTTGTAATCTTTTTCATTGAGGTGGCCATGCCGCATCGGCCAGCTGAGGTGGTATTTCGGTTTCGAATTTTCGGGAATGCGCAGTGCAGGTGCGCCGATGATGTAGTCGGGCGCCTCTGCGGGATTGGGTGGCAGTTCTGTCCAGTCGAGCTGTACTGGGTCGTTGTGTTCCGATATTATTTCCGGCGGTGTGCTGCTGTTCCACTTGGTGACGAGTTCTCGTGAGTTTGGCAGAACGCGTCGCTTGTTCCCTCGTCTGAATTGCTTGAAATATGTGGCCATGCTGTCGTATTCTTTTGCGAACTACACTATGTTAGCGCGGGTTGGGCTTGTGCGCAAAGAATGAATATACCTCCTCGCCGAACCACTCCTCTGAAGGCGTGTCATCGTCCAGCTTGATGCGTTTCGGCACTGGCTCAGAGTCCTCTGCTTCGGTCTTTTGCGACTTTCTCGCAATCACCATGGGCACTGTTTTTGGAAGTGCATCGGTGGCGAAGCCAATGCGCATGTTCTGACTTCCCACATGGATGACGATAGTCTTGGAGCCGTAATTCTCGCCGAGTTCGTCGACCAGACCGACGTCATTATCAAGGTCGTCTTCGTTCACATCAGCAGGTTCGGGAGCGTCCTGGCCATTTTGCGCTCGGGCTCGGTCCAGGTCGACAGCAGCTCTCTTCCGGCGGTCGAGACGCTCTTCTTGCTGAAGTCTGATTGCAAGGATCTGGTCATCTCGTTTCAGGAAGTCGCTGTTGATGGGGTCAGTGGGCAGTTGACGGGATGCGGTTTCAATAGTGCGAATGGAAGGGCTCCTAGGAATTGGTTTGGCAGGTGATGCATGCATATACCTCTTGCAGTACTGCACGTTCAGCGCATAGAGATCTTTCTTGCCCTTCCTCAGGCCATCCAGCACCTTGCGGCCAACCATAGTGCGGAATGCAGGGAGAAGAGGAGGTCGACATGCAGGTACAAGGAGCGGCGGGCGGCGCGGAAAAGAAAGAAGCGTGGCGGCAGTTGGCACTCACGTGTAGTAGTTTTTCTGGTTGATCATGTTGACCTGTGGCCACGTCGAGAAGTCCATATTGTTGTCCGTGCGCTGCAGCCCTACAGTCCAGCAATGCTTAGTATGCAGGATCCCATTTCAGGCGTTTGTTTGCTGGCGGTGAAGACGCGTCGCGACGGCGGGAGTGGTCGTACCTTCTTCGCGCAGCAGCGCGCGACCTGATTTCTTGCCGACCATCGTGGGCGCGGGCGTGGCCTGGGAACGCGATGGTCCTGGTCGACGGGCTCGGCGATGTTTCGAGAGTTTGGACTGAGGGTGGCGTTAACTACCGACACCGCTGTCACACCGATGCTGGCGGTGGAGGGGGGCGACAAGGATGGGAGGGTGAAGAGGGAGTAGAAGTCTATGATATGTTGCTGGTCGTGACCGGCGGCGGCGACGTCGCACGTGCCAATAATAATCGCACGGCGGTGCTCGCAAGCTTTCAGGTGGCCGTCGTTGGTTGTGGTGTCTTCGCGCGCGCGCTGCCAGCAGAAAGCGGTGGGACTGCTGCCCCGCCTGCATCACTCACTGCCCGCCCGACAACTCCGACTCTGGCTTTTGCTCGAGCACATCACGAAGCACTCCAAATTACTCCCACTCGGTCCAGCACATACCGTCTTTCGTCTTCAGCAAATCAGCCGCCATGTCTGCCGGTATGTCGAGCTGCCCGCGCAGCAATGGCCGCGAATCATGACTGACCGTGTGTGTCGCAGACTTCCAAGGCGTCGCGAGTATGACCACACCCCTCCACGGCAGGAGCGCATGAGATGGCTGACGGTGCGCCGCAGAGCAATTCGTCGAGTACTACTACAAGACCTTCGACACGAATCGCAACGACCTCGCCGCCCTCTACGTACGTGCCCACCTCAATCTCCCTCCCTCGAGTCTGCCGCGTGATCGAATGCGCTGCGAGCTGCCTCGAAATTGCAAGCAGCATAGAAGCTAGAGAACGAACAAGGCTGCAATGGCAAGAGCGATGCTGACAATAGAGAAACACAGAGGGACCAGTCCATGCTCACATTCGAGGGCAACCCAACACAAGGAGGCGCCGCCATCACCACGAAGCTCTCCGTAAGCTATACCACTCCCACCAACATCACGTCTCGCTGACACATATGGCAGGAGCTTCCGTTCCAGCGAGTCGAGCACCAAGTCGCCACTCTCGATGCACAGCCCAGCAACGAGGGCGGTGGCATTCTGGTCATTGTCACTGGTGCCTTGTTGGTCGAGGAGGAGAGGAGACCAATGAGCTACTCTCAGACCTTCCAGCTGTCGCCCGATGGCCAGGGCAGCTACTACATCTTCAACGACATTTTCCGTTTGGTATACCCAGCAGCTTAAATTCCTGCACGCGAGGAGCTTCAGTAAACTTAGGGGAAAGAGCAGAGTGGGCATGAGCTTGGGCAGGTGTGCTCGGTGAAGAGCCGGACAACACTCATTCGGTGGAGGCACAACGCAAGCGAGAACCTTCCACCGGAGTGAACACCTCGTTAGCTACAAGACGCAGCTCACCCAATCCATGCACTCGGCTGTGACAGCGTGCTCGAGCGAGGGAGTTGGAAACCAGCATCTCGCCCACGTAGCACGCGAAAAATGGCATTGCTGATCAGTATCATCCTGTTCCCTCTTCGACATAGCCCAGGACGAAGAAATTTCTGACTGCCTTCCTCCAACCTGTGCAACCATATGGAATTCCACTCGTTCTTTCTTAAAGCCACAGACAGGTCCATTTAACGCAGAGGCAGGCTTACAGGGGACAAAACTCCACTCGAATTCTAAGCACCGTGTGATCAAGTGATTGGAAGCATTTCATAAACATCATATTCCATTCATTCGTACATCATCGTCAACACATCAACGCAAATATCTACATTGCCTCTTGCAGAAGCCGTCAGTCGAATGGCGTTGGCGCGGGTGGCTCCGGCGTCTCCGGCCCTACAGGCGTCGTCGTCGTCGTCGTCGTACTACTTCTCACCTTAGGATTCGTCGGCTCTATAACAGTCACCGGTGTGTTATAGATCACACAGCTTCCGTACCCATTATGCACCGCCGGAGGCGTACAACCCGGATTGGGATGGCATCCATCTCGATCCCGCCATTCAGTCGCAGGGTTAGGGCAAGGGAAAGGCGAACATCCCGATTGACTCTTTCCAAAGTATCCGTTCGGGCATCTCCAGCAATCAGCGCTCGGTGGTGCATTGGCATTGCCAGGGAAGCAATTGTAGCCACAGGCTCCGACTTCGTCTCGTGCGACGCAGAAACCTTCTTTGCTGCGGCATTGATTCACGCGGTCTGGACAGGCGGGACAGCCAACTGTGCCTGTGCGGCATTCTGCAGGACCGCCGACGGGTGGCGGAGTAGGCGTTCCTGGGATCTCGGCGCGAAATTGCAGTTCGGTGCCGATTGTTCGGCCTACTGGCATGAAGTAGAGATCCGTGCCGCTGGTACACGGGATCATTTTGGTTTTCGCGCCCGTCTTGTCGATCCAGTAGGCTTCGGCGAAGCCGGTAGTCGTATCGATTGTCCAGATTGCGGTTTCTGGAACGAAGCTCTTTCCTTGTCCTTCACGAGATCTGCCGAAGACCATGGAGTTGTCGATGCCTTCTTTGGGCAGCGCACCTTTGGCGGTTTCCCTGGAAGTGCCGAAGTAGAGAACGTGAGCATAGTTGCCAAATGCTTGGCCGGTATTGAGATTGTCCATGTCCAGGATGAGCGCGAGTGTGGGTATGCTAGAAGCCTCCGGAGGCTGACCCGAGCCTTTGAAATTGAGCTGCTCTCCCTTGGTGGTTCCTGTCGGCAGTGTGAAGTTGATCTTGAGGGCATTGTTTACATCTCCCGTCAAGAAGCGCTTGCCTGTTCCATCCATGGTCTCTGAGATGTAGCCATAGCTGAGATCCACGGTTGTCTGCCGTTTTCTCATAGACGACGGAATGTTGAACGAGAAGACGACCCTCGAGAATGTGGTGCTTCCCACCACGCAAGTAGATCCATCGTCCTCCTGGCCACTCGGACACTTGCACGGATCAGCCAATGACTGACGCGACTGATCAGCCCGACAGACACATTCGCCCGTTCCAGCGTCTCGAATCTCTTTAAGTGCTGGTTGGCACTTTTTCTTGCAATCCCCGTTGATCATTTCATTTCCGTTTTCAATGCACCTCGTCGCGTTGGTCACGCAGACACCATTGACGATATCTTTGATCGATTGCCGACATACACATTGGCGAGTCACCTTGCTTCGGAGCTGATCAGGGCGCGGACACAGTCCAACACCACAGACGTACGTCTCTGGATCCCGGACTTGTCCTGACGGGCACTTCTCATAGCACGGCTCGGGAGCGTCAGGAATATACTCAAGTCCGGCATTGGCGCAGGTGGCAGCAGGCCCGGTGGGTGCTGTTGGCGTGCTGCATGCTCCGTTCTGCTCGACTGCGTTCTCATCGCGACACATGCACACACCAGATCTCGCGCGAAACTGGTCTGCTCTGCATTCTTTAACGCATTCCCAGCCATCGTCTTCAAGGCCAGCGGCACAGATGCACATGGAATTAGGCGAAGATCGGCTCATATCAGGGCTCCGACAGCCACACTGCTTGGTGGTGGCGTTGCGATATTCGTGCAAAGCGGTGTTGCATTTGGCCATGCAGGTGCCACCGACTTTCTCCTTGGTGAGATCACGGCATTGGCAGACTGAGTTTTCCCAAGTTCGAGCCTGGTCCGCTGGACAAATCCCGTCTCCACACACTCCCGAAACTGGATCACGTACGTATCCGGTCATGCAAGCTTTGTCGCAGATATACGGGGACTGGGGAACGTAAACAAGGTCGATGGACTCGCAAGTAGCACAAACTCCGTTCTTCTTCATCTGCCCGATCGGGCATTCAAGAAGTTTGCAAGATCCGTTGGGCTGACGGACCGTTGCTGATGAGCATTTCTCAACGCAGGCGCCATTGAAGTACTCATAGTTGTTGACATTGCCACACGCTGATACCTTGTCGGGTACATCTGCAACAGGCTGGACTGTAACGGCATCCGGAAATGCAGCTGGATTTGCTGTCATGAAGAGGCCGCCACTGGCGACCATAAGAGATAGATCTTCCTTGTCGCCATTTGCGTTGAACCACACCGCGCTCATTTCGAAGGTTCTGATGTTGACGGTCCAAATAGCACTCTGGGCAATAAATCCGGTGACACCGCCTTTCCGGTTGATTGAATTCACCTTCCCGTCGCCTGGAGGCAATCCAGGTTGAGCGGCACCAAGGAGAAGCTGCTCGCTTCCACTTTCCGAATTCTTTATCAGGGCGACCGCCCGAAGATCGAGATAGTCCGCTTGGTTGTCACCGAGAAGATTGACCCCGGTTCGAACAACTCCATCCCCTTGTGGGACTGTAAACGAAACCTTGAGTGCCTCCGCTGGGTCATCGGTGAAGCTTCGTTCGCCGTTGACTGCACTGAATTCTCTGGAGATGTAGTTCATGGTTGATCCGCCGTTGGTCTGTCGCTTGTGCTTGGTCTTCGCCGGGATACCAAAGGCAATAGCTACATTAGAGACGGTGACGGTTGACTGCGACGATGTGGTGGTCGTGGTCGTCGTTGTTCTCGTCGTGGTTGTGGTTTGCGTAGTAGTTGATTGCGATGTCGTCGAGCTTCGTGTAGTAGTTGATTGAGACGTTGTTGTGCTTCGCTGGGTGGTGCTCGTCCCAGTAGTGCTTGTCCTTGATGTAGTTGACGTACCTGGCGCTGGAGACGCGGAGATAGAACAGCTTCTATCATAATATGTGTATGCTGATCTAGAGTCTCGTGTGAAGCTTTGAGATATCGCCGCGGTATACAAATTGCAAGTGGTGCCGCTGTGCCGCATACTTTTGCATCGGTCTTTGCTCTTACACAGCGCAGAACAAGCTGCCAGGTTGCAATTGGTCTTTGTGAAGAATCTGGTGTCCTTGTCCTTGTTGTCATATCCTTTGAGCCCGCACTTTGGTTGCGCAGGCTTGGCACAAGATTTATCGTAGAACTTGAATGGACTTCTGCTATTGGATTTGAAGTTGCGGGACCTGCATGGGTCAGTAGCAATTCTCATGATGACTCTATTCGAGGGCTCTTACACTTCAACCTTGAACAATGAACAGGTACCGTAGCCAAAAGAGTAACTCTTGCATTGGCTCTCCTTCCAACATCTGTCACCGCAAAGCTTTGCCGTGGAAAGCTCGTAAGAGAATATGCGAGACAGGTATGGACGAGTGGACCGCCGGTATCCAGATACACCACAAGATGCAGCCGCTCGTTCTAGCAGGATGCTGTCAAGAGCCGGCTCAGTGAATGAAGCAGCATCTTCCTCAATAGCAGAGGCTCCGAAGCGCGTCCAGGCGAGCAACCCGATCAGTACGCTGCTGACACGCATGTTTGTTAGTATGCTCGAGACGTGAAATAACCCACCGGTCAGTAGCGAGAGGAAGGCGACGCCTATATCTTGCTCCCTGCCAGACAGCCGGCAGATTCAGCCTTGATCGCCTGACAGCACCTTCTACGGCAGTACCGTGCCCTGTGGCAGCCATGTGCTGTGCATGGGCTGATGGCCAAGGAACGCCATTGAATGTATGTATGGTCAGTAGCAAAATCTACAATCGTGCGTAGCACCCATCGGGATAGGTTCTCGCACACGCCGACTTGGGTAGCGAGGTGGCTTGAAGTATCGCGTGCATTGTGGAAAGGCTTGCCGACAGCTCTCTATTTGCCCAGCCCAGGTGTTCTTGCAGCAAGAAATTGTCGGCCATGAGGTACTGATTGGCATGAGAAGATTATCGTTGGGAATGGTGCCGCACCCGTTGACAGTGTGTTTGAGCAGCCCGGCATGGACAATGCGAGTAAGTGGTATCCGGTTTGGTCGGGCGATGTGGCTTGGTCTAGATTGCAGAGCCGCAACCACGTGGGGAACTTTACTGCCGCACCACTATACAGGTCTCGGTGCCGTCAGACGGGATGCAGTCCTACTGGCGAGACAATCGTGAGCAGTCCGGACAGCTTGGAAACTTCGTATTGAGACTTTGAGTCACCGAACGCCTGGACATCGTGACCTTTGGCTCGATGTCCACCGTGGGCGAGAAGGGTTGATGGGGAGTGTCATGACTTGAGATGGAAGCGAAGGTGGAGAAGAGAGAGGCAAGAGGTTGCTCGTGGTGGCTTGGCATGAGAGCCCCGAGTCGAGGCTGCCCGGCACTCCACCCCTGTCAACATCCAGCAGGTGCGAGACGCTTGCTTCTTACGGATGTTCCATCGACACTTTGCTCCCCAATGGAGCTCAGACGAGCATGGCCGTGGCGTAGGATCTTGTCCATAGCGATCTTGCTGATCGTTGTGCAGGCCGCGCTGCTGCTGTACTGGTTCCAGAGTCCAAGGCATGTCAACGTTGCAGGCCCAAATGGCTTGTCGGCAGTTCCAGGAGAAACACAAGTCCACGCAAGCCACCCTCTAGGCGCCAATGATTGCAATGCGAAGTTTCCGGATCTTTACTATGAAATTGAGCGTGCCAGTGTCTACTGGAAAAACAAGAAACATGCAATTTCAAAGGACGACGTCGATATCTCATGGCACCCTACTGGCATGTTCGAAGGCGGCGCCATCAGGTTCCTGATACATGAAAACAAAGTCAGAGTACTGGAGAGTATCAACGCCATGCTGGACCCGAAAGGCAGTATCGGTGAACGAGGAACCTCCTTCCTCCACTTACTCCAACGAGCTCTGGAAAGTGCGACTGCCAGCGGTGAAGTTCTGCCAACCATCGAAGCATCTATTGTCTTGCAAGACGTATCGTCGCCGCCGACAGAGGATGGCACACATAGTTTCTGGACATGGGCGCGGCCGTCGCATGACGTGCATTTCAACAGGACGACAGAATACAATGGGGAAACAGTACATTATGAACAGTTCTGGAAATATACCACCTTTGAGCGACTCTGGCTGATACCAAATTTCGACTTCTGGTATACGAGCTCTATCGGATACTACACGAAGGCGGTCGAGGATGCCATGCAACGAGATAATATGGCCAAAATCTCAAAAGTGGCCTGGAGAGGCACAAGATGGGTTAACCCGGATGTCCGAGAGCATCTTGTCAAGGTGACCGAAGGCAAGCCTTGGGCGGATGTCATGTTCAGCGACACCATGACTCACGAGAACCACATCGACATTGCAGACTTCTGCAAGTATGCCTTCACTGTACACACCGAGGGCTTCAGCTATTCAGGGCGGCTGAATCACCTTCTCAACTGCAACTCTCTTCCCTTCATTCATCAGCTCAACTGGAATCTGCACTACTATCATCTCCTGCGAAAAGATGGCCCCGATCAGAACTACGTGGACGTCAAGGACGATTTCAGTGATCTGGAAGAGAAAGTTCTTCACTACCTGGCGCATCCCGAGGAAGCACAGAGAATTACCGCAAACCACATCGCAACATTTCGGGAGCACTATCTCACTGCAGATGCTACATCTTGTTATCTGCGCAGGCTGGTCCATGAGTATGCGTCTGTGGCTTTCACGCCTGAGACTACTAGATCGAACATAGATGGCACGACTGGGCTGCGAGGCCGTGATCTTGATACATTTTTCGCCAAACCAGAAGACTTCAAAGAGCCGTGAGGCTGGATGCTGGAGATTGTGCTCAACGCACTGAAACCTCGACATGGTCGACTACAATTTCGGCCTGTGGGCAGGAAGTCATGGACGGAACTGGCATGGCTCTCCCAGAGGTTCAGCCCCGGCAAATGGGGAAATCGCACACTATTTGGACAATCCAGATGCTCTTGCCAGCTTGAACCACGATTCGGAGACGTAATTGAAGCTTTTGGCGCTTCGAAAGGGCTTTCATGGCCCTGATCTGGATCAGCGTGCCTCGTGGTCGACATGCAAAGGCAGCAGAGCTTTCACAATACGGACAATCATCCCAGAAGAATAGACAAGAGCAATCTCGCTGACTAATGTTTGAACAATACAGGTCACAACTTTCAAACAGTCAGAGACTGCTACGAGCAATGCATGGATGTATCGCACATCTCAACCCGCGCGCTACTGCTATCACGAACGTGTACATCTACCCTGTAGATGTACCACAATTCAAGTCTACCAGTTGCCTCGATCCACAACACGCTATCATCAATGCTCAAAAAGCATCCGTACACTGCGCCGTCAATCGTACTGATTCTAATTCGCTTGCCAATCGTTCCCAACACTTAGCCCTGCTCATCAACCCTGACATCTACATCAACACTCGCTCCTGCTTCTGCCAGTCGCTTGGTTGAGGATGGTAAGGGATCCTCGCCTTCTGCAGCGGGACGTTGCCAAAAGTGCCATGCACAGCCATGCTCTTGCGGCGCTTACCCATGACCGCGGAGTCAAGCTTGTAGCCCAGCTTGATACTGTCGTCGGGTTTCTCAACGAACAGGTCCTCTGCCATCTGGCCCAACTGCTGCTCGCTCTTCTTGACCATGTAATAGGCCAATACGAGGGTTCTGTAGAACCACGCAAGCACAAAACCGCGGTACTTCGGGGGCATCACAGTCCAGATGTCTGCGGCGTCTTGCACACCAGTATACTCTTTCAGCACCTGGGTTGCGAAGTTGATGAGTAGGCCCATGGTGCTGCGGCCCAGTACAGTCATGCTCTGGAAGTCGTGCGATAGGTTCTGCACCAACCTGTCGCAGATCACGATCGTTTCGGGATACTCTGCGAAGTTGATCTCGTTGGGCATGGCTGTGGCAGGCACGCGAAAGGATTTCCTAGCGTTCACGATCGCTGTGCGAAAGTCTTTGCACTTGATCGAGAATCTGGTGGCATGTGAGCTTGGACTGAGGATGACCTCCTGCTTGAAACGTGCGGTCGCTAGCTTCCACCACTCTCGTTCACGCTTGTAATAATCACGAGCACGACGGTCGTGCACGATGGCGACGCGAACAAAGTCAGTATCGCTGTGTAAAATCTTCTGCTCGCACTGTGGGCATTTCGCGGCCAGACAGTCTTCTTCCGACATCGCGCACATCAGGTGAGTCTCATTGCACATGAATTGATGACCACATGGGAGCTCGAAGATATCTTGCTCGTCGTCAATCATGGTACGGCGAACTCCTTTTGCGCTCATTCGAATCCTCAGAACGTTGTTGATGGACTGAAGTGGCGCGCTATCAAAGAGAGTGTCGCACCCGCTGGTATCGAAGTGTGCCACTTCGGGATCGTGCTTCTTGACGCGCTCAAGTACACGAAGGTACGAGAAGTCCGTTGCACGGTTGACATGCGACTCGAGGAGCTTCACCCAGCTGACTTGCGCGCCTTGAGTTCGGATCTCGCTCCACTCTGCTGCACTGACTTCAATCGATTGAACTTCTTCTTCGAAGAGTGGATTCGGCGAGGAGGTCACCCAACGGGTCTTGAGTTGGAAGCGATACATGGGCGTAGTCTGCAGGTCAGTGGCAAAGTAAGAAACGACATTCAGCGTGCTGAAACCAGGCGCGAGCGTCAAGCGCTCCACCATCGACTCGAGAAGATTCTTTCGCTCAAATGTAGGTATCGCAGCATGAGCAACATCGGCACGAGTTGGCAGCCTCACCATCACATCCGGGAAATTGTGCTCGAAGAAGGCGCCTTTCTTCGGCGGCTCACGTTGCGCTGCGTTGCAAGGGACTTCGAGTGCGATGTCAGCCCCCTGAGGCATGAGGTCGAAGCAGGGGAATACGACAACGAGCTGGTGGTGTTTGGTGTTGGGACCCATGTGGCGGGCTGTCGGCGGCAAGTCTGCGGTGACACGGTAAGACTCGAACGCGCTCGCCAGATCGTCCATGTTGACATGGGCGCGGGCAGCGTGCTCGACGTCCAGCATGTTCATCTGCGCGCCGAACTGGGCTGTGAGGCTGTCCATGGCGCCGGTGCTGGAGAGCTTTGCGAGTGGTTGAGTGTTGTCCGACGTGCGAAGGAGGTTAGACTGTGTTCTAAGCCTTCGGCGGTGTGCGAGCTTGCTGAGTGAGGAGAGAGAAGGGCGGCGTGGTCGAGGCTGCTTATGAGAGGTCCAAGCGGGTCGAGTCGCTTCACTTGCACCAGCCAGCTACCGGCGAGTGATTCCGCAGGTGAACGGTCACGCATACCCGTGACCATATCTGCGCGCTAGGCGGCTGCACCGTTGGACGAGCATCATGAGAATCTGAACATTGCCTGTGGCCCGTTGTAGTCGTAGGTAGAAGAAGGTCATCTTGATTAAACGATGCTGGCTTGTGTGGGCACGGTGTGTCGAGCCTTGAGCCGCTCCCAGCAAGTACTATAATGGTGAGTAGTGGTTGTGTATACGTTTGAGCAGACATTTGCAGCATCCACGACATCGAGGAAGAAGTCGGTGCGATGGCACCACTCGCTCACAGAGTTGAGCATCCTTCATGCTCGCGTGCCGTGCGCTTGAAATTCGTTGTTCTGAGCTCACTGGGCTGCTGTGTGAAGTCAACGCCACGACTTGGTTGGCCTGCGTCGTTAATGTCAACGCTGGCTCTTTGAGAGCAAGCACTCCACGGCATGGTCCTAAGAGACCTCGGCGTGGAGGAAGACAATTCGCGGAAGAAGGGATGGACAGAACTCAAAGAAGGTCTCTGCCCACATCTTGCAGACCCAGCCGGCTTTTGTTCATTTGAAGACATTTGAAGACAAAGGAGGTTTGTCAAAGGGAGGAGATGTGTGAGTTTCAGCTTGTCACATATGATTCATACTGATGAGAACGAGCGATGCCTCTCAAGGTAAATACAAGACGCAAGTTGCAAGTGCGTGCATATGCAGAATTAGGTGTTGTCTCTCGTGCCTGCCAACACCTTCACTTATGGTATACGGAGGCCATCCGTTAGCGTGAGACATTTAGCAGCCAATGAAAGCGAAGCTTGGCATTGATTTTGATCATCTTGTCCACAACATCATGCATCTCTGCTTGCGCCTTCACCCCGAGACGGAGAGAGCTGCCAGGACCGATACGGCCTACGAGCAACCTGGTCTTCAATTGCTGGCCGGTTCGCTCTCAATCATTCTGGCGTTGTGCATTCGTCGAATCCACGCATTGACGTCACCAGCTGCTTTTCCTGTTCCTGCATGGAATTCCTGAATCGGTCCTCGCTCCTCATCACTCCTCGCACAGAGTCGTGGTGATGTAACGACGCGTATATTGCAGGTACATTGGCCATTGACACGCGTTGACGCCTCGTAGATCATCCACCGAGATGGCTGGTATGGACAGGTCTTACCTTCTTTCATTGCTCCCTGTTGTTGCTCTCCATCCTCCTTAATTGCATTGTAGCTAGCTAGCAGTGAACATGGCAGAAGACAAGCAGCAGCAAGCTTCCAAGAGCAAGAATGGTAAGCACATGATTCAGTCTTACCGCACAGCACTCGCTGATGTCTCCCACCAGTGCTCGGCCAACCACTCTCCTGGTTTGCGAAGGGCGAGGGCTACTACAAAGATGGCTACTGTCACCACTCAGCTTCGGATGACAAGCAACCACGAGGCAACTACTCCATCGCGGCCACCTTGACTCACTCTTTCCTGCAATCCGAGTACGGCGATGACAAGCCCTACAAAGGCCACTCCGCCGGCCAGAAAATGTGCCTGTCTGCGCACGACTTCAAGAGTGCCGTGAGGGAGATGGGTCCGGATACTGGGCCCAAGGTCGATCTGAGTGCGACGGACGAGAGGGCATTGGAGGTCGTGAGCTTGGACTTGCTGAAAAATTATGCTGCGAAAGGAGCATCGAAGAGTGAGAACAAAGGTGCAGAAGGTGCGCAGGGCAGTGCCAGACAGGGTGGAGGAGCACAAGGGGTGAAGGTGAAAGAGGGTAGCCAGATTGGAGGAGACCAGGGCCAAGGCTCCAGAGACAAGAGTCAGAATGTAAAGACGGACGCGAAGCCGGAGGGAAGCGGAGGGCAGAAGGGTTGATGGGTGTTCGACGGGAAGAGAAGGGACGAGCTGCAAATTGATCAGTATTACTACAGTGAACGGCATCTTTCAAATCCCAGCTTTGAGTGAGCTTGGTCACACTGACGTGCAAGCAGATACGGACTAACAGATCGTTCCTTCCAGCTCAGCAAAGTTCGCAGAATTGGAACTCCAGTTCGTGGCTGACCGACGACTGACCAGTGACCACAGAGATAGGGAAGCACGCAGCCTAGATCTTTGCACATTCTCCGCGGATCGCAGCAGAACGAGACGCTGGATCACACAAAATATATCGCTCTCAACGACTTCTCCAGACCTGCGTAACCACACTCACCCACCCGACGATCTTTCTCCGCGGATTCCTGCATGATCCCAGTTGTCCGACAGATAGACGACTGTGGAAAGACTGGAGCGAGTCGTCTTATCTCCCTGATATGATATGGGTGAACAAACGATAAGACCTGCAGCTAGCGTCGCTTGGCGTTATGGCTTGGGAGATAAGTCCGCTACGCTGCTTGCACGCACGGCTGGAGCAAAGCGTAACCTGAGCCAAATGCTTCTTTCGAGTAGTCTGGGCTTACGATGGCGCAGTGATCGAACGCAACAACGCGGCAGAGGATCAGCGGAGATGTTACGCTCGAAAAGGCGCCACGATGTTTGATTTACTTGGCGAGCGATATGGGCGCATTCAATGTTGTGATAAAGCGTGGTTGCGGTGCTGTTTTGCACGTTGTGAGGCATTCTACTTCGACATAGCAGGATAACGGCAAGATGATTGCGATATCGAGCTTGTGGAGCGCTCCAACGATCAATCCTATTAACCAGAAGGCGCGGAGTATCCCTGTCCTGAACCCGGTCAACAAGTATGGCAGGGTGTTCTTTTTCTCGTGGTTTGGCTTCTTCATTGCGTTCTGGTCGTGGTAAGTCAGGAACCATCGTCGATACACAGTGATGTTTCAAGGGTGAACCGACAGCTGACTTCTCATTCAAGGTACGCTTTCACACCACTGCTCAGTCTGACAATCCGAGCCAATCTCAACCTCACGACGGAACAAATCGCAAATACCAACATCGCCGCATTGACGGGCACACTTCTCGTTCGTTTCGTGGCAGGACCGTTGTGTGATCGATTTGGACCACGATGGACGTACATCATCATCTTGCTTGCGGGCTCCATCCCTACCGCAATGGCTGGCTTGGTCAACAACTGGCAAGGTCTTCTGGCATTACGTTTCTTCGTCGGTATCCTGGGAGGCACATTCGTGCCATGTCAGGTTTGGTCGACGGGATTCTTTGACAAGAATGTGGTTGGGTCTTCGAATGCGTTGATCGGTGGTTGGGGCAACTCTGGTGGTGGAATCACGTACTTCCTAATGCCTGTGATCTACGACAGTGAGTATCATCAGTTACTTCACAGCATATTGTAGGGGTGGACAGCTGACATCGATCACAGGCCTCCGCGATGACCAAGGTCTAAGCTCGAACGTCGCATGGCGCGTAGCGTTCATCGTCCCTTTCATCCTCATCGTCTCCACGGCTGCTGGCATGCTCTTCCTCTGCGATGACACTCCAACTGGAAAATGGAGCGAAAGACACGCTGCCGCACAACAACTCCAACAAGGAAGAATCGTCGACATTCCCGTCACACCAAGCGACCGAAGCACTCACTCAAACGACAACCATGAAAAGAAAGGAGAGAAAACAACAGACCTCGAACAACACTCCAACACCCACGATGTCCAAACCGGCCAAACCATAGAAGTAGCACAAGGCGAAGTCGTCATCGCTCCAACCCTCAAGAACACCCTCCGCATCCTCACATCTCCTCAAACTCTCTTCCACTGCGCAACATATGCCTGCTCCTTTGGCGGCGAACTCGCAATCAATTCCTACTTGGGAGCTTACTACCTCAAAAACTTCCCAACTCTCGGCCAAACTGGTGCAGGCCGCTGGGCCGCCATGTTCGGTCTCCTGAACGTCATTACAAGACCACTAGGTGGAATCATCGCCGACATTTTGTACAAATACACTTCATCCCTCTGGATCAAAAAAGCCTGGATCGTATTCGTAGGAATTGTATCCGGAGCTTTCCTCATCGCGATTGGATTGACGGATCCAAGGCAGGAGAGTATGATGTTCGGACTCATCGCTGGTATGGCTGTGTTTTTGGAAGCAGGAAATGGAGCGAACTTCGCTCTGGTACCGCATGTGCATCCACAGGCAAATGGAGTTTTGAGCGGAATTGTAGGTGCCGTGGGAAATCTAGGAGGTGTCATTTATGCGATTGTGTTTCGGTATCATGGGACGGATTATGCGGAGAGTTTCTGGATTACGGGTGTCATGGTCATTGGGTTGAATTTGGTGTTGTGTTGGGTGAGACCTGTGCCGAAGGGGCAGGTTGGGGGAAGGTGATGGCTTTCCTCGGAGACGGGTAGTTGTGGAAAAGAGTTTGACGATAGAGATACATGAACGTGAATGATTCTACGACTTGTTGGCCAACAGAACGGTAGCACAGTCTTCGTGAAGCCTACGACCTCCAGTGCTGTCTCCTAGAGAGGTATTCGTACCTGCGTGGGGTGTGGCTCTGCTGATCCTCCAAATTCGACATGTGTTAGCTTGTTTGGATACCGTAGTAAGTATTGAGGTCGCGTGTTGCTCGTGAGGCGCAAAGCCGTGCTTGGAACGCGTATCGCCTGTGCTGCGAGGTGCTTAATGTAAAGTCTTAGCGGTTTTTTAGTCTCCATATCGTTCGACCTCTCAATGCCCGGAACACCGCAGATGTGAGAAGTTGGGGATGTGATGTCTTCATGATACAAGCATCTTCATGATAACATTTCCGCAGTAGCAGTAATAAACGTACACGGTATATCGCATATGTCATTGTTCATGGTCCCGTTCGTCTTCTTCTTTTTCCGTTCCTTTCCATCTCATCGCATCGCGCCTCAGAAAGTGATCCCCATTCTACCCTGAATTGCGCCATGCATGCATTGATTCATCTCATTTCCCATCAACCTCCACATCTTGTCTCCTATAATCTTTCTGTGTATACCCTGCAGTGTTTCTACACAATCATTTGCGCAACTCCTTGTCCGCCCAATGTCTTGCTACTCTGGAATTCCTGCCCCTTGAATCCGGCCAAAGCATAGAATAACGCGGCGATGAGCAACACAATGGCAGCGGCGATCAGACTGGTGGCTCTGGCGATGATGCTGAGCCATTGGATGATAGACATGACGGCGTAGATGCCAGCGCGCATATAGTTGGTCGCGAATCGGCGAATGAATTCATCGAACTTCGGCGAGGTCGGGCAGATTCGGAGGAGGAGAGGGACCTCGATGAAGAGTATTATGAAGGAGCAGACTCTGTACATGCGTCAGTGGGTGGTGGAAGGGCAGGAGTAGGTGGGCTGATATACAGGCAGATTACGCTGAAGACAATAACCCAGTGGAAGTTGAAGATGTTGGCGATGCCCAGGGCGAAGCATAGAATCATGGCAATGATGCCCGTCCTGGTGGGAGTTAGTTCTGTGCATGTCGAAGATGTGGTCGTGTCGTGCTATTACCATTGGCCATATATACCTGATTGAGTTGACTGGTCAGTATGCGTTGTAGTTCAGACGTGTGCAATTGCAGATAGACTCACTGAAATTCCTTGATCGGAACTCATCGGCGATAGTCATTGTGTCTGTGTGCTGTTGCTTCTCTTCTGCTGCTCCTGGCGCAAGTTGTGGACAATGTCGACTCGGATCTTTTTTGGTCGAAGGCTCCGGCTTATTGACAGCTTTACCGGACGACGAAGCTCAGTCTGATATCTGTGGCAGGAGAGGAGCAGGCTGCCAGGTGGATAAGGCAGTCGTAATGGGCAATGGCGGTGCAGGAGGAAGGACGGAGAGGGTTCGGTGGATTGTGCCTGCCTGGAGTTATAAAGAGCTGGGCGAGTGCGCAGTTGCTGGCTGAGTGAAGCTTGCGCAAGACGACAACACGCCGAGCGAGCGCTGATCTTGGCTGCCTTCGGCCTCGTCGTCAGGGTCCACTCTTGCCAGCTCCACTTCTCCACGTGGTCGCATTGGGCCCGGCTGACTAAGACCGCATTTCGCCAACAATAGAAACAACTGCACTTCTCTTCTCTTCTCTGCCAAATACACTCAACGACTTTCAGTCGCCCATTTGGAGAGTCTTGGAGCTTTCCAAATGGACCAAGTAACAAGAGCACCGATCAAATGAACATGAGGACGCAAAGTCAAGCGTTTCGATTCTACGACTATTCAGGACTGAATTTTCCCCTTTTGTGTCCAGCTTCGTGAGGGCGCACGGCTTGCATTCACTCAGACCAAGCGCCGTGCCTAAAGCATCTCGCAACATTCTTTGCCCTCGACTCCGAGCAAACGTCCTCAATTCTGAGTCCTCCGTTTCCCGCATCGTCGTTATTCATGCGTATCAGTATCTATCGTCGGGCGCACCGAAGCGATGAACTTGGCCCTTGGCCGCCAGCTCGTCGTGTAGCTGCACGAATGCTGGAACCGGATCCGGCCGATCAGATTCGTCCTTGTATTTCATCGAACCGCCTATGATGAGCAGAACCTCTTGAGCTCGCGTCATCGCGACATTGGCCCGACCAGAATCGACCATGAAACCTGGCCATGTATTAGTACACGCCCAAAAAGCCTCAGGTGTCACGACCGACTTACCAAGATGATCAGCTGATTGCAGGCAGCCATCGATAGTGACTACCATAGCCTCCTGGCCTTGTGCAGCATCTATCGTGAGCACGGGAGGGTACCACGACTTGTCCTTGATGCGACCAGCTTCCTTCTCTGATTTTTGATGCTTGCGGAATTCCTCTTCGTAGGTGTTGAGCTATGCAAGATCAGCATGTAGGGCTTCAGAGACGTCTAAAAGACAACGAACCGCGTGAGTGTAGCCAGCGATAAGCATAACTTCCTTGGACGTACGCTTTCCGAAGTGCTCCTGGAGCTTTGGAAAGATCTTGCGCATGAACAGAGAAATGTGCTTGGGAATCGCGAGCGAGCGTTTGTCCTTCTCGATCTTTCCGCGTGGCATTTCACACCAGTGCAGTCGGGCCTGATGCTCGGTTGCCGTCTTTCGGTATTGTTTACGTTTCGCTTCGTTGGTAAAGGTACTGGCCACAATGCGATGAATGATTTTGCGTAAACCGGGCTCCACTTTCTCAAGGTCCCGTCTCGTGGAGGGCGCGTTGATGACCGTGTTGTCGTAGAAGACTCGACTCACGAAGCCGGCAATGGACTCATGCTATCTCTCGTCAGCATAGATCAACCACGGAGTGTCTGCTGCACAAACCAAACGATGCTGAATCGTCAAGGGGCTGCTCGGGAAGCCTTGGCGAAGTAACCGACCCATCAAAGACATGCTCAGACGATCATAATACTGATTGTACTGGACGTCTTTGTTCGAGCAAGTATTGATCGGCCCAAGTTGCCTGTGAGGACGTCAGCAGTCTGTGTGGGACTCAGTATGGGGAGACTGACTTTTCATCGCCGTAAAAGACCACCAGATCGGGCTTCTTCGGTCGACCAGGCGACGTAATGGTGTTCCAGATCGCAGGCTCAATCTCCTTTGCTGCTTCGTCAACGAAGATGCCGAAGCACGTCGTCTTCTCCGCCACAGGGGAGCATATGGCCTTCTCTCCATACATTTCTTCGGCTTCTGCGAAATGAACCATCTCTTTGCCGCGGACATTGCCATTGGTGGTCAGTAAGATCTTGGTGACGCCGATGAGGTGACCCTTGCAAGCCTCATAGACGCGCTCGAAACGCTCGCGCTCTTTGGAGTCGCGCCAATTTACGGAGCCTGCCTCCACCTTCCTCATGTAGATGCGCATTTCCTCCCAGACATTGACCAGTTCCTTCTTGTCGCTGGTTACTGAAGTGTCATACCTGAAAATTCCATTGTTTGCCTCGTCAAGCACGCCCTTCTCAACGGACATATCGAAGGCGTCCACCTTCTGACACATCTTCTTGAAAATCAGCTCTTGGAGAGAAGTAACGTTTCCCCCTTGGTGTCCCGCTCTTTTGTAGAACGCTTGCTCTCGAGTGAAATCTTCGATCTTGAAGCCTCTGGACGAAGGATACAGCCGGTGGATCCGCACATCTTTCATGCCACATTTCTCAGCAAAAGGTCGCAGTTGTCGCACTTGATGATCAGCGTTCGCATTGGCGGTCGTCGTGCACAAAGCCCGGCCGCCCAACTTGACAAAAAACATCGCTTGTGCTGCATGTACGGTGGACTTGCCAGTCCCGGCGGGTCCGCTGATGAGCTGTAATCTCCCTCGAGCGCGGCGCATGTCCTTTAGGGCTTTCCACTGTGACTCGTTCCAGTTATTGCATTTTTCAAGCCACTCTTCTGCCTTTTCGATCGTGCGCTTGGGCACATCGAGACTGGCCACGAAATCAATCTCTTCCAGATCCTTGTGTAACTGATTCTTCAAAATCAAATGCCATTCCGCGTATGGCTTTGAGCAGACCTTTTCCGTGGCATCGAGGAGGGACTCGTAAAGAAAACATTCCTTGTGCGGGCGCAGTTTCTCAACACGGTAGTAGCGAATCACGGCAGCATCTGGGTCCTGCAAGCGACCTCTGAAGAGTGCATAGTCGTGGGATATGACGACGAAGAATGCGTCGTGTTTTGGCAAACCCATCCGTGTAGTGTCGTGATATGCTCGAATCGCGACATCTCGCTCATACTCATCAAGCTCAGTGTCCTGTCTCCACGGACCGTCGATCAGAATCTCGATCTCCATCTCTTTTGGTAATCTGAGATGCTGGTCTTCGCCTGTTCCGCCCAGGGTCTTCATTGCTGGGTCGAACTTCATCGCCAGTACAACAAAGCCGTGAGTGTGGAAGACAGCTACCTGATGGTTCTGGCATCTCGCAAAAAGCTCCAGCTCCTGCTGATGTTCGTGGCATGAAACAATATGCGTCGTCAAGAGCTCAGCGCGAGCATGAGCAATTGAACTGAAAGAGTCACCGCTCCTCAACGGTGTCATAGGCCATGGATTTGCCCCCTGCATGAGATCGAGAATTTTGGTGAGGTCCTCAGGGTTCTCCGGAAAGTTGCTGAACTCCGGCCTTCCAATGGATGGGAGAAGAGGACCACAGCCTCCAGGCAGACGATCCATCACTTTGTAGAAAGTGGCGAGATTTTCTGCAGCAAGCTGGCTGGTGCAAAGATCGGAATGTAGCTTCTGCTTAGCGGTCGCACGTGCCAATGACTTAAGGATATTGAAGAAGGCTCGCTGCTCAGCATTGAATTGTGGGGTGACATTGAGGCCTTCGCTAGTTGCACCCGTGGACGTGAAGTCGATGGAGCAATCGACTACGGGGAACCCTGTCTAGTAAGCATAAGTCTCTTGCGAAGACGCAATGACACGTACCACGCTTGAACTGGAAATCGAAAAGCTGCTTTCCGTCGCAATCGTTGAAGTGGAAGTCGAGGATGACAGTGTGGATCACTTTCCGAGCATATTGGCCAACTCCCATGAAGTGCGCTTTCACTCGTATCGCCGGCGCTGTGAGCTATAAAGATGTCAGCACTGGTCAACAGACTAATATTAGCTCGATACTCACTCCGTCCACCAGCTGTAGCCAGAGTTTGTATCCATTGTGTCCCCGAAAAGATTTGGTTGTACGTAGATGGGTGCAGTGTCGAAACCAACATTGCCGATGCGGATTCTTGCTGGTATTGGAGTCGAGAACGTGCTCAGCTCCTTCAACAAATTTCTGTGAGCGAACTTTCCGTCGTCAAATCTGTAAAGTTCCGCTATCGTCGATTTCTCGGTAATAGGGCCAACCACGACGGGGTCCTTGACCAGGTGGCCGTAAGAGAGGGCGGGATCTTTAGGAGGTCCTGGGGTCTCGTTGACGGATGAGGGTGCCGTGTCGAAGGAGTCTGCATCACTGTCGCTGCTGGCGCTCGACATCTTGCAATATGCGGCGCTTGACGCAGCTCAACGATGTATGCAGTGTTGTAGACCTCGAGTGCCTGTGCACATGCCACTTCGGAAGCTCAAGTCGAATTTCGAACAAGTGTGCTTGTTGTTTGCTGAGAAGTGCGCTAATGCGCGCTAGCGGTGAGAGCACGCTGCCGCCTGAAGTGAAGCTTTGTCCTGCGCTTCCATGTTCACAGGCGAGAGCTGCGCCATCTGAGGAGACAACATGCCCACTCACCTCCAAGTACTCTAGCTGCGGCATTGCCGCATCACTCAAGGGGCGCGCAGCCCTCCCAATTCGACGCCATTTCACTTTCATGGTGTTCGATGGCATGACTCTACACTTGTCTCGAAGGCGAGCGGAGGCCGAACGGGAATGCGTTCTAATGTAGACTCATGTTCAACAATGACTTCTTGTGCAACTCCGGTTTGTGCTTGGCCTACTCAGCCGCTCGAACGTATCGGGCAGTTTTCTCTCGAAGCTGTGGCTCGTAGGTCAGCTCCAGATCACGAATACAAGAGCAGATTAGCACGAGAGCAACGCCCAAACGATCGCCTCGTCCACGCCTTATCTCTTAAGTCACAAAGGAATGGGGGAACACGTCTTAGCAATCAACAACCCGAGTTTTCAGAGGTATATCTCCCCTAACGCCTGATCCCATCGCTCCATGCTTGCACATAGTCCGTCTGCCGTATGGTTCGTGACTCGTATCGTCTCGCAAAGTCATCTTGTGTCCATCATTTCTTGCCACTCTTCTTAATGCCCTGCGAACCCGTGTTCAGCGGTCCCTTCTTTCCTGCTACGGCATTTCGGGCCTCCTCGAGCTTCTTCTTCTCTGTTGCCAAATGTCAGGTCATTGTACAGTGTCGTGCACACTCAAACACCATATACCAGCCATCTGCTTAGCCTTGAAGGCCTTGTCATCTTCATCCTCCTCCACGGCCTTCTTCTTGGCCTTTTTGTTGTGGATTGGGTTCGTGCCGGCTGTTACAGACACCGATTAGCATGAAACGTGCATCGAATGGCGCGAGAGAGTCTAGAACGTACCTCCCTGTCCTGAAGGCATGGCGAAGAAGGTGTGTGAGCAGAAAATGCTGATCAGTGTCTACGATGCTGACGAGAGTGGGTTTTGGTGGAGGTGGGACGTTGGTGGGCAGTCCGGACGGGAGTGGCTCCGGCGAAGCGACGCTGCCGATCGGCCTTCTTTCACTTGCCGGACACTGCGATCGAACTGTGAGGTGCTCCAGCGCAGGCCTTTCGCATCGCCCACTCCTTCGCCGCCGCACCCTGCCATTGCCACTCCCATCTCCGCCCCCGACGCTTCTGCGAACATCGCTCCGCCCAATGTGCCAGTCGCGCGCATCGTCTCGCCGCGTCCAACGGATTGTACCCTGATCGCCTGCATCGCGCGCTGCACGGCCATCGCCCGATCGCAGCTTCGATCCTCTCGCACCACGACACGAGCACTGGTCTCCATCGTCCGAAGCGAGCGTTTTGGCGGACCACACAAGTACCTAGGCCGCAATGCCGCCTCCTTCGCATACACAACACCTCCCTCCGGCACACCCGGCCACGCGCCAGCGACCTAAGAGCCCCAATCGTGTCCTGGCTGAGGCAGAAGCGCAATGGATCTTTACCGACGAGGAGCTGGCCAACGCGCCTTCGATCCAGGACGGCATGAGTGCAGATGATGAGAGGGATAGGAGGATCAAGGGCATCAACTTCATCGTGCAAGTCGGCATTATGCTCAAGCTGCCTCAACTGACATTGAGCACGGCGAGCATATTTTTCCAAAGATTTTTGATGAGAGCGAGCCTGGCCAAGGAGCGAAATGGCATTCCCAAACTGCATCACTACCAAGCGGCGGCCACGGCTTTGTTCTTAGCCACGAAGGTGGAAGAGAGCTGCAGGAAGATGAAGGAGTTGGTCCTGGCCTTTTGCCGCGTAGCGCAGAAAAATCCCAATCTGGTGGTAGATGAACAGAGCAAGGACTTCTGGAGGTGGCGGGACCTGATATTGCACAATGAGGACCATATGCTGGAGACACTGTGCTTTGATCTGACAGTGGAAAGCCCGCATAGACAGCTCTTTGAGATGCTGAAGTTCTATGGCATCGAACACAACAAAAGATTGCGAAATTCTGCATGGGGCTTCGTGACGGATAGCAACAACACGCAGTTATGTCTGTTGATGAGCAGCCGGACGATCGCAGTCGCCAGCCTGTACGCAGCATGCAAGTTCTGCGAAGTGTCGCTGCCCGATGACACAAAAGGCAGGCCATGGTGGGAGACACATCACGTTCGGCTGAAGGATATCCGTAGGTCGGTGGAGTATATGCTGTCCAACTATGACGGCACAGCCAACAAGGTCAATGGAATTGCCGTGACTGCGGGCTCCGATGGGAACAGCTCTATCTACGCAGGGCTGACGACACCTGGAACTGACGGAGCGAACGACGATGACTGGAACAGGACGAGAGCACCCGCTTCTGTGTCACCACTAATGCCGCCAGGGAGCGATCGGCGGCATAGCAATGCAAGCAGTGTCGGCGTCAAGCGCGAGCGAGAAGAGGAGAAGCCGGCTGTGAATGGCAATGGCAATGGGAATGGTGTGCCGCGAGAGGAGAACGGATCGAAACGGCCTAAGATCGAGACGCACACGTCGGGTGGAATCGATGGCTTCAATAATGACAGCCAAACAGACACGATGACTGTGCCTGTTCCAGAAGCTGTCGCCGGTGGCGGAAAGGTACGAGGACTCAAGGAACAGGAAGAAGCAATGCGTGTTGACTTTGGAAATAAGCAGGCCGAACTTGATGTCAAGGTACAAGACCAGCAGCAGCGCCCCGAACCCATGCAGGATGTACAAGCCTCCGTCGATGGACCTGCCTCGCACGCCCCTGTTCAGAAGCCGCAAGATGACGGAGAGGTCAGCGAGGAGGGCGAGTTGGAAGAGTAGCTTGCTTCCCTCAGAAGACCTCCCCTCCGACGGTAGCGATGGACGGACTCCGACCTTGGCTGAAATCAAGCGGAAGATTGAAACCGGGCACCCCATTTCTTACGAGTACGAATTGAGCGAAGCATAGCGAAGGCGTTTTGCAGCAGCGATAACTGTGGCAACTACTTTTTTGGATCATGCAGGTCTGTTTGCTGCATGATATGCGTGAATTTTGGAGCACCGAAGGACTGAAGCGCTTTCGGATAGGAAGGAAATTTGTGAATCGAAGCGTTGCGTGCTAGTTTGGGGGACTTTTGAGAACTGGCTTCTGAGAATACTACTAGATACCCAAATGGCATGATGGCGTTTCTTTGAGGCGCGATATGGTTGGTCATGACGAAGGCGTTTCTATGTATTGGTAATGAAACGAAGAACTTATTGCAACTGGGCGTGCCTTATGTACGGTGTGGTGGGATGTGGCTTCAGGTGAGAAGATTCATCTATCAGCTAGGCGTAGGGATTGGCGTCCGACAGCGAGACTGTACTCTGCTGACTCAATGATGAATCTTAGAGAAGGCCCTGCCGTGCTTCGACCACGAAAGCTCGAGCAGGTCTTGGAGCAATTCGAGGACCATATGCATAAAGCACCTTGACGCTCGGGAGCCCCTAGCGTTCAAATTTCCCCGGTCAGACCTGGAGGACATAAGTGAAATCCTCACCACGCCAACTGTTCGAGCCATCCGGTTGGGAGGTAAGCTTGTGCATGCGGAATCTCACAAGACGCGAGAGTCGCTCTTGCTGCATGAGCTCTTGACGCGCCATCGCACGCGTCGAACCTCTGCCCCACTCTGCTGCCTATTCAAGATGCCTTTCTCCAGACATTGCGGTCTGCTGCAACACAAGAACGAAGTTCCTCGACGGCATGGCTTTCGGCGACCAATGCTCAGTCGCAAACGACGAGGGCGAGTCGTTTGAGTCCCTGCAGCACGATAACCACGCACGACTGGGTCGCGCTCGAAGAGTCGAGGAAGACATGGCCGCGCAGGGGCAGAGCGCTCCAAGCAATTCGACTGAGGGCCGCATCGCCATTCAGACACGCAACACAGGGAACAGCTTGCGACCGCCGCTTCACGACGCGTCCGACTCGGCTTCTAAACTCACAAATCTGTCCGCCTCTGTGACACAAACGGTGTTCGAGACGGCAGAGCTACTGGAGATGATCATCCTTTTTCTCCACCCAAAGGACATCCTCACTGTACAACAAGTGGGCCGGGAGTGGCGTGACGCTGTCAATGGATCGCTGAAACTCAAGAGAAAGCTGGGAATTGAACTCGATGATGTGAACATAGTTCCATTCTATTCGCCACTCGACCCCGATCCAAGCAATTCAAGCGTCTTTCCATGTTTTTTCTTCGGCGACCGCCGACGCCAGTTTCGATCCTATACAGACGAGTCATTCAGAGAAGTCAGAACTTCTGTGCCGAAGACACTCGAGGTAGGTCTTATGGTGGGGTGGCCAGGAGACAGACACAAACTACGCGTGGGAAGCCGTTGTCGTACCATGCGTCTCTGCCACCCGCCTCTAAAGTGCGCAACGATTGAATACTCCCGACAAGGGAGCTGTTTGAGAGGAGGGGGCTACAGAAACACAACGCTGGACAAGCCAGATGGTATCACTGTCGGAGACGTGCTGGATGCGGCTGAGGGCAAATATCTTGAGGCAAAGTCTCTGCAGCCTCCGATAGAAGATGTTTCTCTTTTTCCCTGCGGCTCGGTCCAGCTGAGTGAACACGATCCTATTGTGCAGGAACGCGAGGCAATCATTTCGCAAGCGGCGGCGTGTCAGGAAGAGGAAACGTCAGGACAATGCCGTCGGCTATCAAGCTAAGATCTGTTTGCGGCCTGATACCAATCTTATGACCGCCGAACAGCTGCTGCGGATGTCCTCTGGCAAGCAAGTGTCTTGGCTATAGGAACGCGATCATGCAGCATGTACTGGTAGTTAGGGCTTCTTTCTGAATTGGCTTAACCTCGCTGTTCATGCATGTGAGAACGCCTTCTTGGTTGAGCAGTTGACCCTGTACGGTCATGTCGATGCACTCGGACTTGCCGGGTTACAAGATCAGTCACATGGGCGCTTTCACCGGCGACAAGCGAGCATGTGTCCTTAAAGAGACGGCTTGACCAATCTCACACCTTCAATTCCACAGTGGGTGGTCGATAGACACACTTTGCGGCGATCAGGACCTACCAGCATGGAAACAGCTCGTCTGGATGGCTACACCTGTCATGTTCGAATGAAGTGGACGAACTGGGGTTATCGAGATCCAATGTCGAGCGGTCTGGATCAATGGACTCTGGCATGATCGTCAACGGTCAAGACTTTCGGGACGCTGCATGTCGAGGCTTTTGATAGGACTGAGAAGAGTTCGCAACTGTACATTGTGTCTATGATCCCGCGTCCGTGATCGTGGTTCTACAAGAAGCTTAGTCCAATACCAAAGCTCAACCCCTTTCTTCCTTCTTCGCCTTTCCGTATGATCAATGGTAAGCTAAAATTCACTTCGACTCTTGCCGCGGGGTGTGCATACACCAGTCCCACACCTGCTGCAGCACTGGGCAGGCTTTTGCCCAGGTCACCGACCGTTTTGACCAAACTGCTCCCCACATCGCCAACAGTCAAGGCTTGCTTCTCATCCCTGCCGCCGGTTCTGGTATCTTGAAAAGCTAGTAATCGTCCTCCATTGACGAAAGCTTGGAGTCTGAGCGGCGTGTCCTTGCCTACTCGAGGTAGAGGGAAGAGAAGAGAGGCGCCTCCTGCAGCATATACGTCTCCTCCTACAGCATCTGGACCGTCTCGAGGTCCAAGGCCAGAGAGTCGGAAGCCTCGTACATCTGTGGGTCCACCCAGCTGAAAGCGGTCGTTGATTCTGCTTGGACTTGTCCCATTCTGCCCAGAGAGAGGCAGAGGAGCTAGGAATCCTCCACGAAGGCCGGCAGTGAAAGAAACCCCACTGTCGCCTTTCACACCAGGTATAGGAATAGGTACTGCAGCTTGACTCTCCACTTCGTATTTCGCAAACGCAACGTCACCAGCCAGTGGTCCCACGCCCGCGAGCTCAGACACTGCTTTGAATAGTACACCTCTCGAGGGCAGCATGGGCGCATCCCGCGAGTCGTATGTGAGAGTATGCGACAAGCTGGACTTGAAGCTATCACCCGCATCTCCACGGATTGTGGGTGAAGCCTTCTCTGCCAGGCTTGTGACTTGTCTCCAGAAACCACTGTAGCCAAATTCCTGATTGGTGAATGGTGATGTCCGCCACAAAAGCTTCGTCTGCCCACCTCGTAGAACTTCCTCGTGTGATGCCCATGGTTTGATGGTACTGGACTTCAATCCTCCAAACTCGAGACGCAAGTCAGGATTGGAGAGAATGGGTGTGTCAAATGTAGCGCTGTAGGTCTCTCGCGTTCGTGTGCCCAAGCTCGCATGTCCGTTTAATCGCTCGCCTCCACCGAATATGTTGCGCAGTACGGCGTTGACGTAAGCGCTCCCTTCTGCTGTGCCGGCTTCGGTGCCGGTCTTGATGGTATATCGCCCCCTCTCTTTTGCTGTCACGAATACGGCATAGTCGGTCGGTGTGGTGCTCGGGTCGGTCGGCTCGGCTTTGTCGATGTAGGTGGAGATTGGTGCTTGGAAGATGTCGAGACGGTTGAGCTTGTCCACTGCGTGGGAGACTTCGGTGAGGGCTTCGCGGAGAGTGTAGTATGCTTCATCCTTGCGGTTCTTGGTGAGAAGAGGGTCGAAGATGCGCTCGAGAAAGCCGTGGCGCGTGTGGGTCGCGTGCAGCACTTTGACCGAGGAGATGGTCACCGGCGCCGTGGAGTTGAGGGAGATCTGGCCAGCACGAAATCAGTCGCGTTCCGTGTCGACATACGTTGAGATGTACTAACCAGCTCATGTTGGCGCTGTTCGGCCTTTTCATAGGACGCATTCACGCGGTCCTGGATCTCCTTCTCGCGCTGTTCCAGCACTTTGGGGTCAATGGGTTTGCGAAGCTGTTGGAAGACCTGCTCATATGTCAGAAAGCAGCCAAACAGGCAATTAGGGGATCGTATACATCGTCTCCCAGCGGCGACGCGGCCATCGAGGTGAGGACAAAGTGAAAAAGATGTTATACAAAGCCCAATGTTCATCTCCTCCAGCTCCCAGCTTGGAAGTCGAGCTCCGCAGACAAGCCTTCGGAATCGTATTGGCTAGCTCGCGGATACACCCCTGTCTCTCCCTGTTGCACTCTGCTCTCTCCTACAACATCATTGCCCTACGGAGTAGCAGCCTCACGTAGCACTACCTTGGGCTACTCGCTTGAAAGCAAGCCTCACTTCGCGGTTTGTAGAATACGCTGCGGCGATTCATGAGACGCTCGTTTACAGGCAGGAACATCTGGCAGTGGACTCACGCCTGCTGATCACAAACCACGCGAACAGGGACACTCGGGCACGGAACAGACACGAAAGACGCGAGAATCTCACTGCTGATCGAAGTTCATTCTCTTGATACACGCGTATGTACAATGCAGCAGATACTCCTTTCTCGCGTAGGATTACAGCAAGCTCATCATCATCGTCGCATTACACAAGCAAGACCAAGCACCGAAGTCTCCATGTTCAGCACAAGTCACCACGCTTGGCCTTGTAGCCAGGATCTCCGCAGGCAGTGAGGCTGCCGACGCAAGTGCCGTTCTTGCAGGATCCAGAAGGAGTCGCCCAGCCCCAGAGTGCAATCTGCTTGCCATTCGAGAAGACTTGTGTCACGTTGCCGGCCTGTATCTCCGAATCAGCTGGGAATCAGATAGTCTACATGATTCGGACTCACCAAAGTGCCCAGGCAAACATTTGTCGCGGGGTTGCACTCGATCTGGAATGGCAGCGGAGCAGCACCAGCGAGGTCGGCGGATCCATATCCATGCCCGTCCTTCATCCAAGCTGAGATAGTTGCCTTGCCAGCTGCGCATCACTGTTAGTGAAAGAATTGTTCATGCCATCTTCATTAACATACTGAAGTTGCCGCCATCGGTGAGCATATTCTCAATCTGTCCAGATACAGAAACGGTACACTTCTGGTACTTCGTGTCGCACTTTGCTTCAACTGCAGGACAGACACCCGTTAGCATCTTCATCGATTGGCTGATATTTGAATTCAACTTACTTAAAGCCGGGACACTAGCAAGAAGCCCACTGACGGTTCCACCGGCACCAGCAACTGGCCCCAGCACAGGATCAGCAAGACCAAGTACTGGACCCAGAGCTCCGGCAGAGTTGCTGCTGCCTGTTGTAGTCTTGGTCGCAGTCGTGGTTGCAGCCTTAGTGAGACCGTTTGATGTGCTGCCAATCGGAACTGCAGAGCCCGCGAGATGGGTGCCAGTCAGGCTGGAGACTGTTCCCAAGACGCCCCCGAGAAGAGGCAAGCCGAGACCCAGCGGGGAACCAGCGATGAGCAGCGCAATGTTGGCGTTGAGATGCATGGTGCTGTGTGGGAAGAAGCCCTGGGGTTGCTGCGAATGGTGCTGAAGAAAGATAACGAGCGTGTTGATTCTGCACTGACAAGCATGTACAGATGCAGATCAACTCCAAGTCTTATACAAGCGGGCATCCCATGCCGCGCTCTCGGTGCCGTGGCTACAACTCTGCCGTGCTGCGCACCAAGAAAACAGGAGGCGACGTCAATTGTCATCGCTCTCAGCCATCCGGCCGTAGTCGAACGCCTAGTATGACTATTGTTACACCCGATGGTCAGAGCATGCGAGCAAGGAATTGGCATCGTGACCCTCGACTCAGAAATTTCCGATGTCAAAGCCCTTGCTTGTGGCAGGCTTGAAGTCTAGATCTGGTTGTTCTTTGGTTGGCGACTGATCTGTGCAGCCACGCGAGCGGCACGTTCTGTTGGGCGAATATGTGTCATGACATATCTTTCTAAGCGACGACCGTTTATGTCTTGGCGTTTGGAAAGCGTTTGAAGTATATTCGCTGACTCGACAGCTACCCGTTATGGCATTGGGTCCAGACATGAACCAAGACGCATGACTCGGTCTCAATTGACCCGATTTTGCCTGCTTTATGGTGTCAAAAAGAATGCGCATGGTGGCTGTGAGCTGTCAAGCGGGCAAGCCGAACGTGTTGGGGTGCGTAGTAATTGACTACGTACTATTACGGGACAATGCAGGTTTTATGGATCAACCTGGCATTATGCTACTGAGATCGATGGCTGGCTCATCGACAACTAACCCATCAGATCCGTCATCACAGTCCCCAAATTGATCTTCTACGGCCTCGTGGCCAACCCGGTCATGGAAACATGCCGACCGTTCAGTGGCGTACTGGCGTAGTGCAGACCAGTCATTGCACATATGCCACTGTCCGTCGCCGCTTGTATGGTGTCCAAGAGTGTAAAGGGGCGTGGCGTCCGCGTGGCACATGATGAATTGCCGAAAAGCATCGAAGCAGTGTCTGACATGCTGGACAGGCAGCGTCAAGGGAAGTCCAGCCTGGCTCTCGAAAAAAAGTTTCCGGACAATTTTCAGACAGTGGAGCTGATGGTAACTTTCGAGCAGGTACAGGGCCTTCCCTCCGTCTTCGGGAACTGCCATCGACGGACTCCAGTTGTTCTGTTCTGCATATTCGTGGTCGACAGCGATATAGCCGTGCGCTGTATTGATGTCGTTCCAAGCTGATTCGCTTTCTGTGTAGTTTAGGGAGCTGTACCTGGTGTACCAGTGGAACTGGACCGGCCTTTGAGGCAGCTTGTGCACAGAAGCAATGTTATCATGCAATGCTTGCTTTGCGGTCGAAGGAAGTGTCGATGATGAACGAAGATTCTGGGCGTGATCGATTCGAAACCATGTAATAGCCCAGCCAAGACCGAACACCAGATTCGAGAGGAGCAGTAACGACGTGAACAACCAGCTCAGGGCGTGTCTGCGATGCAGTTTTTGAGGAACATCGTGGCCAAGCAGTGTCTCCTGCTCGATCGAAAGTTGTTCTCCCATCGCTAACTTGGTTGTTAGTTGGTGATTAGGACGATGACCAAGTGCATTCTTGTCACGACGAAAGGTTCCAAATGGGCGAGTGTGATCTACGACCGCAAGCCCGTGTCGGGTGTATTCCCACGTGCGTGACGTGGGAAAGGAGCCGATGTGGCGCAATGCCGACAATGCCGAGTCATGAGTCCTCCGTATCTGCATAGTCAGCTTGCTGGCTATAGTGGAGACACCTATTACCGGGAGTTTCAAAGTTGGTCCAGATTCTATACGCTAGTATAACAGAAGGCGTTCACGATGCTGCAAGTGTCAAACCACGCCACAGAATTCTTCCGGATCGAACCAGAAGGAGTAGTTCCAGGACTTCCACCCGCGTCGCCTGCAGGCGCATGAGCAAAAGCGACACGCCACACCATTTGATCGAACTGAAGTATGGTACAGTGCAAGATCAATCAGGCCGACCGTTGAGAAGAGGAGTCCAGATCAGACCTCCGTTGGGTTGAACAATGTCTCCTGGAATTCATCTCTGACATAAAGCAGAGCTGTTCGCATCTACTGTGGTGTGCCACGTCAGCTTTCAACTCGCAATCATGTACGCCATTACTGAGGCCAGCACGCTCATTCTTACCTTGGTCTTGACCGTCTTGGCCACCCTTGCCCTAGGCCTTCGCTTGTCTCAAGGGAACACCGGAGATACCTTCAAGTACCGATGGCATATCGATGACTACCTATGTGTTGCAGCCATGGTGAGTGCATCTTCGACAGGATGACTTACATGCAAATCTGACACACGAATGTAGATTCTGCTCTACGGTAGCTCTGCCATAATCTGTTGGGGAGCATCTGAGGGCGCCGTTGGTTCCCACTCAAGCCCGGAGGACGTCGAGAACTGGTACACGACGGCCGGACCTGCTTGGATCGTGCTGGCCAAGACATTCTGGGTCGTGTTCTTCCTGCAACCATTGCAGCTTGGGCTGATCCGACTTGCAATCTTGTTCCTCTATCGTCGCTTCTTCGGATCGTACAAGGCCTTCAATGTGGCTAACTGGACCTTGATTGCCATCGTCGCTGGCTGGACAGTAGCATTCTTCTTTGGCCTGCTGTTCGATTGCGGAACAAGTTTCAGTTCCAACTGGGGATCACTGGGCGAGATCGCTGAGAAGTGTCCCTTTGGTTTCCTGCCCACGGTCATATACACCATCCTCGATGCCTGCCTGGATCTGTTTGTCCTTTTACTGCCCATTCCATGGATCTTCCAGCTCAACCTGTCCTTTTCTAACAAGATATCAATCACATGCTGCTTCATGCTGGGATCTATCGCAACAGCGGCTGCATTCGTGCGAATGGCAGTCTTCATTCAGACTGGTATTCCCTCAGAAGCCATGAATCGTACAACGGTGATGGGCCTTCCGACCTACGATGTCTTGGGAATCGTATCCGCTGAGGTCTTTTGGACCATGATTGAATGTACAGTGGCTCTAATTGCTGTTTGCCTACCGGCGATTCGAAAGGCGGTCGCGGGGAGCACGTTCGGAAGGGCGTTGGGTCTGGCGACTCTGTCGAGAGTACTCCGAAGCATGGGCTCGTCGAAGGGTACGAGGAAGAATGACTCTGAAGTATCTAACGGCAACTACAGACCTTCGTCAGAGTGCGGAAAGATCGATTTTGTCCACGTGGTCGAGGTGAGTGATGCGAGAGTTCAGAACGCGTTCTGGTTGCTGACCTTTGACTACAGACTGAGAAGAGTGTCGTATGATGAGCTGGCAAATCATAGTGTCAGTCTATGAGAGAGAGGGACTGGCTGCTTACGGTCTTTGGGCCGCATGGCTTGAGCAATTTCATTTCCCAACTCGGTTGGAATAGAGTTACAGTTGCCATATTATTCTGTTTGCGGTCCAAGTCGGCGACGGCAACGCTCGTATACATGTATCATTGACGATGCCCCATCGCACTTCATCGCGGTCTCATATCTGTGCTCGCTGGAATTTCTTATTCCTCGTTCGCTCTCCAGGTGCTCATCTACCCTGTGCGCGCTGCTCCACAGAGGACATGCATCGTCATTCGGATCTCTTGCTCACATCTTGAAGCCGACGCATATCGACTCTCGTTGCCGATGAAACATTTCGTGCTCTTTCCTCTGCCATTCTCCGAAGCTCTTTCTTTCCTTTGCTGACATACGGGTTACAGTATTTCTTCGATCAATGATGGGGCCAACGCCGATGGAGGGCTAACCATTCAGAAAGCATCTGCGGAGTAGATCGGACAGTTGTAGTGAGGATATTCCATGACCAGGGAATGGAAGATATGAGAGGAGATATCCGCCAGATAGGGAGTAGGCGCGCCGCGCACGAAAGCTGGAAAGAGCAGAACGCGGCCCATGCATGCATCCACACATCGGAGATACATACAACAAACTGCCGCGTCGATCATTCCATGGTATTCTCACGCTAACAACAATGTCTGGCCGTCCATTTGATGAGTCAAATGGCGCACGACACAAAATGGCCCCCAGCGAGAAGAAGGAAAGCAGGAGGGTCGGGGTCCAAGAGGCTGAATTCATGTGCCGTCTCTTGTCTTCTCTGGACTCTCTGGCTCTTACTACAGTGGTCCTTCGATCTAGCTCCTAGGTTCTACGCAAAGGTTGAGCCCCTAAGCATTGCTCACTCTGGCATCATCAGCAACCACACTGGCCCACCAATGATTCTTGGAGCCGAATCACTATATACGCAAAGTGCCTGCGCTTGCAACAAAGCTCCAATATCACTCCTCTCACCAGGTGCTTCCCATAATTGCACCTTAGAATTCCTTGTGCTACCCCAAGATTTTCGGACCGAATTTAGGCGACAAAAGGTGACAATGCTCGAAGGAATTTGCCTCCACGGCTGAGCTTTCGCTTAGCCGTCAAGACAGCACCTCTCGTGCATACCACCGGAACTTAGTCCTCGTTCAAATAGTGAATGGTTTGAGTAGATGGAACCCGCATTGGTGTGCAGATGGACTCCTTGCACAACCCCTGGGCATCGCAGGGCATAACACCTGAACTTTGATCTCGGGGTCTGCTAACACGTCTCTTGCAGCCTGCCTGGACAACCTTCAGAGAATGCGAACTGGGTCTTGGCTCCAATTCTTCCTCCCAGGAGGTACAGCTTGAACAGCACACAGTAAGCAGAAAGAGATTGTCCTGCATGCTATCGAACAGGGTAGCAGAGTCAAATCTAATGAGGAGATCATGGCGTATAGCCGGGGTTTGGTCATCGGTAAACCGTGACATCGCAATAGTCGTCGGCAAGCGGCTCGCTCACATTCGGCCTTGCGTAGAGACTCCTCAGCGACACTGAACAAGAGCTTTGATTGGTGGGTTCACAGGATGCCATGGCGATTTGATTGCGAGTCTGGTCTGTGCCTTGCATCAATATATTGCAACTACTGCTATCGTCTAGGTACGTGTGGCGACGGCTTACATGCGCATGTCGAAACCCGATGTGCCACCACAGGTCACTCTACAAGCAATGGAGATGTCATGCTGACCAGTGCCTCAGCTCAAGGGAGAAGAATTAGCCGCAAGTGCACAGTACGCCTGACCTCTACGATTTACACGAAAGGTTGTCTTCCCCCGCCACTGCAATAATGCAAAAACCATCATCAACAAGGCTGGACGCCCCGCGGCAAATGTTACACTGCTCTCATGCGAGGATGCGAGCAGCCGAAAAGAGGCAGAACATCGTAACCGGGAACGGGCTGAATCTCCACTTAGGTATGCAGGGCGGCAGGGCCGATGGAGGCGAGCGGTTAGATGCCCAGTTGAGCATCGGCACCATGACGCTGACATACAGCTGGACAGCACGGCTCTTTCTTGAGATTTCTTGACGTGTCCAATTCGAGAACGGTTCCAAGTATGTGAAGGAAGACCAGAAATGGACAATACGTATGCCATGTGATCCAAGAATGCAGGACGGGCTGGATGGGTGTTCTTTCGCCCGCGTCTGATAGATCACGTTACGTGATTGGACGACTGCGGCACTGGACGGTGAAAAATGGTAGCTTTTGACGACGCTGAGGGATGAGGCATGTGGTATCAAATCCAGTGCAAGGGACTCCACTTGTTTCTGCGCTGCATGTCATAGCTGTGCCGCATCCAAGCTGCAGGAAGGCAAACCAGGAAAAAGAATTCCAGCTCGAGATCTTGATGATGCATTCAGGCGAGAAGTATCTCTCGGAAAGTCGCATCGCTTCAACCTGAACGCTACATCAGCACAATGCAGAGACAAAGCCAGAGCAAAGTTGACGGAAGTCAACCGGCGAATACGAACGACTACAGGAGGTTGCCAATCGCCCATATTCTCAATGATCAGGGTGTAAGCTCCTCCACTTCGCTTGGTGAGGTGACTGACAGCAGCTGACGGGTAGCCAGAGTGACACTCAAGAGAATTAGGTCATGGAAAACCAATCGATGAAAAATGAACCAACGTCTTGGAACTGGTCTCGCCATCCGCAAGCTTTGCTTACCATTTGGGATTATCACAACAGCTGGCAGATGAACCGAAAGCGACTGCAGGATATGGAGCGTGTTCGAGAATTGGAACAGCCGCAGGAAATACCGGAGCTGCTTGGAAACGTGATGAAAAGTATGCTGGAACGATTCCCTGAACTGGGGGTCGGTGAAGTGGTGCTATCAGTGGACTGGATCGTAGACACGCTGGAGGTACGACGATATATCGGGGACTATCTGAACTGTCCTTCATGACAGTTCAGATGCTGTTAGGACTGCATTGGAGGAGACAACGAGCAACGCGAGGCAGCAGAAGGCGTAGAAATGCAATGGGCCGGACCTTCGGAGCGTCATGAGCCTCGCATCTGGCGCATACGATACGGCAACATCTTTGGAATGTTTGTTGAGCTCTGCGCATTCGATGAACGAGGTCCAGGGCATACTTTCCGACATTGCAGAAGACGTGGGCTTCGGCGAAAGGCAACCAAAGCTGCAGCGAGAAGGGTATCGAGGATCCGGGGACCACAAAACCGTTCAAGCATTAGTATTTTGTTCATACAATTTGACTGCAGCAAGCGCAGTGCTAATCTGGCGCGTTCCAATCTATCACGATGGCATGGAAATGATCTTCGTTGAATTCGAAAATTGCAACCTTCTTTTGCCAGCAAGTCAGTTGTAAAGACCAATTGAAATGGATCGCAGATCTTGAGTTTCCGAGGACTCTTGTAACACTTTAAGACCACGCGAATGTCTGGTTCAGATCGGAGCGCGAGAGAGCGCCGACTCATGCTGTAGCCTGTTTTGAGGCTTTTCGATGCTTCTATATCCCAGTCAATGACTGTAGATACACCCTGCAAAATAGTCCTGCCGCAGTGTGAATACGTTCAACGTGCTAAGACTTGTGGTCCAGCCTTCCTTTTCCGTTGATGTGCGAATTTGCCACCAGCACCGTGTTGTCCTCAATCCATAATTCTTAGTCGACGCAGCAGAGTTTCGTAGATGTCTTGCCCACAGCGAATGGCGGCCGATGCTCCAAGGGGAAAAGGCCATACCTTTGCCTGTGCTTTCATATCCTGTCTTGACTTCGGCCGGAAGGTTGTGCTAATGCGCAATGCATCTCCTCACTGTGAGGCGAGACAAGAGCGTTTGGAATTGCCCCTTGTAAATGTATCAGCTGTGCAGTCTTTTTGATAGTATGCAGATGCACTGAACTCACGGCGTATCACTGTTTATACCTGTCAATCTGAGGGATAGGCTCATCGTCATATGGCTCCATATCGTATTCGTCCATCAATATATCGTGTACATCGTCCCGCTGACAGCAGTACGCGATGAACAGAGCCTCTTGGGCTCGTAAATCTGGCAAGCGCAGCGTGGCGATAACTTTTGCTTACCAGTACCGTTGCAGCCCAGGCAGATTATCGCGGTACGCCATAGCAATGTGCGCAGTCCGGTCCTCGCGGGCTTCATGGGGCTTTACGTCCAGCCGAGTCGAAGCTGCCATCTTAGTGTGGATGCAATGGTGAGTTTGCGGTCAAGCGTAGCTTCGTTGGTGCAGCAGTAGCAATTTTGGTGCGGTGTTCACAGAGTTCAGACTTCAGATTCCCGCGCTTCAAGATGAGTAGCAAAAGAGCAATGGTTCATCAGCAGATGCGATCCCATGGTCGCTATCTAAATATGTTATTGCTCCCACCTGCTTGAATTTCGCATAACCGCGGTCTGCGAATGCAGGAACACAACGATGCGAGTGCTCAGGTGATACGTATATTCTGCAATGCAGGAGTCCGCAAGAGATGGCAGGCAGCCGATGCGGAGATATAGGATAACTCGCAATGCACGCAGGAAAGGCTAAGCTGCTGTGATCCTGCAGTAGAGAAGTATCGATGGCACGAGCGGTGCTTGCGTGACAGGTCGCATGAAACGCGGCGGCGCTGCTTTCATGCAATAGTGCATGAAGTCGCGTGTTACCCCCACGCTGGATGGCCGTCAAGTCTGCGCATTGTCGCCTTGTGCAGGCTTGATGATTGGTATAGAAGAAACGGCCCACGTTCTGCGATCGTTTCGAAGCCACTTGGTGTCACCTTCGGCACGGTTTTGATGCGTAAGCTAGATCGAAAGGAAAAACGCCCGTGTTGGGACGCAAGCCTGAAAACAGGCAGTCTTTCCGGCTTTTTCTCAAGGTCATAAATGGAACCAGACTATGCTCTCGGCGTCTTCTCCTCGATTGAATCCTTTGCTGCCAGCGGGACCAGGGTACAGAGCGGCTGAAGGGCGCGCAAGGCGCGGTCTTTGCAGAGCGGGGTCGTCTTCAGCTGAGTGCGAACACATGCGCGAACTGGTAGCGTGGCGAGGTCTTGCGGCGATACGAGGTCATGGGCATAGCTGAATGCTTGTTCGAGAACTGCGAGTGGTCGAGTGCCGAGTGAGAAGAGGAGAGTAGTGTTCGCTCGGCATGCTCGGGTCCACCTCGGGATCCATGATCTCGGTTTCGGGTACAATCGTTCAGACAGCACGATCGAAACAGAAATCTCTCGTTCTTTCCTTGCCTCGACAAGAGGCGACAGTGCCCCGTAGTAGTATACGATCCGAGTCTGCAGCGATCAGTCTACTTACAAGATGTCGACTTCGTCCTCGGCTTCAGCGGCTGGAATGCAGGATTTCCTGAGCTGCTTTTCCGTCTCCGAAATTCTACACCCGCTCGATGATGACGGGGCTTCTACAGAACGGATCTCGGAGCGAAAGGTTCCTGCAAGCCTTGATATTATTGAGCCGGATCCGGAGTGGCCTACTTACTTCGACATCTTCAAGTCTCGTATCACATCCGCGTGGGAGTCGCAACAAGCTGCTGAAGATGGAAAGCAAGTCAAAATTCTATCAATCTCTCACGTAGGCTCCACAGCTGTCCCAGGACTTCCTGCAAAGGCAATTATAGACATTGATCTCGTCCTCTCGGAAATCGCTCGTCCATTTGAACCGTTCTACGTTCCCCGCCTTGAAGCTGCAGGCTTCCAATACCTTCTCCGCGAACCGAGCTGGTATGAGCACCGTCTCTTTATCGCTTCAGAGCCCATCTCCTGCAATCTGCATGTATTCGGCCCGCGATGCGCAATGGTTGCGCGGCATTGGATCTTCAGAGATTGGTTGAAAGATAACTCAAGTGATCGCGAACTGTATGCGCAAACGAAGAGAGAGTGTGCGCAGGCGGCGAAGGAGAAAGGAGTGGGTATGCAGGAGTACTCGCGCAGCAAGGATGCGGTTGTAATGGAGATTTTGACAAGAGCTGTCAAAGGCGCAGGCCTTGCCTCTGGGGAAGAATGAAGCATGGCGAGTAGATCCGATCGAAATTTCGCGACCCTGGTAGTCCCTTCGGAAACTTTGATGGTTTCAGATACTTTCCCCTTCCAGCTCTCAGAAGTCTGAAGATTGGACTAATAGACTATGGCCAAGGTTAGGGAGGGTAGTCCGACAAGATGGGAGATATTCGGGCCTACCCGTAAACGAGGGACATCGTCTAGCGCCCGCGCTAGCCGAGTGAAGCGCTGCCAATATCCAGTACGCCGGTTCTCGCCAAAGTAAAAGTGATTCACGAATAAGCGTTAAGCTCGACCGCCCTCAGTTGCGCAGTCGGATGGGAGTGCAGATGGCTCATTCATGGTCAACGACGACCTTGCAAAGGTGACTTGTGATACTTAAGGTTGGTTGTTTTACATGATCGCTTTCTTGCAACGACCTGGGTAGGCAACTGTACACCAGTTTTGTGAACGACATGCGTAAGGCCGGGCTTCACCAGCCCCCACGCCACCACGCCAGAGTGCATTTTTGTATCAGTCTGGTGCAACAGTCTTCAACAGGCCCCTGCTGTCATAGCCCTCGCTGCTTTGATGATTCCAGCCTTCAGCAGATTTGTGATGAGTAAAGCAGTTGGTACAACCTGGACGCCAATTCCTTTTCTCCTGAGCGGTCGCGCACCATTCGTCGGAGTACTCCCATTTTACGAGGACTGCCTGGTGCGATAGTCTCTAGGGCCGTCGCAATGGAAACATCTTTTCCGACTAGAGACCATGGCTCGAGCGTGGCAGTGGCAGCTGAGAAAGTCGTGAGATCAGTCGTGAGGCCAATCGGCAGGAGAGAAGCCGGGAATAGTATTGCAAACCTGCAGTTCCACGCTGGGGGTCCACCTTGTGGTGACTCGCATTCCTCTTCAGGCGTTCCCCGCGCACTCATGCATGTAGGCGCTGATCGCTCGCACAATGAGTAGGGCGCTCCTGTAAGAGAAGCCGCGGAAAGTGGTACGTGCTCTGCGTTCCATGCTGGTCACAGCATATGGCGACACGACTTCCCCGCCGGCTTGCAGTCACTCTCGTGTGACCACGAGCAGGCGAATCGACCAAACCTAAGACTAGCAACGTTATACGTGACCAGAGGGTCGTGACTGCATCTTGTCCAAGAGGACCTGTATGCCACGAGCACGAGTTGGCAGCGTCGGACAGCCGGCAGTCATCTCTTCTCGTCCGCGGGCACTTCTGTGAGCAGCGCTCAGGGGCTATGGTCTTGAGCTTCGAATCAACGACAATTTAAAGTGCGCCGCTGGTTACGGGAAGCCATGCTGTGCCCCTGGCCAGAGAATGTTGATGCGTGAGAGTATACGTGTGACGTTCGAACGAGGGCCGACCAAATTTGTGGGTTAGTCATCCGGCTCGGCCCGAAAGACCATGGGGAGGACACCAAAGCTGCACCACGGACATCTCTCCTGCACTCCCTTGGATCGAACCAGTATCGAGCGATGCGTCCCATGCTTTTCCAAGAACTGCGAGCAACAGGATGGGATATCATTAGAGAAACGACTGCACTCGGAGAGGAGGGAAAGCGACAGCTTACCCACCTATACGGAGGCCTTTTCTTCGCGAGAATGTCGTGGCCGCGTGCTTGCCATGTGCATCCCACAGGGTCGAAACGCCGTCCTCTATGGTATCCGCTGCGACGGAGACGGTCATTGGGAGTCGTTGAAAGTCCAGCTACGATCATGCTAGCGGCGCGAGACCTCAGCATTTCCCTAAGGCCTGATGTGCTAACAATGGATCTTAGTCTCTCATCAAACAAGCGTAAACATCATTACGATGCACGGTGGAGTATGATCAGCCAGCAGCAGTGGGTCATCGATACGCAGGCTATTTACAGTGACCCTGGAGGTTCATTCCCCGAGGCCGGGCGTACTTGACAAGTGCCCATTGATCTGTCCTTCATCGACATACAGCGCGCTATTGTGATGATGTCTCGCCGGCGTTCCCGATCCAGCCATCACCTCAGCCCCTTCGACAGTGTCAAGTTCCGCCATGAAAGGGACCTAAAACGCAGGGCCGTTCAAGTCGACATCGCGCATCTTGATAAACGCCGTTTCCAGTAATGCGCGAGTGAGTAGAGCAGCGCGTGGATCCGCATCTTCATCGCGCTTGTTGTTGTTGATTGCCCCATCGAGGACGCCCACTGCGCCGGCAGCTCCAGCTGATAGGACCAATGGGATCAGGAATCCAGGATCGCGCTTATCAAGAGAATTCGCAAGCTCGACAAGATAGTCGCGAGTTACAAGACCCTCTTGGCTGGGCTGAGCAGCGGCGAAGGCTTTGATGCCGCAGAAGGCCAAAATGATTGCGGCGTTGAGCTTCATATCAGAAATTCGTGATCGTGGGGTAGCTTGACAAAAGTGCAAGACTCCTGGATGTTCGGAAGATGTGTCCCAAGGCCGGCTTGTGGACGTTCGAGAATGTAATTCGTAAGTCCTGCTTGTTGTGAAGTCTGAAGAATGAAAGCTGACAATGTGCCTAACCATTACTTGCCACTGAGAAACGACTCATATATATTCATTGCTCTGGGCCCTGTCTGGGCAGTTTTGTGCTCGAAACATTAGCTTGTGCTTCCCCAGACATGTTGAAAGTGCCGACGTAGTGGAATTCCGCTATTCTAATCCACTAACACAGCAATAGGTGACTTCGAGGTCCAATCTCGGGGTTTAACAGTCTTGGTTTGTGCCATGCTGAATCAATCGTTGGCCGCCAAGACCCAGATCGTGGCTGTGTCCGCACGCGGTAAACGCCGATTGCAATAGTCAGCTGGAGCACCAATGTTGCGCCAACAAGCGACCGAAAGCCAGCACTATAGGTGTAGCGAGCAAGCGAAAGCTACCTATTGAAGTTCACAATGCTGCAGCATCGCGCTAGGGCGCAGCGAAGCTGCATTCGGTAATGCTGTCAGTCTGCCAAGAATTTGGATGCGGACGCGGACGCGGATGGGCGCCGGATAGAATGTACTGGTGAGATGGAGCCTTATAGTAACAAGCCACTGACACTGCGCGAAGAACATAATGCGCGCCAATTCCATGCAAGTTCAATGTCAGAGTGCCACGACACAATGAAACGAAGTAGAGATGAGTCCAGCGACGAGCAAGCCCTGAAGCGATCACGACGCAGCAGTCGGAGGCCAGTAACATATGAGAAACAAGAAAGTGGTCACCAAGCAACGACATATACAGAGGCACGATTGCGCCACTGCTCAGCGCGAGCCGTCTGAGCGCCGTGTGCTGGAATAGCCGCAGCTCTATCGCACCTGCTAGTGCAGGCCTGAGGCAGCTTCGACGTGCATCCCGTTGCCCCAGCCGGGGATCTCCAATGCAGCCTTAGACTGCACGTCAACTAGTTGGAGGTACGTTGTTGCAGTATCGAATCAGTAATTCGAATCAGCCAATTGCGTGCAGTGTCAAGACATGCATGCCGTGCCCAATCAGGATGCGTGACAATTGTCTCGGAGAAACAGCAGATGAGTACGCGTCAGATGTGGGCTGCATCGAATGGCAGTGCGTATATCACAAGCGGCCAAGACATATCTCATCCGGACTGAAGTATAGGGTTATCGACGATAGCATTGGACTCTGTACTCGCGTTACCGGGAGTCTTCACCGATCACCGACGGAAAACTCAACCGGACCGAATTTATCTTGTGCTGAACTTTTCAGACAGCGACGTTGATGGGAGCTATTTGTTGCAGTAATTTTGAACGACTTGCCGTGAGTCTGTCCTTCCAGAGCGCACCTTGATTGAGAGCTGACATCGCCAACAGAGCTAAGTCCTCGTTCACGTTGATGATTACTTTTCCTTGGCACGCTGAGGTCTTCGGAGAATGCTTCTTGAGAGTATGTTGATGTTTCAAGCGTACAGTCCTTGACACTAACGAGACAATACTTTGGACGAACAATGTCGAACCGCATATACAAAGTATCATACAGCTCGATCGTTAAAGCACCGCTACGCCTAGCAAGATCGCAAAAGTCCATCGGCCTATATCTTGGACCCGTTCTCTCAAAGACAATCCACCTGCACTTCTGGCAGCGTTTTGCCTGCCAGTGCCGACCGCACTGCAACTTAGGTTGAACGAAGCCTCCGTGGAGAGGTCCTCATTCGTGATAGCGAACTTCTGTTTGCTCTCAGGGTTTGCGTCCCGCAATGTGTACCACCACGTGTTGACTCTGCCAAACAGATCTCCGCAGCCAACTCCACGCCAGTACTCTGCCTGGAAGTCCACAGAAGCCTGCGATTCTCCCCATGCCGGACCCTCGGACTTGAAAGGCCAACCGGTCTCAGTGATCCAGACATCCTTGCCTTGTGAAGCATTCACAACCTGTTCCCATCGGTCTCGGAAGATGGGAACGGCGTTGTCAAAAGTGTTGACGTAAAAGTTAGGGGCGATGGTGGTGTCGTTCTCGAAGAACGGGTAAATGTCCACGCCGATGAAGTCGACTGCTTCGATGACGGCCGAGTTGGACTCATTCACCCACGAGCGCCAAGTGTCGACGTGACCGACAGGCTTGCCTTCCAATGAGGTACCTTCGATGAACCTCCGGGTCTCGTTGATGAATTGAACAATTGCGTCCGGTCCAGCGCCAATGCCAGCATTCTGTCTGATACCAATGTCGGACAAGCGGTAGAGATCCTCGCTACCGACCGAGATGGCTACTACGGCATTTGCGAAGTCGGGGCCATATTGATCGATTGCTTTTCCAAGGGCATCGAGCTCGTTGGTTATGTTGTTGCTGCCACTGGTCCACAAGCCGAGAAGGATCGACGTGTTGGTCTTGAGTGCAGCAGGGATCGCAGAGAGGACATCGGACGTCGTATGGGCTTGAATGTTCGTGTACAGCCGAACGCTGTTGAAAACACCAGGGGCGTTCTGCAGGTTCTGCATCGTGGTGAACTCTTTGACGAAATCATCTTCGAATTTTGCAGTGTAATCGGTCAGGGTGTTGCCGCTGTTGAAGCCCTAATAAATTCTGCTCTCCTGGCCGTTGCAAGTTTGCAGGAACGCAAGTAAAGAGAACAAAGATGGAAGAACGAAAGACATGACTGTGGGCATAGAGCGAGCGACGAGAAAGTGGAGTAACCTGTGAAATTCCAGAATGGAGGTTCCGCTCTTCTGGCATATCATTGAGTTCTGGAAAACCCGGAGCTCCTTGATCACTCATCGTTCAAGGTTGGTCAGGCTTGAGGAAATGAATATGCATCTGCCGGTTTATCCAGCTCGACAGCTTCGATCGAATAGAGTGGCGTGATTGGCTAGCCTGCCCTGCGAAACTTCAGTCTGACACAAATAGAGATCTAGTCGATACTTTATGATCACCTCACCTGGTTTAGTATGTTAGGGAGACAGCGCAGAAAGTCTGGGCATACTGTGGCATTGCTGACGGCAGCGGATCGGCCGGAATGGTGAACAAATCCCCTGCGAAGTCAATACGCGAGAGCGTCCTCTCTCGCCTATTATTTGTCGATGTGGGACGTCCATAGCATTGCCATATATTTCCATAACCTATGCGACAAAGATTGTGCTTGCCTAACAGTGTCAACGGATCGAATCAAATCGCCGCCTGATGACGAATAGATTTTCGTCACCAGTGTTGTCGCGACGCTTCCAACGCTCATTATACTTATCGATCCACAAGTCCTCGACAGTAGAACCTTTCTATTCGACAGCAACTTTGCGAAACCCGTGGATCCCAAGGGTTATCCAAACACCAAGAGGGAACAATATTCTTTCGCAGCCACTATCGTAAGTGGGTCGTGGGCAAGGTCGAAGAGCGTGAGGGAGAATGCGGACAACTTGGACCTCGGACTTCGACGGGCAGATGGGAAGCTAGAACTCAGTACTGACGGAATTAATCGTACAACCATTTTGCTCGCAGTCTTGTATCGGATCAAATCACTCACAGCTCCGATTTCTCTTGTTCACCTTCCTCTTCAGCCTCCTCAACCACATCTTTAAGCTTCTCCTCCTTTCTTTTTTCCTCCACTTCCCTGCTCGCTTGGACTTTCTTCTCCTTCTCGCTCCCCAGTATCTTCTTCTCGTCCTCTTGCTCTTGCATCTTCTTCTCTTGCTCTGCTTTCTCCTTCTTCTCTGTCTCTGCCCTCTTCTTCTTCTCCTGCTCAACCCTCGTCTTCCTCTCTTGCTCTTCCCTCTCCTTCCTTTCCCGTTCCTCCCTTTCCTTATTCTCCCTCTCCTCCCTCTCCCTCCTCTCCACCGCCTCCTTCTCTTCCATTTCCTTCCTCTCCCTCTCCTCCCTCACCTCCTTCTCAATCTGCATCCTCCTCTTCCTAGCATCATACCCCTTCGGCAAATTCCCCGACCTCCTCAACCTCTTCTCCATAAAAGGACTCAACAAGCCATCAAACTCTTTCAACTCCCTCTCTTCCCTTTCTTTCCAATACTTCCCCAACTCCTCATCATACTTGTGTACAAGTCCCCACCATTCCGGACGTGGCTTCTTCGTGACCTGGCTCCTGATCTTTTTGAACGCCTTCGCAGCTTCACTGCCGCCACAGCCCAGGTTCATAGGAGCGTCCGGATATGGGTATGTGTCGATGAAGCATTCTGCTCCTTCTACTTCGCACTGCATATTAAGGTCAGCAAGATGGACATCAAAATCCATGAAAGAGAACATTTGAGAAACAACTTACAGGACTCAATTCAGGGCAGGGCCAGGTCACATTATGAGGCTGAATCACACAATTGTTGTCCTTGCAGAAACCAGCATAGCAAAGCGGATACTGTCCATCGCCATCAGCATAGAACACAAAGTCGCAGAATGCATTGCATTTGTCAATCAGACTCACTTTCTCTGATTCAGCTTTCACCACGCAACTCAGCCCGCTCCACACCAGAAGCACTAAGGCATTATATGCTCGCATGGCTGCACTGATTCTTCTCCAGAAAGCACGAGCTTGACCCAAAGATCTCAAGTGTGTACGATGAATTTGTACGCAGTTCTGCTTGCGAGATGCGAAATGCAAAAATGCCATGTTGTCCTTCTTCAAATCTGGGATTCATTAGATGCCCTGCCAGGGGTACTTGACTTTGGATACAAGTCAAGCAATCGTAGTCAGTTCATCTGACGACCAGGGTACAACCTTATTTCAACCACAACAATAATTTTGAGCCTCAGGTAGGGTCTCGAAATAGAAACAAATCTGATAATCGAGGAGTTCGTGCGCATGTCGTTGTTGGAGCGATCGTGAATAAATCATACTATGTACTAACTAGCACGGAATCCTCGTGAACGAAGTCAACGAAGCGGACTAGAAGTGGTGCAGCGACGCGGTGTGTCCAATCTGTGCGTCAAGTCAAGAACGCCAATCCCATCACAAGCAGCATCGACTTTGTGAGAGTCGAGGCATGTGTCATAACCAAAAGAGTGTCCTTATTGTCCGAACAGGTCCGCACGTTGAGGTGATTCCCGTTCTCCATTCTTCATCATTGATTTTCTTGCGATTAAACGTCAGTCTTCTCTCCCATCTGGTTTGGCAAGGCCTCTCCGTTCTTCTTCGCCTTTTTAGCCTTGCGCACACGCTTGATCGCCTTCCAGCTCTCGACGAGGGAGACGAAAATGACCAAACTGGCAAAGACCAAACCCCACTCCCATTCGAGTGGCAGGTGGCGGAAGACCACACGGTTGACGACTGGAATGAAGATCACTGGGAAAGGTGTAACCAGTCCAGCCATCACAGCCCAGAACAAGAAACGATTCTTCAGCAGCGTGCCAAAGATGCTCAGTCCCTTGCGTGGGTCCTCGTTGGGGTACATGTTGAAGAGACTGAGGTCAAGATGCTTCGCCTCCCAGGCCATGACAGAGAGCAAGACGGTGAGAATGGAGTATGCAGTACCTCTAGCGCGGTAAGGCAGCTCGCAGCTTTCGTTGTAGTTATGATTGCAATCGTATCCGAGATCGCCGTCACCCACACCATAGGCGACAATAACGAACGAAACGAGGCAAAGAGTTCCCATGCAGGTACCGTAGATGAACTTGTCGATGATGAGTTCCTTGGTGAACACACCAGCCTTGAGCGAATGGGGTGGGCGTGTCATGACATCGGCAGAAGCCTCTTCCAATCCAAGTCCGATGGCCAGGAAGGATGACGAGACGAGATTGGCGAAGAGAATCTCCAAAGGCGAGAGCGGAAAGACAGAAACGCCGTTCCGATCCTTGAAGGCCAGACCGATGAGCAGTAGGATGACTTGAGCGATGTTGGAGATGAGCAAGTGCAGCAGGAACTTGCGAATGTTGTCGAAAAGACGACGACCTTCGCGGATAGCAGAGACGATCGAGGCGAAGTTGTCATCCGTCAAGACCATGTCTGCTGCTTCTTTGCTAACATCACTGCCGTTCAGACCCATTGCAACGCCCACGTCGGCGCCCTTGAGTGCTGGCGAATCGTTGACACCATCTCCTGTCATGACACAATATTTGCCCTTGCGATGCAAGGCCTCAAGCATACGGAGTTTGGTTGTTGGCGAGCATCGAGCAAGAACGAGCGGAAAGGAAGCCATCTGATCGATCTCCGCATCTGACATCTTGTCAAACTCGGAAGCGACCATGACAGCCGTAGCCGCATCTGCACCTGGAACATGAGGAGCCAAAATACCAATCTCGCGGGCAATGGTAGTCGCGGTCTTGAGATGGTCACCAGTCAACATGTGAACAGTGATACCAGCTGCCTGGCACTGCTTGATAGCGCCAGCAGATTCGAGGCGCGGTGGATCGTAGATGCCCACGAGACCAGCGAACTCCAGATTTTGTTCCATGGCGGCACGATCAGCGAAAAGCTCGCGAGCCTCCGAAGACAGGGTACGATGGCCTAGGCAAAGGACACGAAGACCCTCCGTAGCCATTGCATCAGCCTGAGCCAGGACTGCCTTGGAGGTCTCGTGGCTGACATTCATCAATGGCAGCAGGACCTCGGTAGCACCCTTGGTGAAACATGTGCGAGTGCCAGTGGACGACTCCTCATAGACGGCAGTCATGCGCTTGACAGAAGAGTCGAAAGAGTGCTCTGTGACGATGGTGAGACCCTCCCGTGCAATGGTGTCCTGCTTGCCACAACCAGTACGCATGGCCATAACTTGAAGAGCAATCTCGGTCGGCTCGCCAGCGGCGGTCCACACGGCCTCGGCGTTTGGCGGGGGAGTGACAGTGGATACATTGCAGAGTGCGGCGATCTGGAAGAAAACCTCAACCTCCTTGTCGTTGACCACGTCCTGCGCCCACTGAAGTGTGCGGCCTTCGAGGTTGAGACTTCCGGCAGTAGGGTCGAGCGGGTTGGACTCATTCTCGACCTTAATAACGCGACCGCTTGGGAGCCACGCTTTTCTGGCCAGCATCTTTCCTTGGGTCAATGTACCAGTCTTGTCTGAGCAGATGTTGGTGACACCTCCGATCGCCTCGAGGGCGCCCATCTTGCGGATGATAACGTTTCCTTTAGCCATGGCTTTGGAGCCAACAGCCATCGTGATGGTCAAGACAGCGATCAGCGACTCCGGAATGACAGCCACAGCGACACAGATACCGTAGATGAGTGTTTCATCATCAATATCCCAAACGTTGGCGGAGAAGACAATGATGGCGAGAAGAATGGCGAGAGCGAACAGGAAGAGCGCAAACCACGATAACTTGACTTGCAGCGGAGTGCCAATGAGACCGAGAGCGCCCTTGAGACCCTTCAAGAATCTCTTCGCGGCACGCACGATCCATGGACCTTCGTTGACAGGCTTCTTGTCGCGGAGAAGGGCGGCGATCTTGCCAATCTCCGTGGTCATACCAGTGGCGACAACGATACCAAAGGAACGACCACGGGTAACAGTGGTAGAAGAATAGGCAATATTCTGCCTATCGCCAACGGGAGCATCAGGTTTGTCGGAGATGAAGTCGGCATCCTTTACGGCGGGCTTCGATTCTCCGGTCAAGAGAGCTTCGTCGCTTGCAAAATTAATGCTGTTGGCGAGACGGACATCTGCAGGGACGACGTTTCCGACGCCCAATTGCACGATGTCACCAGGAACCAGATCTTCGGCCTTGATCTCCTGCAAAGTGCCGTGATCACGGATGACTTTGCAGGTAGGGGCGGCCATAGCGAGAAGGGACGCGATGGTTTCCTCAGCGCGGTAGTCCTGGAAGAAGCCAACCACGATGTTAAGAACGATGACGGCGCTGATGACACCGCCTTCAATCCAGTCCATGGTGGCGTAACTGAGGATCATGGCAATTGCAAGAACCAGCGTGAGACTGTTGGAAACCTGGCGAAGGAGAATTCGCCACCAGATGACTCTGCCTTCGGTTTCGAGCTGGTTTGCGCCATATTGCTCACGACGGCGAGTGACCTCGCTGGTGGCCAAGCCATTCCTGGGATATGTTAGCAGACTGTCCTGCTGGCACTGATCGCGCACACTCACTCGATGGTAGTCCCGAGAACGCTTGCCACACTGGAATGGGTCAGAGTGTGGGCATGAGCATTGATGGTGCTGATGTGGGCACTGTCGGCCGTGTCGACAGTGGTGATTGAATTGGTGGTTTTTGTACCGCGAGCTCCGGGCAGAGACTTGTCGTTCATCAGAACAGACTCTCTGCTCGAGCCCGCGCTCGGTATAGGTGGCGGGTCGTCGACATTGCCGCTGTCGTCGGCGGAGGGAATGCCTCCCGGGCCATGGGGTGCTGTCGAGTGTGATGACCCGACATCAAAGGTGGCAGTCAAGGAAGGTTTTTCCATCAATTATCCCGGGACGAAGAAGCGGAGGTGGTTGCGTGGGACCGAAAGCGGGTAGTTGCTGGGTCTGGTAGCTTTGTAGTGAGCGAGGCACAAAGAAAGGGCGAGGCTCAGCAGGTCCGATCTTCTGGGGCGGAAAGCGAACTGGGTAGGAGGGGTAGGTAGGTGGTACCTTTTGTATGGGATGGGCGGCCGCACGTGGGTGGAGACGACTAGACGGCGGAATGCACAGCCCAGCGCCTGGCATCTTCTAGGCGGGACACAAATCGTGTTTGGCCAAGCTTCCATGACGGTGCGATGTGTCTCGGCGTTCGTGGTGTCTTGGAGAGCGCCGCATTCATTGTTGCATGCGGTCGGTGGCGTCGCATTTCCTTCTTCGGGATGTTTGCCATGTCGCCGTCGCGGTCTCGCACGTCGCAGACAGTCCGGCAAACACAAACGCGCCTGTTTGTCTGTCGCGTGCTTGCATGTCACCAAGGTATTCTAAGGGGAGGTGGATGGCAAGCGTGCCATGCGCGTTGCGCGTGCTTTCGCCATCGCTAACTAGTAGCTTGGCAGACCCACCTTTCGTGAGGCTAGAATAACCGCCAATGGGAACGCCGTGCTCGCCTCGCATCTTCCGCGTTGCTGATGTCGTCGATATCAGACAGTATTTCTTGCCTATCACATGGCGGTCAGCGACAGCTCCCGCGAGCTCATCCTGGCCACCGTAGGAACGCTGTGGGCACCAGCAGCATCTCTGCCAGGGACACTGTGAAACCTCAACATGGTGGCCGGCCGTCCCTCTCCTGCTGCGAAGAACGGTACCGTGGGCGATAAGCTAGACGGGCAGCATCCCATGTGACAAGGACGCCAATTTCCTCATCGACCTCACTACCGAGGCTTTGGCATCGAAGTCGACGCCAGTGGTGCGAAGAAAGACTAGGCAGAACAACCAAAGCTTCCTCTGCACCGCTGTCCGTTCATCATCAGCTGAGGTGGCAGACGACCAGGATGCGTGAACTCCCAGGCCCAAACAGGAAAGCCTGCATCTCCACTTCACCTTCCCCGCGAAACATGGCCTCCGCAACCCGCACCATCAAAATCGCACTGCTGACAAAGAACGCCTCGAAGCTAATGGCCATGTCATGCGCGAGACCAACACAGCAGGAGCCCAGATGGGCGATGGCAAGACCAAACATTCCTCGCGATCAAGGAGACTTCAGGAATTTCAGTCTGGCGAGCACAGATTTCTGGTAAAGCAACATACTCGGTTTTCGATGATGCATCACGGCGCATCACATCACCTTCCCCATGCGTGGGCCCAGAAGACTGGGTTTCTCTTAAGCCACTTGGCAAGACGCACTCTATGGGACACACAAGACTCTTCGCTAACCACAGCCAAGACGGCCACGCAAAGCTGGAGAACCTGGCTCATGTTCGGCAACTGCCATACTGTGGAGAGGTTCAAGGAAAGAGCTTCGAGTAAACATGAAGCACTGGTGCCGCGGCTACACTGTTGCAGAGAATTATGTTCCCGAGTAGGATAATGACGAAGCAAAAACCGGATTGACAGATACGCGCCTGCGTCGCCACCGGCAAGCGAGAATGCACAGCCACTGGAAACACGTTGCAACGAGACAGTGGTGGTGCATATGCATGTGATCCCCATCGAACTCGTTGTTTGGACAGTGAGTGAAGTGGATCGATCTCGGCATCGACACAACACATACCAAATGCACATTTCGAACGTAACGTCGCCACACAGCGGGAACAGACGTCTTTTACGGACCTTGCCTCCGACGCGATATAACTATACTTAGATTTCCAGTTCCACTTCGCCTCGAGGAGACATTTTGATGCCGCCGTGGCTTCGAGTATCACGTATGCCTCGGACTCACAGTGCCATTCGTGTCTGAAGCGTTATTCTGATACCTTGCTGTCATCTGAGGCTTCCGAAGCATTCTGGTGTAAGAGGCTCAAAGTTTGCTGTCAAAGAGATCAACAGGATCAGAACATGGAGTGTTCAAGGCGAACTTGGCTTTCGTAAACCGAATCACTTGCGATCGAGGTGCGAACACATCCGTTGAGCTCGTGAGCGTCAGCTTTGGTCTTCCAAAGATCGCCGCAGCGTAATCAATCATGCGCATCAAGAATGCGGCTTCGCGAGAGCGCTGGTAAAGACACAGTCCTCAAGCCCAAGCATGTTCAAGCACGGTCTGGGAAAATCAAATCGTGAACATCACCAGCTCTTTGCGTTCCCAAACACCTATCATTGCGAGCCACAACATGCGGGTACTGATCTGATATTGTGTGCCATAGACCAAAGGATCGCACGCCCGGCCAGTAGGCGAGAGTGGATGCAGGGATTGCCCCTCCTCCGGGTGGACCAGAGCTAAATCGCAGCATATCAAGCCTGTGAGCCTAGCATACAGCAACGGAATAAAGGGCGACCATGTCGTCGGCTGAGCCATCTTCAGAACTGACAGTCAGAATTCTATGCGGTGTTACGATTCCAGATACAGCTCTGATCTCCACTGCGCTGGACTTCGCGAAATCCGTGTCTACAGACCACACTTACAATCACATCGTCCGATCACTGCTTCTCGGCTTTATCATAGCAGACAAGCTCCCGCATACCAAATCTCGAGATCGTGAAGCTCATGCGATCGCTGCGATTTTGCATGATACGGGCTTTCCCATCGGTCATCCGCCTCACAGCGCAGTCCTCAGCTCCGATAAGCGCTTCGAAGTCGATGGAGCGAACTGTGCAAGAGACTTTTTGAAGAAGCACGGCAAGCTGGAAGAATGGGACAAGCACAGGCTCCAGCTCGTCTGGGATGCAATAGCCCTGCATACGATTGGAACAATCGTGTTCGAGAAAGAGTCCGAAGTGCAAGCCACTGCCTACGGCATATGGGCGGACTTTCAAGGCCCTGATCGGGTGCCTGGTGGCGTTCTGACATGGGAAGAGTACAACGCTTGTGTAAAGGTGAGATCACAATGCCTGTTGAGATAACCGCCTTGCTGTATCTGGTCATGGCTGACGTGATCGCTGCGTACAGGAATATCCCCGCGTCGGCTTGATGGCAGGCCTCAGAGAGAATATGCTACATCTTTGTAAGCATAAGCCAGCAACAACGTATGATAACACGGTGGGAGAGTGGGGCGATAGGTATCTGAGCGAAGAGGAATATAACCGGAGGCCAAACTTGACGCAGAACTTACTGGAGACTTGTGATCTCGACGATAGAGATCCAATTGCATAATCCATGGCTTCTGAGAACCTTGGGCTGAAACACGCTCTTGGGAGTATGAACGAAGTATCGGTTCGAGGCGAACTATTGCTTTCGGTACACTCAATCGCGATGTTTCTTCACGAAGGTCGTCATCCGTGTATAGCGTGCTGTCCCAGGATCCAACGGAGTCAAGGCTGGAGAGTGGAAAGTTATAGACCAAGTCTGGTTCGACAGATATTTTCTCCGTCATCCACTTGCGCCGTATAGTGAATGCTTGAAATTTTTGAAAGGGTGCCCGAGGCTTGACCGAACATGCCATCGAGAGGAGTGCCTTGTGAATCTGGCTGTAGCCTTGTCATATTAGACTCCCTCGTATCTGTCCGCTAAAGTGAGAGATGAGTGACGGCGATGGTGCACCATATTACGCTGCAACCAATGTCAAAAGTGCTTTGACCATTGCATAGATTGTGAGAACTCTTCGCCGATGAACATTGGCCTCCGGGCTGACACTGAAGCACGTTGTCAGGTCTTGTACCGTAATCCCGCGAGAAATAATGATGTCCGCTAATGATCAACGAGATCGCAGGTGCGGTGAACTTGACGAATGAACGGACCTGCGACATCCGGCAGCAAGCGACGAGCCCTAAGTCGAGGAGCGGACCGCATCTCGGCTACGCTCCATTAGGTAAGTGATCGGCGTTCAGAGAGGCAGCTATGCCCTCGTTCGCTGAAAGTTGTCTGGCCTGCCTCGACTGCTCGTGAGCTACACAACCGCTGTGAAGGTCAAACTACAACCAACCTCCACGACCGCTCCTCCTGCTTCACTCTGCTGCACTTCACAGCCATCAAAGGCAGCAGCAAACAATCCTCAGCCATCATCTACAACCACTTTCCAGCAGGGGTGCCGAAACCGCGACGCGATTCTTTGCGCGCGTGCTCTCGAAGCAGCTCAGGTGAACGACATTCTGAGAAACCTAGACCCGGCGATACGAACGACGCTCCGCCACGAATCTCGACACACCTCCGTCGCCGATCTAAATCCTTGCGCACCCGATATTGTCGACAGCGACAACCGCCTTCTACTTCTGCCATGATCGAGGTGGACTAGTAAGGCCGATTGGAGCACCACCCACCAGACGGCCTTCGAGGCCGCACGCCTTCCCTTCGCCGCTGATCCGGTCCGGCGCACAAGATGGACGCGCTGGAAGCCAAGTTGACCGACGCCTCGTCGGACTTCAAGGCCCAGTATGCTGCTCTCGCCGAAGTGCGCGATGGCCTTGAGCAGATGTGCCAGGCGGCCACCTACTCTGCCTTCCTGCACAAGTTCGTACCCATTTTTCTGAACATCCTCGCCGGCTCGCCCGTCTTCACTTCCACGTCATACGAGCAGCGATGTCGACAATGCGTTCTGGACATCATTCATCGCTTCCCACTGTCCACTGACAGTCAGGCTATGGAGCCGTTCGCTGAGAAAATTGTCGATCAGTGCCTGGAGCTGGTGAGGACGGACAACGAGGACAACGCTGTGCTATGTTTAAAGATTGTCATGGATATTTGTCGATACCACACCAAGTCCTCCGCTGTGGTGGAAAAGGCGCAGCCGTTCCTCGACCTGATCTTGGACATCTTCGATGGCATGGAGCAGACCATCAAGGACACCTTCGAGTCGACGACACCCATGCCAGCCACCGGCGCTCCGGGCACTCCGAACAACAGCGGGACCCCAGGCTCTCCTGTGACATCCACAACACAGGCATTGACCACCGACGAACCCCAAACCACGAGACAACTGGCCAAGGGCATGCGCAGTTTCAAGGTTGTGGCTGAATGTCCCATCATCGTGGTCAGCATATTTCAGGCACATCGCGCGCTAGCTCCCAAGAATGTCGCCAAATTCACACCTCGGATCAAGCAGACGCTCATGCTGCAGGCGGGTCCGCAGCGAAAGGCACATCAGGAGGCAGAGCAAAATGGCACCGTCTTCACGGGCGTAGCGCGAGAGATCAAGGCCAAAGGGCAGTCAGCAGCATTCGGCGACCTCGTGACTGCACAAGTTAAGACAATGTCTTTCTTGGCCTACTTATTGAGGGCCTACTCTCAATCATTGCAGGACTTTCTCAGCCAGCTGCCGGAACTTACACTTCGCCTGCTGCGAGATGTGCCTCGTGCGCATACTGCGGTGCGCAAGGAACTGCTCGTGGCCATCCGGCACATTATCAACTTCAACTTCCGCGCCGTTTTCCTTCCTGTTATCCTCCCTCTGCTGGACCCACACACCTTGGTCGGCGATTCTCTCACTGCAGACATCACATTACGACCGCTAGCATATACCATGCTGGCGGACTTGATACATCACGTTCGTGAACAGTTGAGCGCAGAGCAGATAACCAAGGTCGTCCAGGTCTACGTCAGCCACCTCACTGGCGATGATGGCGTCGACGTGCCCGGGACAAGCTATCAGACCATGAGTGCCAAGCTACTCCTAAACATGGCTGAGTGCATGTCAAAAGTGGAGGACAAGAAGAACGCTCGCTTCCTCATGATGAGCGTCCTGAATGGCATCGCCGACAAATTCGCTGCAATGAACCGTGCGTACCCGAATGCCGTCAAGTTGTACCGACAACAACAGGAGAGCAATGCTCACAGTACTGATGCTGCTTCGGACAACCACCTGGCTGACAAGGATCTGAGGCCTGACTGGGATGAGACCGACATTTTTAGTGCTATGCCCATCAAGGCGGTCAACCCCAAGGACAGAGCAGCAGACCCAGTCACAGAGAACAAATTCTTGTTCAAGAACCTTCTACAGGGGCTGAAGCAGTTCTTCTACCAATTACGAAATAGCAATCCGCCGCGTATCAAGGAGGAGGTGGACAAGGCAAATGCTCCGCCCCACTGGGCCGAATTGTCATCAGGATTCGAGTCGGAAGAAGTCGAAGTCCTCATGAAGCTGTTCCGGGAAGGTGCCAAGTGCTTCCAGTACTACGCGCCACTTGACGCGAACGCGGAGAATACTGGTCCAAACGAGCCCAGCTCAAGCATGGCTACTACAGCCAATAGCAAAGAAGAGAAGGATCTGCTCGAGACCTTCGCGACCATCTTCCACCACCTCGATCCTGCCACATTCCATGAGATCTTCACCTCTGGCAATCCATCAGGCATTGAATTCCTCTACGAACAGAGCTTCCGGCATGCGGCTCTCTTACACACACCACAATTCTTGTTGGCCAGCGAAGCCACGAGTCCTGCCTTCTGTGGCATGCTACTCAAGTTCTTGATGAGCAAGCTCGAAGAGGTTGGAGAAGACAACAATACCAAGACTTCTGTGTTATTGCGGCTCTTCAAGCTTTCCTTCATGGCAGTGACTTTGTTCAGCCAACACAACGAGAGTGTCCTACTTCCGCACGTCCGAGAACTGATTACACGGTCCATTGAGCTCTCCGTCACTGCAGCGCAACCCACAAACTACTTCTTGTTGCTGCGTAGTCTGTTTCGTAGCATCGGAGGAGGTCGCTTCGAGCATCTTTACAAGGAGATTCTGCCTTTGCTCGAAATGCTTCTCGAGGTACTCAATACCCAGCTTGCGGCCGCTCCAGATGGTACCACTCGGGACCTGTTCGTCGAGTTGTCTCTCACTGTTCCTGCGCGGCTCAGTCACCTTCTGCCCCATCTTGGCTACTTGATGCGGCCTTTGACAGTTGCGCTGCGTGCTGGAGACCCGCCTTCTCCCAGCCAACGTGCTTACTCGAATGACAGGTCTTCCAACACCAATCAGGGTTCAGGCTCTAGCGAGTTGACAGCACAAGGGCTGCGAACTTTGGAACTCTGCGTGGACAATCTCACAGCAGATTATCTCGACCCGATCATGCAGCCGTGGATGGAGGAGATCATGGGCAGCCTGTGGCGAATGTTGAAGCCGGTGAGCTTGACTGGCGCCACCATGGCTCACGGCGGTCAGAACCTTCCTGGGACTGGACATCATGGCGCACACACTGCTGTCCGAATCTTGGGCAAGCTTGGCGGCAGGAACCGGAAGTTCTTGAATAACCCTGCCGAGCTCGAATGGAAGCCGTATGCAGACGACGAGGCGAGCTATGATGTACGCTTCATCGGCGCGATTTCCAATGGCGGCGAACGGGCCATGCCAGCACGACTTGGTATCCAAACAGCGATCGACAAGCTTTCCGAGGTGCCAAAGACGCCGGCACAGAAGAAGTCTGATGAGTATCACAAGAGACAGTCTTTCAAATTCATCGCTTCCCACATTAAGCTGTTAGTTGGCGCAGACAACTTACCCGACGACTTCACTCGTCTTGTCCGCCTCCAAGCTGATGACCTTGCGGCGGGGAACTTCGACTTTGGCTCGGATCTGTTCTCGGAATCACAGCGGAACAAGTCAAGCACGAAGCGCGATGCGCAACAAGAGACTCTGCTAAAACTCCTCAAGGCTTTGATTTTTGCCACCAGCGTGGAGTATCTGAAGGAAGAGGCAGAACGCTTCTTGCACAATATCTGCCGTCATTTTGTAATTGTCGACCTTGGTGTCGCTGTCGCGAGCGAGAAGCATCGCGCGCGCCCATTTGATGCCCGCGCTGGTGATGGCCCAGTCTTCATTGAGACTGGCACACTAGCAGATGCCATCAGCCAGAGCTTGGCGTCAGACCAAAAGATTGTGCGCGAGACTGCGGAAAAGGCTATGCGCGAGTGTCTGACCATAGCGACCACAATCTGCGGCTCAGAGACGAAGGCCGAGTCTTTGCCCGTCTTCGCAAGACTGGCGGAAGCGTTCTGCCACGCATGCTATGAGGAAGAATGGTTCACAAAGAACTCAGGCACGCTGGGCATCACCATTATGACGGACCAGGAGAAGATGAAGCTGTCCGATTCGTGGGTCACAAACCGTCTTCCGGAGCTGCTCAAGGCTCTCCTTTTCGTGATCAAAGATATGCCGCAAGACCTCCCTGCCAACGTCAGAGTCCAGGCTAAAGATACCATCATTTCACTAGTCAAGCGCTTTGGTGCCAGTGGACTCGAGAGTAAACAGGAACTCGAGAAGAAGGACAGCCGACTGTACACACATGCGAAACATCTCATCTCAGAGGTCAATCACATGAACCGACACGTACGAGATGCAGCTCAACAGGCGTTGCGCGCCCTCGCGACCGCGTTCGGAATGGAACACTACGAACTGGTGGCGCCAGTCAAAGAGTCGCTTACATTCGGGGTATTTCTGAAGCCTCTACGGGCATTGCCTTTCACTGCACAGATTGGGTATATCGATGCCATCAACTTCCTCCTCGATGTACCTGCCGATAAAGAGATTCTTGCCTTTGATGACAATCTCAACAGATTGATTTTCGAGACCCTTGCTCTAGTTGACGCCGAAGACGAGAGCCTTGCGCCCAAGCCATACGAGTACCGTACAGCAGAGAGTATTGTGAGACTGAGGGTCGCTGGATTGAAGCTTCTCGCGACGGCCATCAAGTTACCTGGGTTTAGTGCAAACACGGCGACCACACAACAGACAGGTGGCACTCCACAGCCAAATGCGCAACAACAGCAGCAGCCGGGCGGCCAGCATCGCGCACGTGTTATCAGTATCTTCTTCAAATCGCTGTACAGCAAGAACAAAGATGTCGCCGGCGCCGCTAACGCTGGGCTCAAGATTGTGCTGCAATCAACATCCAAGTTGCCCAAGGATCTCCTTCAGAACGGGCTGCGTCCGATTTTGATGAACGTACAGGACCCAAGAAAGCTGTCAGTGGAAGGCTTGGAAGGCTTGCGAACTTTGCTTCAACTTCTGCACAACTACTTCAAAGTCGAAATTGGCACGCGTCTGCTTGATCACATGGAGAAGATTGCCGATCCTCCAACGTTGCAGAAAGTGTCATTCCAACTTATCGAAGCTCAGCCCAAGATGAAGGTTGTGACGGCCATCTTCAGCGTTTTCCATCTCCTACCCAGCCAAGCAGCCATGTTCTTGCAAAACTTGGTTCAACGTGTGCTCGATTTAGAGACATCTCTGCGACGCACGAGAAGCAGTCCGTTCCGAGAACCGCTGATCAAGTATCTCAACCACTATCCAGAAGAGTCTTGGGCATTTTTCAAGGCGCTGATGAAAGACGAGAAGCGTGGCCGCTTCTTCGCGCAGATCCTGGCAGACCCTGAGAGTGGCCCGTTGCGTGAGAAAGTGATCAAGGAGATCGACGGGCTCGTTGCGACCTTTGAGGGCATTACGGCTGCAGATATGGATGCAGACAAAGCGCAGGCTGCAGTGAATGCTATCCATGTTGCAGATTCCATCTGTCAGTTCGCAGATCACGGAAAGCAATTGACATCGAACGATGGTGCCCGCAAAGCATTGCTCAACGCAGCCAAAGCACTGCAGGCACGAGCCAACCAAGGAAATATGTTCAATAATCTCCGTCTGGCAGTCATGCAAACTGCAACAAGAACCATGCATCTGTTGATTGTGCACTTGGAACAAAAGCCTGACGACCTGGACTGTCTTTTCGATGCGTTCGAATCTTGTGTCAAGGGCGAATTCCAGGCAACTCCTATGCTTATTGCGCATCTCTACAAGCACGTCATCACCAGCGATTCCGTGGACTTCCAAAGAACTGTGGTGCAGCGCTGCATTGAGCTGTACACATCGAAGGACACTACACAGAAGCTGAAGTGGTTCGTGTTCCACAACGTCGCCAATCCGATATTGGCCAATGACGTGATGCGTAATTGGGACAGCTTATTCCACGAAGACAACAAGGGCACGCCGCTGCTGAACAAAGCGATGGCTGATGACATCCACAGCCGGCTATGGCGGCCGCAGTCAGTAAGCGATATCTCCGACGACAACACGCCAGGGGTAGACCACAGCCGGATGGAGCTTTTGCAAACATCCGCTTTCTTGGTCAAATATCATCACCCTATGCTCTCCGATGCTCGCAAGGATCTGATCAAATTCGGATGGAACTACATCCGTCTTGAGGACCACGTGAACAAGTACGCTGCTTACTGCCTTATCGCCTACTTCATCCACCACTACGATACGCCACCGAAGATAGCGATGCAGGTGTACAATTCACTACTACGTGCACACCAGGCGGAAGGCAGAAATCTGGTCATGCAAGCTCTGGAGATCTTGGAGCCCGTTCTCAAGAAGCGTCTCGGCGGCGCGGAAGGCCGTAATAGCATTTGGGCTCGTCTTCCTCGCAAGATCCTTAGCGAGGAGATTGGCAACATTCAGCAGTTGACGAGCATTTACCATTTCATTGTCCGTCACCCGGATCTGTTCTACGATGCCCGGGAGCAATTTGCACAGATGATCATACAGTCGATCGGCAAAGTGGCACAGCTACCAAGCCCAAGCGTGGAGAGCAGAAAGCTGGCCTTGAACTTGTTCATGCTCATTTGGCAGTGGGAAGAGCGGACGGTCCGGGAGAACGGCAGTCTGGCAGAGGGCGATGCACCCAAGAAAGCTGCTGTTGCCAACGCCACACTTCGGTTCGCGTTCATCAAGTACATGGTGCAGTTTATCGCGACTCTACCCGAGCGCTTCCCTGCTGCCCCACCGAAGAACAAAGATCAGACGCCATCAGCGCCATCGCCATCATACCCGCCTCATGAAACGGTGATGAAGTCGCTCGACTTGCTCAGTAAGCTCTTGTCTGCGCCCTATTGGGACGATCTGGATGTGGACGCAATGTTCCCCAAGGTCACTGAACAGATCCTCTGCACTGATCACAAGACTGATGAGAAGGTCGAAATATGGACAACGAGGGTGGTCAACACCATTCAGGTGATAAAGGTTCTACTCAACTCTCGCTCGGACGAGTGGGTCGTTGCACGATTACCTCAGCTACAGAAGCTGCTTGCGAAGCCGCTGCGGAGCGAAAGTGCGGAGATCCAGGATGCACTGCACAATACTGAGCTGGCTGAGCATGTCTATCCCAAGCTTGGACCGGTCTTGCAGCGACCTCTGGCGGTCATTCCCATCCAGCAGGTAGAGGAAGAGTTGCCTGATGCAGACAGCCCAACAGAGGAATTCACAACGTTCCTAGCCTCCCTTGCAGGCGATGTGCTAAGCAACGGGAGCCACATCGCAGGAATCAATGTCCTGTGGATCATGGCGCAACGTAAGCCTGAAGACATCGATGCGCACAGTGCTGCGTTGCTCAAGACGCTGCAGACCAAGCTGGCGAAAGATCATCTCGCGGCCCTGTACACTCCGCAGCAGGCTATGCAACAAGGCCAACCCCAGCCACCGACATCGCAGGAAGCCGAAATCACTGTCAACATGATCATCAAAGTCATGGACATGCTCTCCGCCCGGATTAGTACTCTGGGCGAGAGCAGGCGCCCGTACCTCAGTGTGCTGGCCTCCCTCGTCGAGCGTAGCACGAACAACCCTCTGTGCGAGAAGATCTTGTCTCAAGTGGAAAATTGGGTCTTCAACCCCACGGAGCCTGTGCCAACATTGAAGGAGAAGACTGCCGTGCTGCAAAAGATGCTTCTCTTCGAGCAAAGACCTGACCAAACACTCTACACGAAGTTCATGAACCTTGTGATTCGTATCTATGAAGACCCCAAGATCACCCGCTCAGAACTGGCTGTCAGAATGGAGCACGCTTTCTTGATCGGTTTACGAAGCAGTGATGTTGACATGCGCAATCGTTTCGTCTCCATCTACGACCGGGCATTGTCACGAGCAACCAACAATCGATTCTTTAAGCTCATCGGCGAACAGCAGTGGGATGTCTTGGGTGAGAGCTTCTGGCTGAGTCAGGTCATCCAGCTGATGTTTGGCTCATTCGACCAAAATGCGATACTGCACCTGCACGCGGACGACTTCCGCTGCATGTCCGTTAGCAAAGTGTTCAGCACGTACACAGGTGATGCACGACTGGGAGACGTCATGGTAGATGAAACCTTGGAGGATCTTCTTGCGGAGGAAAAGAAATTCGTCAACGAGATAAGTGTTGTTCGGGCACGAGACATCCTGGGGCCACTCTCCGAGATCCAACACACAGACTGGTCTCTCGCTCACGACATCTGGGTAGCATACTTCAAAATGTGCTGGTCCACGCTCTCGAAAGACGATCGCGAGGACATTGAGGCTGGCCTTGTGGCTCTTCTCACGAAGGACTTCCATCAACGCCAAATCGACCGACGGCCGAACTGCGTTGCTACTCTCTTGGAAGGCATCGCTCTTGCGAGACCGCACGTGAAATTCCCGCCACATGTCATGAAATATCTAGCCAAGAGTTATGATGCTTGGTATGTTTCCTCCACCTACATGGAACAGCTTGCCCTGAAGCCTGTGGTCGACACGCCGAACGTGCGAGAGAGCAACCTTGACGCACTCGTGGAGACCTATGCTGGGCTTGAAGAGGGCGATCTGTTCTACGGCACCTGGCGTCGGCGGGCTTCATACGTCGAGACAAACGCGGCTCTTTCGTACGAGCAGAACGGTATCTGGGACAAAGCACAAACAATGTACGAGCAGGCACAGATCAAGGCTAGGACTGGGTCCTTGCCATACTCTCAAGGCGAGTACATGCTGTGGGAGGACCAGTGGGTGCTATGTGCGCAAAAGCTGCAGCAATGGGACATCTTGGGCGAATTTGCTAAGCACGAGAACATCAACGATCTCTACCTTGAGTCCATGTGGCGAAACTATGAGGCTTGGAACAACTCGGACAATCGCGATCAGCTCGAGACGTACATCAAGGCCGTTAGTGACGCGCCGACGCCTCGACGCATGTTCTATCAGGCGTTCATCTCTCTGCTTAAGCTGCACAACACGGCCGAAACGCCTCAGGACTTTGCGAGGATCTGCGACGAGAACATTCAACTCAGCATCAAGAACTGGCACAAGTTACCACGACGCATCACGAATGCTCACATTGGACTCTTGCAGAACTTTCAACAGCTGGTCGAGCTGCATGACGCAAGCGTCATTTGTCAGAGCTTGGCACAAACCAACGCTTCGAATCTGGACACCAAGAGTCAGGAGCTCAAAGTCCTCCTCAGTACATGGCGCGATCGGCTACCGAACTTGTGGGATGATATCAATGCCTGGCAGGACCTGGTCACTTGGCGTCAACACATTTTCCAGCTCATCAATGGTACATATTTGAATCTGCTGCCGCCGAATAATGGTGGGAACGCGACAGGCAATAGCTATGCCTATCGAGGCTACCACGAGACAGCTTGGATCATCAATCGCTTCGCACATGTGGCTCGCAAGCATCAGATGCCAGATGTCTGCATCGCCCAGCTTAGTAAGATCTACACGCTTCCCAATATTGAGATCCAAGAGGCCTTTTTGAAGTTGCGTGAACAGGCGAAATGCCACTATCAGAATCGAGCTGAGCTGTCAAATGGATTGGACGTGATCAATAACACCAACCTCAACTACTTCGGCCAACAGCAAAAGGCAGAATTCTACACGCTCAAGGGTATGTTCCTGAGCCGATTGAATCAAAAGGAAGAGGCGAGTGATGCGTTCGGCACTGCGCTGTTCTTCGACATAAAACTGCCGAAGGCTTGGGCAGAGTGGGGACGATACTCGGACAAGCTGTTCAAAGAAGATCCTACCAATCTTGAGACTGGTTCGAACGCGCTCAGCTGCTACCTCGAGGCTGCCGGGCAGTACAAGAGCGCCAAGTCGAGGAAACTCCTTTCCAGGATTCTGTGGCTGCTGAGTTTGGATGATGCTACCGGCCAGTTGAGTCAAAAGTTCCATGACTACCATGGTGATCATCCTTGGTGGTACTGGGTGACATTCATCCCGCAATTGCTCAACAACTTGTCGAGAACTGAAAGCGAGGCTCACATCGCTCATCAGATCTTGACAAATCTGGCAAAGACGTATCCGCAGGCGCTGCACTTCCATCTGAGGACAAGTCATGAAGATATGCAAGTCATCAGGAAGAGTCAATTGATGAGGGAGCAGAAGGAGAAGGCAGCCAAGGCCAAGAAAGATGCCGCAGGCGATGCGGTCAAGACGGAATCTCCAGCTCGTCCCGAGAGCTCTGGTACGCCTGCTGGAGCCAGTCGTCCAACGACCAGTGCAGGTGATACTACGATGACAGACGCCGACAAGAAGCAAGAGCCTGCGAAGAAAGATGGCGAAGAGAAGAAGGACGAAGAGAAGAAGCCGAAGAAGCCTTGGGAGCATACCGAAGCTCTGGTCATTACATTGCGCACCGCCTTCCCTCTGCTGTATGCCTCAATGGAGGCAATGGTGGAGCAGATGCAACGTCACTTCAAGTGTCCTCCAGACGAGGATGCGTACCGACTTATTGTTGCATTGCTCAACGATGCTCTCAGTTACGTCGGACGATCACCGCAATCCTTTACGCAAGAGCAGAGGTTACCGCCGCAGACTGAGGCAAACATAACGAGATTTGCCGAGAGTGTTCTGCCACCTCACATCCGAAAGGCATTCGAGGTTGACTTCGTGGCGAAGAAGCCGACAATGTACGAGTATGTGCAGAAGCTGCGCAGATGGAGAGACAAGTTGGCCGAGCAACACGATCGCAAAGCGTCAACCTTCCACCTGGCCCAGAACACGCTCTTGAGTGGTTTCCGTTTCGTCTGGTTCGATGAAGTTGAGATTCCAGGACAGTATCTCCAACACAAGGATAAGAACCAAGACTTCGTGCGAATTGAGCGTTTCCTGCCGGTCGTCCACCTCGTGCGAGGCGTGCTTGCTTGTCATCGGCGCTTGACGATCCGAGGACACGATGGCAGCCTTCATCCATTCTGCATCCAGCACCCGGCACCACGCCATAGCAGGCGTGAAGAGAGGATCTTGCAATTGTTCCGCATCTTCAACACCACTCTGGCCAAGAAGAAGGAGAGCCGGCGGAGAAACTTGCAGTTCCATCTTCCTCTCATGGTTCCGCTTAGTCCACAGATCCGCATGATTCAGGATGATGCGAGCTACATCGCACTGCAGGGCATTTGGGAAGATCACTGTCGCCGAAACGAGGTCGATAAAGATGAGCCAATCATGTTCACGATGGAGAAGATGCGCACAGTGCCACAGCAGAAACACGAGCAATGGCTGAACATGCGAATCGAATCTTTGAACTATGTTCAGGATCGTTACGCCCCCAAGGAGCTGGTGCGTGACTACTTCGCCGCCACATATCCTTCCTACGACTCGTTCTGGCTTTTCCGGAGGCAATTCTCATACCAGCTGGCCGCACTCACCTATATCACGTTCACCATGTTCATGACGATTCGGTATCCCACCAAGCTGCATATCTCACGTGGCAGCGGCAATATTTGGGGATCAGAGCTTCTGCCGTTCATGCTGAGTCAGAGGCCCATGCTGCACCAGCCAGAGCCCGTGCCATTCCGATTGACACCCAATCTGCAAGTCCTGATGGGTCCGATCCACACCGAGGGCATCTTTACGTGCGCGCTCATGGCCATTGCGAGATGCTTGACGTCTGATGCAACAGCCGCTGGCAACTCAGCTTCCTCAACCACAAATGGCGCATCATCTTCGACCGATGCCGCGGCTCCTGCTGCAGCCACTGCTACAACAGGCATCACGAGCTCCGAACTCGAGCACCATCTGAGCATCTTCATCCGCGACGAAATCTCTTTCTGGTACATGAGCAATCGCCACACGGCCAAGGAGAACGAAATGCGCGAGCACGTACAGAAGAACTCGGAGCTGGTTGTCAACAAGGCTGTGGCGATTGCGAAGGAACCCACTGGGAACAACTTGCCTGCTAGTCAGAGTGTGTTAGATTTGGTTGCCCGTGCCACGAACCCGGAGAAGCTGGCGCAGACGGATCTATTGTGGATGGCGTGGTTGTAAAGGTGGGAAAAAAGGTTGGCGCTGGGAGTTCTGCAGGTGCGAGAATAATTTGGTGCGGTCAGCCATGGCGAGGGCACGAATTGTCGATTAGCGCGGCGTTGGGGATGATGGTATGAAAATGAGAAAGTTGGTTTGATGCTAGCGAGGAGTAACGAGAAGCGAGAGATTGAAACAGTAGTATGTAGAGTATGCCTCTTGTTCAATGGTTCAATAATACCGTTCACATTGTGGTCCTCTTTCTCATGCGCAGACCGTATCGACGAATGGAGTGCGTGAATACCTCTTCAACTTCACACATTTATGGCGCTTTTGCAGTGTCACGTAGTTCTTGACTTCCGTACACTTTCCCCAATTCCTCATCGACGAAATACTGCTAGTTCTATGTGTCACGATTTGGTGTAGCATTATGAAGATATACTACTCATACATCGACCTCGTGAGCACTATCGTGTCTCTGAATCTGCGGGGCCAAGATGGGCTTGAAGTTCAATTTCAGATTCTTGCAAGGCCTCACAATTCCTATACCTCCTGGAATGGGCTCCAAAGTGATAGACAAATCGCGGGAAATCTCGAAGTCTAGGATCAATCTCGCGATGGCTGCCCGTATCGTGGCTTTGCTGACCTCTTTTCCGATGCAGTACCTGGGTCCATGGAAAAAAGACATGAAACCGTAATTGCTTGAAGCACCTCCGTGTTTATTGAGACGTTGTACGCCGTGCTCGTCCGTATTGATCCATCTATATGGATCCATGGCTCCTGCGTTGGAGCCCCAGTGTGTAGGGTTGCGGTTGAGAGCCCAGATCCAGTACAGTATGGTTGTTCCCTTGGGGATGAATTGTCCAGCCATCTGCGTATCTCGGTTTGCAACATAGGGCAGTAAGGGGACTGAAGGGTGCAGTCTCAGGGTCTCCTGAACGATGCCATGCAATATTGGTATATTTGCGAGGTCCATGTGGGTCGGAATATCTGCATCTATGCCTTCGAATCTGTTCTGGAGCTCTGTCCGAAGTTCAGTCTGGTACTGTACATTTTCGGGCAACGTGAGCAAGTGTAAAGACCATGCCAGCGCCGCAGATGTCGTCTCAGCTCCAGCTGTCAAGAAAGTCAAGATCGACTCTACTATATCTTCGTCTGTAAGATTCTTTTCCGCTGCAAGCCTCCGCAGTACATCGTCGGGTTCTTTATCGCTGAGCTGATTCAATTCCTTCGCATGCTCCAGAATTTTACTGCCAAAATTTCGAAGAGTCTGCGCTGCTCGGTTGACGGACTTCATTTGGCGCGTGGGAAGCGACTGGAGGAGTCCTGGCGGCGTAAACAGAGAAGTTGCATTGTATAGATCGGAATAACGATTAGGCGTGGCAGCTTTTTGCAAGATCTTCACCGGAGTGCTATCCCATGCGGACCCTAGTGCCTGGAACTTGTACGACAAAAGCCCCTCCCCTGCACTGTCGAGAACATATCTAAACAGTGTAGGCCAAGGGTCATGGAACCCCTTCTGCATGCCTCGCTCGATGAGCGTATCCGTGAGCGTTTCCGCATTGTCCCAAGAGATCTTATGCATTTTCCGAACGAGTTGAATGGAGAAGAGGGGATGGATAGCTTTCTTGAACTTCGTGTATTCGGTGCCACTTGTGAAAACGACGCTCTTCCCACCAAAAAGGGAGTAGAGTTTGGCAAGGCCTGGTGACTTTTGGTAGTCCTGGAACTGGTTTGCAAGGCCGTCTCGGAGCGCTTCAGGGCTTATTGGCATGACAATGTCCCCAATGATCGGGTCGTAGATTCGAATCGCGTCTTCGTCTTGGAATTTGGTGAACCAAGATAGCGCTGTCTGGCCACGAGAGGGCTCCATCAAAGCAGCCAAGGCTTCATTGAAACACCAGAGTCTTCCATTCTGCAGGTTTATGTTAGGCTCATGTGCAGATATATGCGAGTTGGTTGACACTTACGAAGACGAGAGGAAACCCTTTTCTAAGAGGACTACGGAAGTAAGGGTATAAGATCAATCGATCTATTGCGAAAGCCAGAGATCCATTGACAGCAATCCAGAAAAGCAATCCGCGCAGGCTCCGCGCTTGATGAAGCCGAGGGAGCAGAAATATTGCGATTGAAACGAAAATCAAAGCTGCCACGAAGAGCTGCAGGTATGGCGGTTTGTCTTTCTTTTGCAGCATACTGATGATTTGGCACAGAGAAATATGTTGTATGAGGTGGGGTATACTTCTGAGGTGGACTGAGAGGCGGAAACGCTCAGCAGAATCGATAAAGACCTATATGATTACATTTACAGTTAGAAGTCCTCGTTGAAACAGTAGCCTTCCACCAGGCCATCAATCCCAGGGCAGCTCTATGGCGGCATTGCCCATGAGGAGTGATGACGTTGACGCAGCTGCATCACAGTCCGAATGTAGACATTTGGTCAATAATCTGGAAGATGTTCTATTGTGATCGCCAAGCTCGAGCTGCACGACCTGCTCAGAATGCTGTGAAGAACAGAGGGGTGTCGACGAGAATGGGCAATGCAGCCTTTGTGTACTCAGCTCGAGAGCACGGGGTGGCCTAAGGCGCCTGTTCTTGCTGTGGGAATCAGAGATTGGATTTGAAGAATCAGAGACATGGATGTTGTTGCCAAGGGCACGTTCAGCTTGGCAGATCGGTTGGGAAACGGTAGGGCTGACTTGCAAAATACCAACGTAGTAAATACCTGATTCGGTCTGCTGAGTGCCGGTAAGTAGTACCGAAGTAGTATGTGGGCCAATAGCTGACTTGGAGCCGGCTTCACTGGCATCCACAACCATGGTATTGCTTATCGGCTGCTGTATTGCCGCCCAGAAAGAAGCTTGGAGCAATAAGCATCCATGGTGCTTGATAGGGACATCAATGAGCATCTGCAAAGAACGTGCGACCTCAATTGTCACCTCGGAGAGCTCTCAGGGTAGCTATGAGACTTTTCAGCATACTGGCTTCGTCACACTCATACCTCACCCTGGGGGCAGCGTGTCCGGACTGTCCAGAAGGTCAAGTGATAGCCCTATGCCGGTAACATCGGCGTCTCAAGATCTCTCACTGCGACCACCGAGAACTTAAAGGCACTGACCACAGTACCCTGCGTCAGGTGTGCCGAACTCGCAGAAACGAGCTTCGAATCGATGTGTAGGGGAGCGGTTCGCGACAAGGCCCAAATTCTTGCAGAAGTACTTCCCCCATCAAGATGTTTGGGATGATGACTCTCATCATTGGCAGGTCGATTGGAGAGTGGTGAACTTCGCGTCTCTCTGTTTGACAGCCCGCGTCTTTCTCTCAAGAGGACCAAATGCAGACCTCAAATATCATGACTAGCACCATTCTTTTGGTCAAAGAAGTCTTGACGCTCTCAGGTCGCTACCAATGTCTCCAAGACGCACAGTGCTCATAGTGAACGAATTGTCGTCTCGGCAAGTTACGGTGCTCGGTCGTGCTCGGCCGCCGCGGAATGGGTACGACGCAATGTCTTTGGCATGTTGAGGACGGTCAGATCATTGGCTGAATGTGATATTACTCGATGGTGTTCGCATTGTTGTGAAAGTGTATGACTTCGGCAAAGGAGCAACGTTGAAGTTGGAAACAGCTCCCATTGCCGTGCCAAGGCTGCACGTGATTGGGAGAAGAACGCTGGTTTCGACTCCTACTTCACGCCTGCTCTACGCACTTCTAGAAGTCCAACATCGGCCACCACTTCAACGACATATGCCATCCGAACCTCAAGGACACTGGGCGAAGGGCTTACTGTGGCTGAGACTTGCAAGTAACGACCAAGAAATTAGACTCACTGCGAATAAGGCTGCAGCCTATGCTTCATGTTGGACAGATCTCCTTCTGCCTTCTCAGGAACTCACGTCCGTGAAAACAATTGGAATGAATTAAGATAGGTTGAATTAAGACAAGCCATTTGCGTCATGTTTGCGCACTATGCGCATGCTAGGATCTACTGGAGCTGTAGCCCTCGTCGACAGCTCTCCTCTTCCCTGACTGCGGCGAGACTGGGACTTGAGCTTCAGAGCTTTCTACACCGAGTCGATCGTCAAATCGCGAGGACCGCCCTCCTAAGATGATGGCACCTCTGGAGTAGTCGCAAATCATCTCTACGAGCCGTCTTCGCTTGCAGTTGTTAACTCCTGCTCGACCTTCCAGACTCGTGATTCCACCCCCGCAAAGCCACATTAAATCTTTCTGAGGACTCTCAATGCACTGGCATGGGTCGGATGCGAAAGACCTCGATGGATCGTTCCAATACACGCCATCGCACAGCTCGATGGATGAAGCAGACACCAGTCCAATGCGTCTGGCAATGCGGTGGAGGAGGCCAACAGGTGCTGCAATAAGGTCGTGGCCACATGGCAATGCTTCCAGCGTCTTCTTGCAACTTGTCAGAGGCGCGATTAGATTACCGAAGCGGGAGCCCAGGATGTTGATGGCGCCGCACTGTGTAGTGAACTGGAGCCATCGCGATGCCTGGCCTGACAGCGAATGATAGCGAGGCATGCAGGGCTCTCTTGTAAGGATGTCGACGAAGCCGAAGCCTTCAAGTCTCCGAGACAGTGGGTTCGAGACCTCCCACTGCTTGGTCTCTCCAGCTCTGAGCTTGAAGTGATGAGACTTCATCTCTTCGAAGGTACCCCAATGCTGCAGGACAAGGTCTTCGAACGTCCACGGCTTCTCTTTGTCATCGTAGATGATGAGCTCCCTGTTCTGCTTGTCAAGCAGGATATCCTTTGCATCAGTATTGGCGCCAGCATAAGTGAAGGAGTCCACGGGAGACTTCGGCAGGCCACGGCCGATCTCTGGGGCGTCTGGATGCGTCATTGCCGCCCTGCACATGTGCAGCAGCGCTGTGGCACCGTCCAATAGCCAGCCGCGACGTTCAGCTGTGTCGTACATGAGTGCGGTCCACTTCGCAGTGATGTTGATGGTCTGCTCGTAGGGTCCGCTCGCGCATTGGAACATGGGCGTGTCTTTCTTGCCGGCTACAGCTTTGGTGCCCACAGACAACACCTTGGAAATGCTAATACTGACACCGTCTAGAGCAAATCCAGGTTTAATGGGCCTTCCACCAAAATCGACTCCGTCATAACGTGCATCTTTGCTGCCTGGAGAATCCTGTCAGTATGAGCCTCGAGATCTCAAGGGCGAACTTACCGGCAACCATCTTTGTCTCCCGACTCCACCCAACGTACTGCGGGCAATCAACCAGATCAGAGAAGTCGAGAGATCGCAAAGGCTCCCGGCCGTGGCTCGCTTCGTAGTGTGGCATCCAGTCGGAGAAGTTGCCGTACTCGTCGCGATGCACAAGATAATGCCAAACCACAGAGGCCCCAACCTTTTGGAGTGGAACAAACATCGAGCACAAACCTTTAAGAAGAAGGACACTGTCAAACAGTACAGCTCTGCTTACAGCACCTAGCATTGACATAAGACCGAGAGATAATTCTAATCCTGGTTCATTGTGTGTTCGGCGTGGAATTGGATACCCCTGAGCAATCGAACAGCTGTTCAATAAGTCGTGCCAGCATGTTTCCTCGGAGAGATACGAAGATTGTGCCAGGGGGTCCGAGGTCCATGAAATTTCAAAGTTTCCGTTCAGTGAACTCGACACTCGTGGGCTGGAGAGTACAGAAGTCGGCGCAGCAGCTTCCCTGAGATCACCTGCGCGGCAAGCAACGACAAGCCAGGCAAGTACTTCCCCGATCTCAAGCACGATATTTGGATCTGCGACTACTCTGATGCACGTTGAGTCATTCGGCAACCGCTTGATGTGCAGCTCAAAATTTTGCTGTGCTGAACCAGTGTCCAGCGAGGAAGTTTCACTCTCGATATATTTGTCGAGATGCTCCAGAACAGCTGGACCGACATCTGGCCAAGTCTGGGTCACATATTGTTCGCAGGTTGTAGCTTGTGCGCGTGTAACGTTACCATTCACGCAGATGACTTGGGACAGTCTCGTTCCAGCTGGATATTGAGATGTCATGAACGCAAGCGGACACCAATTGAGCGAAAATGAATAGCCGCGGCGACCACTTTCAAGCGAACGACAGATAGTCTGGCGGACTGAGGTGTATGTCTCCCCCGTCATCTCAAGTTGACAAAGCGCCTTGAGCCGGACCAGAAGCCACGTGAACTCCGCGCTACCAATGAGAAATGATCTTGCCTCTTGAATGTCTGGCTGCTCTATTTCGTCTTCGTCGGTCAGGTCTTGGATATTGGAGTGATCAGTGTCATCGGGTGGTCCCTGAAATCCTTCTTTTGACATCAATAACGCAATCTTGTCAAGAAGACCCATAGCAGGACCGGGAGGTCGATCAATGGGCTGCTCTGCGATGAGTTCTCTTGCGATCATGTTACGGCGATGCCGCATGAAGATGGCAACTTGGTGGCCTATGTCGTTGCGATCGACTCTGCGTTGTAGGACGGCTGCGCAGTCGTACAGCAGGCCTGCGACAGAATGTGTCAAGTCGTCAGGAACGACTTCTACTCCCATCTCCGCGAAAATCATGCTAGCTAGCTCGGAGGACAGCTTGCCTTTCGCCGTGGCATCGAGGCCGAGAACACAGCCATCAGATTGGATGCTGTCAGCGTACGATGCATTGGGAAGCACAGAATGTTGACGCTTTCGAGCAACGAGCCCACTCAAATCGTGTGTTGTTGGCCGAGTCGACTGGTCGGGGATCGACTCTGGTGAACCATCAAAGATCGAGCTTACTGGAGATGTGTCGCTCTCGGTTGGCGCAGAATCGGAATATGCCTCTACTCCAGCTGCAGAGGCACGGCTTTCTTCGGCGTTAGCTACGTCAAGGATCAAGTTGTATGGTTGATTCGGCACTTCTGGTGGTAGTGCTCGACATTCTTGTCCCACTTCCGATGCTTCACCAGTAGGATTGAATGGAATAGAGTTGTCATCGGTCTGGCGAGGACTCATTTTCTCGATTGGGTGCCTCGGAGCAAGTACTGCCTCTTGAACATCTTCCTCTATGATCAACGGCGCCTCACTGGTAGAATTTATGATGCGCAACGCTGTGTCACGGTTGCTTTCAACTCTGTCATATGGATAGCGTTCTGTCTCCGTGCGGTGTCCATGTTGAATGTTCCTGTCATACCAGGGCCTCTGCTTCTGGAGTGCTTCCAAATCGCGTTTCTGTTGGTCTCTGACATGGTCCAGGTATCGCTCTAGCGCCGCACGCTCTGTATCCGAGTATTCTGACGGCCATTCGACTTCGTCTCGCTGCTGATGCTGTTCCATAGTCGAGCTTCAAGGCAACTGAAGTATTCACAATCGTCCAAAATTAAGAAAGAGAGAGGAAGAACAAGGGCGATGGTCAGGCTTACTGAAATTTCGTGCCGTGCCTGAGAATGTCTCTTGGACAGTCGGTGACCATAATATCTAGCTGGCTCGAATCTCCTGACGTACAGCCTCTTCCGACAAGGCTGAGTTCATGAAGGCCCTAAAGTTATGGTGTGCTGGGAACAGCGCCCATTGGAACTTCAACGGAGGCCGCCAGTATTCGAGTTCTTGCAGGCTGGCGTATGCCACGTATCTAGGCTACACTGCATACTTCTGGATCGCTTAGAGAGCCTATGAGAACGTGACATGGTCTCGCGGGGCATGCGGTGCACAGAGCTATAAATCGCAATGGAAGATAGACAATGAATTGTCGAAAGGCTTCAGAAACATCACGAATACTTGCTATGGAATAGGGCTAAAGGCGCCGATGATTGCCGCTACATGCATGCTTTTGAAGTCCTGGAAGCTCGCGTTATTGATTGTCATGTCATCCTCTGCCTGAGCGCAATTCTCTCAACTTTTGGTGAAATTCCACAGCCTCTCCATACCATCTAAGGCAGATTTGCGCGGAAAGCAAGTTGCAAGCACAACCCACGCTTCCGAACCACAGATCCAGATACATCGATCACTGCCGCCGCTGACCTTATATTCTCTTTTGAGTACGCGCGCTCCGGCCGCGCTGTGACGGCTTTCGCCATCTCTCTAATTCGGAGCGTTTGTCAATCATCCGCTGGGTAATATCTCTTCACGGAGCATCAGCATCGCTATAAGCAGTGCTGTGGAGTGTTGTATAGAGTCGCCAGTAGGACCCTCCAAGTAGGCGTGTATCGTCCGTAAGATGATCGTCTCGGGGTGGTCAGCAGTGTCCAAAAGTCGCAGATGTCGTCCCAGAGCTCAGAGCAGCCACTTGAGGTGGTTACTTGTGCTGAACCGTGCTGATCTGGAAACACATCAGGCGAGCTGCTCATGCAGAGCCTTGGGGTTCGATCCCGCCCCCGTCTCTTGCCCTCCTGGAGCTTGTCGTACGCTTTGAAGATACGGCGCGAAGAATTCATGATTGTTCGAGAGATAGTGCTCTATAGTCCACTGGTGAATTAGCTGCCTCGGAGTGCAAGATTTCGGTGGAATGATAGAGTGTGGTTGGTGGGTGAGTTTGTTGTGTACGTAGAAGTGGGAGAGCAGCGAGGCTGTGGTTTATATTGCTGCGAAGACAGGAGGAAACCTGGTAGGTTTTGTGGTCGGCGTACATGGACGAATAGACATCGTTCGGTATGCGCACTTGGCTTTGAAAATTTTCACGTCCTCAAGTGGCCTCAAATTCAATAAGTCCAAAATCTTCAGTGCATCAGAATCTTGGCATTCCGAGCATCCAGATATAAGGCTCGCATGTTCAGATCGTCAGATGGACGCTCACGGCCTCGCAAGGACTCCACGATAGCGCATGTCACCTTGCTCTAGCTTTGCGAAGGCTTGCGACACTCCGTCTGCAGTCATATCGAAGACCTCCGTCCACGGCTTGATGCGCATGCGTTCTGCAAACTCCAGCATCTTAACATGAGTCTCGCGTGAGGCTTCAGTGGATGCTATTAGACGGTGTCCTGGCAGCACGAACTGCATGTAAGGTACTTCCAGAGGCTCCATTTGTATGGTCATCAACACAATCGTGGCTCGACGCGCCAACAATGGAAGCACAGATTCCAACTTGGGTACAGCGTTCGAAGTGATGAGAAGTACGTTGATGTTGGCAGGCTGCGGGTCATGTCGACTCCGGAAGGCTTCAGCTGTATATGCTTCCGAGATCTTGGTAGCATCGCGGAACTCTTCTACACCGAGTGCAAAAGCATCTTGTCGCTTGCGATCACCACTGGAGATGGCCGTCACAGCACAACCCATGGCCTTTGCAAACAAAATAGCACAATGGCCCAGACCGCCGATGCCCACCACACCGACCCTGTCATTCGACTTAGTCTCAGCTGCATCAAGAGCCTCGTAAACTGAGGCGCCGGCGCACATCAATGGAGCCGCATCCACAGAAGATATGCTGCTTGGCAGCAAGTACGCGAAATCGGAGTCGATGATCCGGTAATCGCTGAAGGCTCCCTGATCCAGGTCCGAAAAGGCGAAACCACGAGCCTCGGAGCAATACTGCCTGTAGCCAGTGACGCATGTGGAACAGTGCCCGCAGGATGTGTGTAGCCAGCCCCAGCCAACTCGGTTACCCGGCTTCAGATGTTTGACCGCAGGGCCGACGTCGACAATTTCGCCTACACCCTCATGACCGAGTCCGCATTCTTTGTCCTTGGCATGTACGTCGGTGAAGCAGATACCTGAGTGCGTGGTTTTGATGAGCACGTCGTTGTGGCTCAGACTCTTGGTGACAGTCTTCTCCGAAAAGGCCTTGGAAGAAGTGTCAAAATAGAAGGTGGTTAGCTTGTGCTGGCTCCCAGCCATCGTGTCTGTTGTCAGCTCGTGTACGCAAAGCAGGGCAAATGGAAGAGGAGTTCCTGCAGTGAAAGCTCAATGGCATGAAGTTGAGTTCGATGACGTGCATTCGCTGTTGGCTCGGCTCGGACAAGGCCCCAGATCGCGCAGCGGACAGGGCAACGAAAGCACCACTCTCAAGCTCTCTTGTTCAGACCAAGCATATCGACGAATGCATCAGTGCGGTATAAGTGCGTGTACGTGCCGGACAGAGCGACGCGAGGTTGAAAGGGCTTGAAACGACTCCAGCAGGGTCAAATGTTCCAAAACAAGACCGCCTCTGTACCGAATGCAACAGAAGCAACAGTACAGTCTTACAGAGCTGCAACTACGATCAAGTTGCCAGAGCTGAGAAAGAAGTGAACTGGAGTGTGCTGTGTTGCGGCGCGTCGTGCTTCTCATTTTCGGAGGTCGTCATGATGTGCTCTGATTGGCCGACGAAGCGAGCCAAGACCACACGCCCACTAGCGCGGTCAATTCGTCCTGCCGCCGCGAACATTTCTGCTCTCCTGATTGCTTCCACTCCCCGTTCAGCGACGACACAACCACCCTTCGCCAAACGACAAAATGGGTAGAGGACCAAAGAAGCACCAGAAGCGTCTGTCAGCGCCATCGCACTGGCTGCTCGACAAGCTCAGCGGTAGCTATGCGCCCAAGGCCTCGCCTGGTCCGCACAAGCTGCGCGACTGCATGCCTTTGATCGTCTTCATTCGCAACCGGTACGATATCTGCTGAAGGAGAGCGAGGTGAAGCGAAGGCGGCGGCATACTGACAGCATTCTTCGCACAGTCTGAAGTACGCCCTCAATGGCCGCGAGACCAAGGCCATTGTCATGCAGCGCCTGATCAAGGTCGATGGCAAGGTCCGAACCGATCCTACCTACCCAGCCGGCTTCATGGACGTGATCTCCATCGAGAAGACTGGCGAGAACTTCCGCCTCGTCTACGACACCAAGGGTCGCTTCACCGTGCACCGCATCACTGATGAGGAGGCTTCATACAAATTGGGCAAGGTCAAGAGAGTACAACTGGGCAAGGGCGGCATCCCATTCTTGGTTACGCACGACGCGCGCACGTAAGTCTCGACCTTACGGCTCGATCGTCATTCAGTCGTTCCAAAGCTTTGGTAGATCCACCCCGATGCTGACGGGATAAATAGTATCCGCTACCCAGACCCGGCCATCCGAGTCAACGACACCGTCAAGATCAACCTCGAGACTGGTGAGTACAAAGTCGAGAATTTGCTGCAATCCCGCACAGCCTCTAACACATCCAACAGGCAAGATCGATGACTTCATCCGCTTCGACACTGGTGTGATCGCCATGGCCACTGGTGGTCGTAACATGGGTCGTGTTGGTGTCATCACCCACCGTGAACGCCACGACGGAGGCTTCAACATCGTGCACATCAAGGACGCCATCGACAACGAGTTCGCCACCCGTGAATCCAACGTCTTCGTCATCGGTCGTGAGAAGCCTTGGATCTCCCTGCCAAAGGGCAAGGGTGTCAAGCTCACCATCGCTGAGGAGCGTGACCGCAGACGCGCCTATGCTCTTGCTGGCCACTAGATGCATTCTCATTGTGGGGATAAGCAGCGGAGTTGGGGTTGCGCGGGTTTTTAGATCAGGTTCAAGAGTCCAAAATTAAGAGACCAGACCTGCTATGGATGGGTATGAAATGAAGTGGAAGTCCCGCTTCCGGCGCTCCAAGTCATGGCGTCGCTACGTCTGTAGCATGTATGAATCAAAAAGTCAACGTCCCAGCTTCGATTCAGACATCTCCCGTAGTTCATGGCCTTCTGACCACGTGCCTGGTGCGACGAACCGCAGGTGTTGCGGATATACTAATAATGCAACGTCGCTTACAATATACGAATAGGACAATGATCAGCGCAGCACCAACGGAGTGAAGGCATAGCTTTGCATAGCTTCGGGCTTGGCAAGCAACAATACTGTGCTGTGCTCGCGCGTGTTCGGGTCGTTTCTCTGCCACAAGCAACTGAACAAAGACGTCTCGCGTCGCTACAATATGCCAAGCAGAACGGCTCGAAGCATGTCCAATTGATACGAGCGAAAGCTGAAGCTATGGAGCGAGGCGAACGACCTGTATAAAGTCACCCGGTTTATCTGATCGATCTTCCACAATGGTAATCTCACAGCGCTTCCATTGCTGCTATCGCCATCATGCATCTACTCAGCTTCCTCGTCGGCACAGCGTCGCTTCTTTCCTTCGCGGCCAGTTCCATCGCAACGCCGATCAACTTCACTGAAGCCTCACACGATGTGCTCAAACGCCAAAACACGCACCCGCGTCAACAATGGCGTACATTCCGTAGAGGAGAACAACTCGTGCGCTCAGCACCAGGCAATACATTCCTCCAATTTGAGCAGCGTCGTTTCGGTGGAACAATCGATTATCGTTTCGAGAACGATTGCTTGGTGAGGATGTAAGTTTCGGCAGTGCATCCAAGAAACTCCTTCTCGAATGGAGTCAAATAAAAAAGAGAACCTCTGACGTTTTGTTTCCAAGTTACCACAATGATTATCTCATGCAGACCCTCGGCGATGAGTATGATCCCAGTGTCCAATGCACAGAGCCAGGCTCGTACGGCGAACTGAGCTTTACAACCCAAGGTTTCTATGAAATCGTCGTATATAAGCCCGGTCAGCCGCCGCGGAGGACCTGGTCTCCACAGTGGGATGTTGAAGGTGGAAGGCCGGAGGCAGGAGAATTGGAGTATTAGGATTGGGGCCCTTTTGTGATCTTGTGGGGAGGTGAGGGAGAAAATCGGTATCACATGTGGAATTCAGATGGAGCGCCACCAGGCGATTTTCCGCCGGATCAGCCAGAGCCGTGTAATCCTTGGACGGGGTGTTAGTAGGTCGTGTGATATGTCGGCATCGTACTGTGGGGGCATTCGATGTCGTTGAGGGGTTGGCTTCACATAGTACCTTTAGTCCTCTCTCGTAGGCTTGCCGAACAAAGTGCGGTGAAAGCTGTATAGCTAGTCCACCATCTCGCGCGTCCACAGGCAAGCCGGACACTCCCAGGCATGGTCGGAGACGCCGTCAAGAAACGCGGCCTGCCCTGGGAATTGTCGTGGCCAAAGTCTCACGTGAAGGTATGCCACTAGCTCAAAAGAAATCTTGGCGATGCGATTCAGATCTTTCTTGCCAAAGCGAGGCTTGGTACACCAGGTCTTGACCGTTCGTAGCTTGAACTCAATCCTGTCATATTAGTTAGTGGGCAGATGTGTAGCGCGGTGAGAGAATCGTAGAGCTTCGTCAAGAGACGTGTTAAATGAGACTGAGTAGTTCGGCCCCTCGATCGGATAAACTCAGACCCACGAGCAGGAGCCATATCTCCACCTGAGGTGGATGTAAACCAAAGGACCACAAGCAGAAAAATCCCACCTACCATCTCCTGGTGAATTCATTGATTATCTGCGGATCATAAACTCCCTGCTTGTCATAGTCGTCGTCATAAGTTGGGGTGTACTCGAAGGAGAGGCGCTCCTCGCTTTCCGGCTTGACCTCTATCTTCAGCACAAATTGCTGAAAATAGAAGACCATGTATCGAAGCTGACCGGCCGATGATGTCGGCATGCTATCCAGAAATTCCCGCCACAGGGGCACACGGTCTTCCGGGTGGGTGTTGCGCAAATTCAGCATGAAGGTCCCATCGCGGTAACAGCGTTCCAGATAACCGGGCCGGACGTGTGGGCATGCTCGGAGGAGCGTCAATCCTTCTATCTGCTGGACATTGATATAGTATCCTGGGCATGCTCGTCGGTAGATCATTTGCCGGACCTCTTCCGGAAGGTCCCAAAAGCAGGTTGGAGTTGTCTGCTCCTGACGTCCGTTCAACGAGGGCGGTATCCCATCGGACTCCAAAGTCATGGCGAGTGGTCCTTCCGCCCACGACGTCGATTGGACCTTCTGTGCAAGGGCTTCGACTTGGTGTGCGGGCTCCATCCTGGTTGTCTCTCTGCCAATTTAGGGGCGAGTGAAAGTGGAACGGGGTATCAGTTGGCTGGGAGCCGACTTTTGAGCTCAGAAAAAATGAAATCCACTGAGTACCGGACAGCTGGTGTGTGCCTGAGCCACTGCACAAATTCAGACTTTCGAAGCTGGGGCTAAGGCAACGACTGAGGTAGCGGCAAGAGTGGCCTTCCTGTGTATGTGGTTACCAGCGACAGTGTTAGAAGGCATTACTCGCACGTTGCGACTGCAGCAAGTCACTCTCGTGAATTTTCATTACTTGTATCGTGGTCTCCGCGCGTCTCTGTCTACATGCGTGTCGTATTTTTTTCGCCATGAGTAGCTTCGCGATCGCGGCGCCCAACCGGGAGCGCAAAGCAGCGAAAGCTGCTCCCAAGGACGAGCTCGGCGAGTGATCCCCAAATGCACTGAATACACATGCCTCCGTTCCATGGAACAAGAGTTATGCCGCTCGAGGAAGAAACGGTCCAGACGAGATGCAAGATGGTGTGTCGGAGTCAATGGCATGACACACGTCGCTCTGGCTCTTGCAGGCATCGCTGTGCCGTCGAAAGGAGAGACTATCCAGACGAGGTGTACGACGTCGTGCCAGAGACAGAGACATCCGGCCCCCGTCACTCCGTTTCTTGAGCCACATCGTTGCCACCGGAGAGGAAGATGGGTCAGTTGAGGTGAAGGACAGATTGCCGCAGACAAAGCATCGTCATGCCAAGACTGGAGCTTGCGTCGGCAGCGGCGGACATGCGACTCTCACATGCAGCGCAGCGACAGGGAATCTGCGGATGCCTAACCCACTACGACGCTGCTCTAAAACACGCTCTGCTCCACTCTTCCTCTCTCGCCCAACCTGGCTTCCGCGCCCTTCACGGTCTACTCGTCCTCGAGACCGCAAAAGCACCCGGACGCCCGCCCCGCTGCCGCGAACATGTATTCGCAAGCGTCTCGCAATGTAGACCTTACTAAGACCGAGACAGAGCTCACCACCCACATTCGCAAAGCCACGTCGATCGAGGAGACCGCCCCCAAGCGCAAGCACGTGCGCGCATGCATCGTGTACACATGGGACCACAAGAACTCGCAGTCCTTCTGGAATGGCATCAAGGTGCAGCCTATCCAGGCCGACGAGATCCAGACCTTCAAGGCGCTGTATACAGTGCACAAGGTGCTGCAAGAGGGACACCCGGTCGCGCTCAAGGAAGCTCAGCAGCATGTCGGGTGGCTTGAAGGCCTCTCCCGGGGCATGGGCGGAGACGGCCTACGAGGATATGCGCCGCTTATACAAGAATACATCTTCTTCTTGGTGTCCAAGTTGAAGTTCCACAGGGATCACCCGGAGTTTAATGGGCTGTTCGAGTATGAGGAGTACATCTCCCTCAAGTCGATCAATGATCCCAATGAAGGTGGGTGTGGCCTACATCTTGCCTTTGCATACAGAATACTGACGGACCCTAGGCTACGAGACGATCTCCGAGCTTATGACCCTGCAGGACCAGATCGATAGCTTCCAGAAGCTGATTTTCGCTCACTTTCGCGGTGGTAGCAACAACGAATGCAGGATAGCAGCGCTGGTCCCGCTCGTGCAGGAGAGTTATGGCATCTACAAATTCATTACAAGCATGCTGCGAGCAATGCACACTGCGCTGGGAGGTATGTTCAAAGCGCCCTGGAGAGAGTGCGCATCTTCGCACACAACACCCTTGCCGGCTCTGCATACCAAGATTGAGCACAGCTGACGGCAATGCCAGACGACGAGGCTTTGAGCCCGCTCCGTGGGAGGTACGATGCCCAGCACTACCGGCTCGTTCGCTTCTACTATGAATGCTCGAACCTTCGTTATTTGACATCCCTCATCACCATTCCAAAGCTTCCGCAGGACCCACCAAACACGCTGTCCGAAGACGAGAATGCGCCCGCACTGCCAATGCGACCAAGGAACGAGCCTGCGACGAAGCCAAAGACGCCTCCACCGACAACAACCGATCCTGAGCCAATTAGTGAATTCTGGAAGAATGAACAGGCACGGCAGCAAGAAGAGTTCGAGGCGGAGCAGCGACGATTGCAGGCACAGTGGGACGAGACTCAGCGTCAACAGCAGCTAGCAGCACAGCAGGCACAACGCGACTTTGATGAGCAGCAACGTCTACAAGCAGAGCAACAAAGATTGGCTCTCGAGAATCTGCAGCGCGAGCAGTACAATCAGCAAACCCAAGGACGCATGGCTGAGCTTGAGCAGGAGAATCTGAGGGCACGTGCACAGTACGAGCGCGACCAATTGATGCTGGAGCAATATGATAGGAGAATGAAGGCACTGGAGCAAGAGCTAGCTCAATTAAACGCGAACTTCACACAGCAGAATCAGAGCAAGGAAGACCAAATCCGAGCGCTTCAAGAGCAGGTCAACACATGGAGGACCAAGTACGAGGCACTGGCTAAGCTGTACTCGCAGCTACGGCATGAACACCTTGAATTGCTTAAGAAGTTTAAGGGAGTGCAGCTCAAGGCTTCATCAGCTCAAGAGGCTATTGATCAGAGAGAAAAGCTTCAGCGTGAGCTCAAGACGAAGAACCTCGAGTTGGCGGACATGATTCGTGAGCGTGACCGAGCACTGCACGACAAGGACAGGACCACAGGTGGACATCGTGAAGAGCTGGAGAAGCTCAAGCGCGAGCTGCGCATGGCACTGGATCGAGCCGAGAATGCAGATCGCGCCAAAGGCAACGAGCTTTCTGCAATGCTGTCCCGGCACAATCGCGAGATCGCTGACCTCGAGGAAGCCCTTCGCAACAAGACAAGAGCTTTGGACGAGATGCAAATGAAACTGGGTGAAGGCAGCTCCGACCTGGAACGTCAGCTTCGCGACAAGGAAGAAGAGCTGGAGATCTACAAATCTGGCATGGATCAGACATTACTCGAGCTCAACGATTTACGTAACGGCAACGGCACGACTGACAAGGCCATGGATGAACAGATTGACATCATGCTCCTTGAGAACATCAAAAAGATCAACGAGCTTATCGATTCGGTACTCCAGTCCGCTGTGCAACGTGTTGACGATGCGCTCTATGAGTTGGACAGCTCCATGATCGCGGGTAACCAGAATGCCAGCGGTCCCTTCGTGCTGTCGACAATCGAGAATGCACAGACCTACGCGATCGAGTTCAGCACCTCTTTCAACAACTTCATTGCTGATGGGCCGTCCGGCAGCGAACACGCCGAGGTCATCAAGAACGCGAACAAGCTTGCAAACGCCATTGCCGATGTGCTATCTAACACCAAGGGGTTGACTCGTTTTGCGAGCGACGAAAAGAAGAGTGATCAGCTCATGAACGGCGCAAGGAACTCAGCCAACAAGACCATTGCCTTCTTGCGAGGTATCATGTCGTACCGCTTGGACGGGTTGGACGATCTGCAGAAGACGGATGTGGTCATCAACAAGAACAACGATGTGCAGCTTGCGCTTCGGCAGTTGAGCAAAGTCGCAGATGCTTTCGCGCCAAAGTCAAACATTACCGGCCAAGGCGACATTGGCGAGCTTGTCGACAACGAGATGACGAAGGCTGCTCAAGCCATCGACGCTGCTGCCGAGCGCCTCGGAAAGCTGATGAATAAGTCTCGCGACGGCTACTCGACCTACGAGCTGAAGATTCACGACGCCATTCTGGCCGCAGCTGTCGCCGTCACCAATGCTATCGCCCAACTCATCAAAGCCGCTACTGCCTCGCAACAAGAGATCGTCAACCAAGGTCGTGGCTCAAGCATGACCAAGTCGCAATACTACAAGAAGAACAATCGCTGGACGGAGGGCCTTATTTCTGCCGCCAAGGCTGTCGCATCATCCACCAATATGCTCATCGAGACTGCGGATGGAGTCATTACCGGCCGAAACAGCCCTGAGCAGCTCATTGTTGCGTCCAACGATGTCGCTGCTTCAACGGCGCAGCTTGTGGCATCATCACGTGTCAAGGCATCGTTCATGTCGAAGACTCAGGAACGCCTCGAAGAGTGCAGCAAAGCAGTCACCAGCGCTTGCCGAAGTCTCGTCAAGCAAGTTCAGGCGATCATCGAAAGTAACAACGGCGGTGATGATCTGGAGGATTACAGCAAGCTCAGCGGCCACGATTTCAAGAAGCGACACATGGAGCAACAGGTAAGTCATTGCATCAATTGTGAACAGATCACAACCTCTAACGTTACTGGCAGGTTGAAATCCTCAAGCTTGAGAACGAGTTGTCTGCAGCGAGACACCGACTTGGCGAGATGCGGAAACTGGCTTATCAAGAGGACGAGGAAGACTAAGTCATGTCATCATCATTCGTTGAGCGGACCTTCTTGTAAATTGGCTTCTCCGTCATTATATATTGCGTATACCCTTGGAGCGAGAACGCTCGCTGTTGGCAGGTCCCTCTCGTTCGGCGGGACACTTCTCAAAAAGCCCGGCAACACCACAAAGCACCAGCGAAGCTTGGGTCAGCGAAGGTGAACAGGTACGTTGCAGTTGATCTTTACAGATGAACGTGACCATTTCTGGACACGACTGCCGCATGAGAACCCAGGAGAAGTACGTAAGTGACGGCGATAGCATTCTTGTGAAACGAATGGACTAGAGTCGATATCTCTGAAGAGACTGCAAGTGGCCACGTCGAGCAAACGGTCGGAACGTGCCTTCCTGTCTGCGTGATGGTCGTCCCGCCTTGACTACGACATGGAAGCCTTCACTTTCGGCCAATTCGTCGCAGCTAAGGTAGCTTCCTCAATCAAAGCTTGGCGCTAGGACCTGCGCCTGCCACATTCAATCAGCCACTTCACCCTCGATCTGGTGCGCATCAGAGCTGCATTTGCACACCCTCTCGCGGCTACACCTGACTCCTGTGGGCCGCCACAGCCATCATGGCCTCCAAGCGCGACGACATCGACCATCTCGTCACGCGCAGCGGACGTTACAGGCGGCGCTCCCAGACTCACGTCCACCCAGCACCAGATACCGGGCCCGTCATCCAGTCAGACTCATCAGAGCTGCTGACCGTTGTGGCTCAAGTCTTTGAGACTTATTAGCTAGTCGAAGACATACTATGCCATCTCGGCCGGAAGGATGTTGGTGCGTGCCTGCTTGTCACTCGGTACATCAAGAGTGTCGACGAACGCTCGTATCGAGTCTGCAGCCACCTTTGTGGCCCATTTCCTGCTCGACATACGACACTTTGGAAGACGGGGCCCACAGAACCAGTGACATGTCTACCCGGTCCAATATTGATTCGAAGTGCAGCAGCTTCGGGAATGTATCAACGACCGCGTCAACCGGACACTGTTATTACAGTTGCGCTGAACGAAGCAATTCGTGATCTCCGCCAGATCCCAGGATTTCAGCGCGAGTCTGTCACGAGGTCTCTCCCACAGGCCAACGCGACGAACGACGAAGCCCTTGCCCTGGCTATGCATCAACTAATACAATATCCGGAGATGTATTTCGTCGCCATCTTGAAGAAGGCTGTGCCTGGGATACTGGACATGGCGTTCACAACTCCACCTGTCTCACACCTCGAGATAAATATTCACGATACGAACACAGGAGCAGGACGTGGTTGCACTGTGCGCTGCACCGCAGGTGTTCGCGTTCGGCACGTTGTGGCAGTTGTCTCTAAGAATTGGGGCGATAGTTGGGTCAAGGAGCTGTGGACCTCGGGGGTTGAGTACACGGTGGGGGATATGAAGACTTTCGTCGTGAGCAAAGAAATGATGGATCTTGCCGCAAGGAAGGGCACTGTTCGCCATCCTGGCCGCCGTTTGAGACAAAGGAACTACGAAGATACAGACGGAGAGAAGGTGCAGATACCTGAGAGCGATCGGGATTCGGAAGATTCGGACATGTGAGATCTGTGGTGTCATGTCACAGTATTGTGCACGCATTGGCAGACACAATAGACTCTGCTTCGATGTTCGTACGACAGCTGGAGGCCATCCAGCTTCAGCTTTCTCGGCCGAAGGCCACGTCAAAAAGCTTGAACATTCTACATCCTACTCTTGGTCTGGAGGTCACACATACGCAACTCGCAGCAAGCTCTGAGGCTTGGCCCCTATTGCGTTCTACCGTAGGAGCATACGCACTGCATGACTCGAGCTCAGCTCCCCTCTACCTGTCCAGACCTAGATCGTCTTCATGCATGCAATCTGCACACAGCCACCACACCATTTTACTGTCCCTCTTGTTCCAGGCGAGGCGAGGCGAACAAAGCGTTCGTGTTCAAAAATTGAGGATTCATGCACACTTGTGAAGTGGAGTCCCCTCAAGCAATGTAGGGCTTTTGACTTGGCGATTCGTATTCTCCACATACGTATTTTCGGAGCCGGAGTGTAGCCTACGGAGACTTGTTCCATGAAGACGGAAAGCTTTTCGGCACGGTTCGGTGCGGGTGGCAGTTGGAAAAAGAATGGGAAGTACGACAGTGGAAATAATCGACGATTCTCGTCTATCGAGCAGTGTCGACCGAACAAGATCGGGTACGTCGGATACTTCGGTCAGTCTTCATATTCGTCATTCTGCTTCACCTGCTTTCTAGGGCTGTGGCAGATAAGTTTCTTGATCGTTGATGGATGGTCTGGTATGCCTCTATCGCAGGATCAAAGGTGCCAATCACATCAATTCGTACACTTCAACTTCCTTCAGACAAAGGCATGTAGGGTCACTCAACCTCATACCAAAATTCGTGTACAAGTTATGCAGCCAATGTTCCAACATTCCCACAGCTACACCCTCATGCTGCACGCAGGCGAGGAAGAGCTGCCACATGCCGTGTACAAGGCAAGGTCTCGCACGGCGGAGAGACGTTCTCGTCTCTCCGACAGCAAATACGACCTAGCCGCGGCAGTGGCAGGATCACCTTTGCAGAAGTACAACGGTACGAAAGGAATTCTAGGCCGCAAAGTCAGCAAGCAGACCTGCTAAGTCATCAGCTTTCGCAACGTACGACAGGATTCGGCTCACAGATGAGGGCGGCGCAGTGCACGCAGTGCAGGCCGCAGACCAATCACATCAAAGATAAAAGCTAGCGAACATGTGGCTTACAGGGGAGCAGCGTCTTGACGCGAATCTCTTGCCTGCACCAAGCAGTGCGTACATGGGTCTGTACGTACGTCGGTCCTCTGCCGAGCTTGCAGCTTGCATATCACACTTTCTCCACTGCTCATGCAGGGTTATGTAGGTTGGAAACACGTCTTTCCCATTTCTTCTGCGGAACAAAGCTCTGCGGTGTTGGTTTCTTGATTGCTTGGCCAATGGGGTTGCAATCCTGTGCTTTCGGTCTGGTGCTGCCGGTGGTCAAGGTTACAATTTAACAACGTGGCTTGCATGCAGCCCTATGAACCTGGGAGGGAGCTGCAAGCCACATTGTTTCACGGGCAGTGTAGCTTTGCTGTTGATGTTCGGAGGAGTGAGGGGCGTGGAATCTGCTGTTCTCTGCGTGAGAGAGGGCGGCTGTGTACAGGAGAGGCTATGAGAAAAGGTTTGGCGACATAGGCTGGCGCACTGGGATGCGAAGTCTGAAGATGAACATCTTGTAGAGCAGCTCAGAAGGAACCGATGAGGGGATTCTGAGCTTGTATTCTAGCTCGCCATGGTCGCCGCCATTTGCTACAGCTCGCAACGAAGGACAGTGGGATTCTAGACTCTCCAGCTATCCTGTCGCCTGCGTAGCAGAGTATGCATGATTATCCGGCTTCTTCCATCTGGTAGGAAGGAATTTCCCGAAGATCCGGCTCTGTACTCCGTGTTGAGGGGACCTGTCGCATTGCTATGGCGCTCAAAGCCGGAGCAGCATGTCAATCGGGAGGTCAATATTTCGGTGTATTGTGGACACGGCGGACCAACATTGTAGCGAAGGAGAAGGTGTTCACTTGCTGGTTGACTTTCATTCGTACAGTTCTGTTCTGAAACTGCCTGTCTATGGGTCCGTGGATCCCTCATTAGTATTTGGCTACAAGTTGGCCATGATCAGTTCGTATTCCTTGCTGAGTTCCACTCGGCTGGCAATCTGCATGTGGTGCTTCTCCACTTTCTTCATGTTGGTCACTGGGCCATCGTACTTCGACTCTGCCCTGCTGCGCAAAGGCACCGCCATCTCGTGGAAGCCTTCATTTGCGATCATCCGCTCCACCTCTTCCAACCTCCTCGATCACTTTGCGTACCTCATCCTCGTCAAACATGGGCCCTGTTCCATCACATCGCGCCATCTTCTTCAAGCGCTCACACACCTCGCCGATATCCACTGACCCTAATCGGTAAAGCGGATGTGACTGTAGTAAATCCCACGTTGCGCTAGCTGAGAGCAAGTTCGTCTCACTCGAGGGTGTATCTTGAGCGCTTGGGGAGGATGGCTCTGTGGACAAGAGCCCGTTCGCAAGTCGTGTGGCATTGACGCGTAGATCATCAGATGAGCGCGACGCCTTTGATGAGCGGGAAGAGGACAATAAGCTAGGATCATCCACAAAGCCAGGTGGGTGATGCCGGGTAGGTGAATGCGATGCCGTCGCTCTGAGGATCTCGTTCTCGGTCTGCACGCGTTGTAAGAGCAATTTGAGACGCTCATTATCTGACTGCAACGATGAAGTCGTAGTGGTGAGGAGGTTCAGCTTGGCCTCCAAATCTCGAACATGTCTTTCCTTGCGTTCTCGGAACGCACGTTGTCTATGATGAATGAGATCAGCTCTGTGGCTCAAACATGATTGATCTTGTGTTGTCTTACGCTGCCCTATTTTGTGCTTTTCTTCGTGATTGCGCAGGCGTCAGGTTCTCCTTCTCTTCGCTGCTATTCCTTCGGCTTCGATCTTGATCCATCTCTATGGCTATTGCGCTGTCCATAGATCGATTCGGAAACGTGGACATCCTTTGGGGCGGTGAGACGGATCCAGTGTGTGGTAGACGCGGTGACATGGCAGAAGTCATCGAGCTATCAAAGGCATCAAAGTCGTATGCACCGAGAGCAACGGCGCTGACATCTAAGGCATCGTAACTCTGAACGGACCCGCGGTCAGCCAGAACTCTCGATACCACCGATTCGATTACTCACAGTCGCCGCTGCGAGCCCATCACTCGACATGATACTGCTATCTGCGCCGAATCCCATGTATTGATATTGCTGTGGTCCATGTGAATAGAAACTGTAGTCCATGGTCTCCATCTTGAATTGAGGTGGGTCGCAGATTTCTGTATGCCTACAATCTTGTTCTATTCGAGCCACTTGACTAGAGCTGGGGTTTCGATACCACAAAGTGAGTTCAGGTGACAGGAGTGAGATCGGCAGTAAAGGGCAGGACCAGACAGCAATATACAAGCGCGGCTGAGGAGGTTCCTACAAGGCGCTGCATGTGGTATGATGCTCGGCACAAAGAATAAAGGACCCGAGTTAGAACGGACTAGCCACAAGTGTCCATATGCACATGTTGCAGATCACGAGGAGCTAGAGCAACCACAGGGACGGGCGGGTCTGACGGAGCCACATTATCGCTGCTGCATGGCACACTTCGTACCCTCGATCCTTCGGTCTGCGGAGTACGGAAAGGGTATAGCGTTCGAACGTGCAATTGCGTACAAACGTGCCAAGCCTGAGGGGAACGACAGACGGTATCGTTGATCGACAAGCGAGCAAAGTTGAATTGGTGGTCGGCATGCCACGCAAGCTTGGGCGACGAGCCGTCGGGGCCGATTTCGCATACTCCAGCAACCTGTCTCGCAACTAGCGAGTTCTCCGATGTCGTATCGTGGCTTTCTAGCCTTATCGCATGCGATCCGACGTCCGCTTGATCCATTGCGGGAAGTGCGGAATGGAATGTTCTGTGGCACAGCTCCATGTGAAGCAGCACATCACTCGCTGACTGTTCAGAAAGTAGCATCGAAGCTCGCTCTGTTTTACTTCTCTGTCGAGCTCGGTGATGACGTCCGAAGGGCTTCGTGCACGGGTTGTGGTGGTGCTTCTCAGCTCGCTGTATGGTGCCGCGACTCCGTGGGATGTAATCCCTGTAGCTGGATCCTGACCACTTCACCTTTTCAGACAGTCCGCTCTGCTTGTCGTTGAGGCCGTGCGACATCGCCGCGAAGACCGCTTCGCGAAGTGGAGGGATCCTAACGACTTATAACGTGGAAGTACGTGAGTGGAGTAAGCAGTGACCAGAAAGTGCGGTAAAAGAGCCATGGACGTGCTGTCAGCCAGCTGCATGCACAGTCTAGGATACTGGCATGGTTAGGCGAGTGTTCCAGAAAGAAGGAAGCTCGAAACGGTACTGCAAGCGCGAATCAATGGAAAAGGTACACGGCTGCGTGAGGCACTCTCGTCCCACAGATGGCGCATCGCGGTAGGGCCGGTTATTCATCGCGATGTTGAAGATGACTGTCCAGTGGTAAGGCTCTGTGCCAAGGATACCGAGAGCTTGTGGTTGACGCTACTTCACGGGAGGTTGTATTGCAAAGTGCTCGAGTTTTCGATGCACATTTGAGTGCGCTGAAATTGCAGCTCGTGAATTGAAGCCCTCAACCGCACTGAACATTCCATGCGAATACAATGTGCAATGTCTGCCAGCCCCTCGCAGCAAGCGATTTTACATGCAGTGTAAGCGACGCGTCTCTGGCAAGGTTTCAGCGAGCTCTGTTGCATCATTTTCGATATTCGTTAGGTGACAAGCGCCGTTGCTCCAGTGTGTCGTTGGTAGAACTCAAAGAAACATACTGTGGACAAGGCCCGTCGCTTGTCAATACGCACATGACAGACCTCTCAGAGCTCGCTGCATCAAGCGGGAAGGTGGTCTCCTATTCGTGCCGATGAATGAATGCGCTGACCGTCGGTGGGAAGAGCGTTGCTATTGTTACACTCCTCGGGTGGTATAGGGTACTTGCAAACACGCTATGCTCGGCCCGAGCATGGTGAGGGTGTCTTCGCGCTTCGGTCGGGTGAAGAGTCGGTGAGGCGGGGAACTGTAAGGCAGCATATGCACGTGGCATGCTTGACTATTCGCTGACATGAAGGCAATGTCGCAGACAGCTGAGAGCCCCACTCCACGCATGCAGGTGGTAGGGCAGGTGCAGCCCTGCATTTGTCGCAACACAGCAACACTGCAACACTGCAATGTGAGCAAGATGCATTAATGTCAGCAGTTCGAATGCCACAAGCCCAAGCACCTGGCCGAACCGGCTACATTGCGTAGTGCTTTGAAGGTTGGAACCTGTGAGCTGCGCAAGGAGATACGGGCGACAAAGAATGGCTGGCCAAGCAAGTGTGCTCCTTCGAACCAGTTCGCAAAGCTCCTCACACTTGAGATCCGCAGGCACATCGAGGCATGTTCCGGCCAGGTACCAATGGGCATTCAGCGGCGAGCTCTGGCGTCAACAGCTTCCCTTAATCCCGTCAGGCCGACCCAAACAGCCTCTTCCGTTCTGATTGTTCTCGAGCCTTGATTTGGCACCAGATTGATCCACGAATCAAATACCTCTTCAGCTTGACGCACACCAGCGGATTGCAATTCGTGGTCGGCCTTGAGCGCCGCTTCGAGACCGGAAACACCGCCGAAGACCACGATAAGGTGTTTCCACGTCGGCTCCACATAAGCAGGCGATTGCTTGTCAAGAATAGACTTGAGTGGCTTGCCTCGCTCGCTAGTTCCAATGCTGAGATCGTAGCCTCCATCAAATGGACATTCAGTAAAGATGGCGCTCAGAGAAGAAGCTTGTCGGACACTGTAGCCCCAGTAATACCCTGCTTCTTCTCGAGGCGTTTCTGGAGCCACGGCCTGGCCTGATATCGTATAGCCATCAGGGGAGGTTTCGCCGAGTTTCACAGTCACTCTTGTATGGGGCTCAATTGCGGCAGGAATCACGACTCGCTGGGCAAGCCCACAATCGACAAGACTCTGAGGGTTCTTTCCTTTACCTGGTTGGAGAGTAATGCCCTCTCTATACTCGCACCACTCCTCACTCCTCAGATGATGCGGCATATCCAAGCTTGGTAGGGCTCCAGCGGTGCGAAGATCTGGGTGCATGGGAAAGAGAGCTTTGCGGAGATTGGGTGGCGTTTCCAGGTAGGTCAGCACGTGGTAGAGGAAGAAGTTGGGATCAGCAAACGCGGTATATCCTCCATGCTCCGGGCCTCGAGTCTCCGCTTGGCCATCGTCGAAAACAACGATCTCGTCAACGCAGAAAACGGCACAAGCGCGGGCGATTTGGCCTACGAGGCTTGTCTTTTGGTCGTGGGTGAGAGCACTATGGCGTCTCGTCAGCTATGATTGTGCCACCAGAGCAACGCTTGGCGCAGAAGAGCACAACAACTGGTCTGCGATATTGGAAGCACTCACTTCGCGATGATACTGCCCGGAAGTGCCAGACTGACAGTGTAAGTCCTGCTGCCGGTGGGTTTGAAGACGGCCGAGGGTCGCGAGGTATCAGGCCCAGAGTCGAGTGTATCGCCAACCTTTCGCTTCTGTCGTGGATCAGCTCAGCTTATGGAACACGCGAAATTGCATCCTCACCTTTGACTTGTGAGGCGCCATTGTTGAGGCTGCTAAAAAGAAAAAAGGAAGATGTGGTTCAGGTCGTGCACGAAGAAGGTGCGAAGAATTTTAGCGGGCCGGAATTGACGACTATCCCAGTCAATATTGATGAGTCTCCCGCCGACCATAAGATGTCGACGAGCCAGCGGGAGAACCAATATACAATCACAAGGGAGAGAAACGCGGCTCGAAGTAGCGAAAGGGAATTGAGTAATTGTGAATATTCCTCAGCCAAAGCTGTGACAAATCATCCTGCCCGGACATAAGCAATAGGCAATCTACTGCATAAGCAATCCCTGGGAACTCGATGCTGCTAAGATCTGCATAATACATTTCACGCTCTCTAAGCTCCATACAAAATATTGTCGATCTGCTTGTGTCGATTCACAGCCGATGCGAAAGTAGCGTTTGAGACTTCCTCCAAACGCCCTTCGCTGTAAAGATCGTAGAGCTTGGCAATACTTCGACTAACAGCTGGCAATGACTCCTGCCAATCTTCCCACTGCCACTCGAGTGTCTTGACTTCGTCAGTTCCATGATAATGTACCTCTATCGGGACTGGGGACTCGCTTGAGCTGGCTTGCAAAAATGGTCCTCGCTCGCTTGAGATGCGGATTTCGCCTCTTTCGCAGTTGATCGTCCAGATGAAAGGCACTGTGCCTGGGAAAGGAGGGCCAAGGCGAAAGTTCACTGTCTGTACACCTAAGTCAGTGTGGTCTCAAACCGAGTTATCGAGCAGACTCACGAGGCTAGCACCTGCTTGCACAACACTCGAACTCTTCAACGTCCCATGTAGAGCAAGCAGATCTGGCACATCACTAGTATAAGAACGCGTCTTTCCAGTTTCCGGGTCGTCAATGGTCTTCTCAGGACGCTGAATTTGTGTGAGAGCGTTGCTACTTTCATACTCTCCCAGAACCGAGTGAATGTAGTCAATGGTATGCCCAACCGCAATCGTGATCGGATTCCCACCGATTTTCGTGTCCAGAAAATACGCAAGGCCTTCTCCGATAGCATCCCTTCTGGCCAAGAGCGAGTGGGCTTGAGCAGAACTACTCAGAACCTTGCCCAGCTCACCTTCCTCAAGAATTTCTCGGAGTTTGAGTACTGCTGGTGCGACTCGTCCTTGCAGTCCAATGATGGTCTTCGAACCGCTATGCTTTGCGAGCTCGGCCAATTCGTTGGCTTTGGTGACGTTCTCGGCCAGTGGCCATTCGACAAAGACATTTTTGCCCGCTTCGATGCTGGGTCGAATAGTGTCATAGTGCACATCGACTCGAGTCGTACAGACTACGAGATCGATGTCATGATCTGCTGCTAGTTCTGCTGGTGTTCCGTAGGCTTTGGTCGTCGACGGAAGCTCGTAGTGTTCTATAGCCCGTCTCGCAGCTGCCTCGCTGGAATTGAGAAGTGCGACAATAGCATATTTTGCACGTCCACGTTTCGAGAGCAAGTATGGCAGGTGAGCGTCTCTGTATATTGTCAATAAATGGAGACAGCATAGTCTCCAGCAAGACATGCCTGGCCCATGATGTCTTGGCCGATTGCGATAGTCCGATGAGTGCAACACGTATGGGCGCCATAGTGTCGCGATTGTATTGTGATGTGATGTCAAGTGCATTCAGCAGGTCCACAACGATTACTTATACTCTCCATTTGTCAGCATTGACACAACTGAAGAAAGCTTCAATGTGCCTTCAGTTGCGCAGCACCTGCGTCTCTAAACCTCTGCTGAGAAAGCACCTTCTCGATTGGTGTTCTACAGGCTTGGCAGAGATCCTGCGAGGAGCGAACGGCCGCTCTGCGGCCGCAAAACCGCATCTGCCGATTTTCCAGCTGCGAGATCGCGTGCAGCAGTGCGTCCCATGGTTTTGGTTGATTAAAAGCTCACCAGTCCATTGGGTTGTCTTCATGGGATCGTTTGTTGTTGATGATATCCTGACCTACAGTCTGTGACCACAAAGATCTCGCGAATGATCCACTTCTTGGCGCTGGGAGAAGCTGTTCGAGATCAGCGGGTCAAGAGCTTCAGCAACACAGAGTCAATTCTGTCAATTTGTTTCTTGAGTTGAAATGCAGGAGACCGACCACTTGGATCACTTTGGACTCCATGTTGAAAATTCGATTCCGATGTCAAGGGTGTAGCACACTATCCCCAGATTATAGATGGCGTGATGTCAGCGTCTTATGTGCACACACTAAGGTTCACTGCCGCCATATCGGTAGCTCAACAGGGACAAATGGTTCGCAGCACATGCGTTGGTTTTGCCAATGGCGACATGCGACGGCGTGGGATGAGATCGACCGCCTCTCTGGGCACACACGCTCCTCTTATAATAAGTGCCTTGCTCATTTCCTCGTGCCACGTTTCTCGTGTGAACCAGGATACCCGAAGATAGAGCAGACAAGACATTTCGCCGGCTGGAAAATCCGCTGCAAAGATGGCCAATGGAAGCAACATTGAGCGACTCGACACTCTTGAGACGCTCGCGACCAACGCCGACTTTTATGAGCACTTGGCAGCTGGAAAAGTTGCGACTGCGTACGATCATGCTTCCACGCCCTCGACAAATGGCAAAGGGCACAGTCATCCACACTACATTCCTGTGCCCATCACCATCAAGTCGCAGATCGGGAGTCCAACTGCGTTGGCCGTTGGAGCCTTCGCCACGACATTGACAACGCTTTCGTTGTCGTTGATGGGGTGGAGAGGAGTCGGCGTGACGAACGCCTTCATCGGCAATTTCTTTGGTGTCGCTGGGATCGGCATGGTAAGTTGGTTGAAATTTTCGAAGTGAGCATGTAGCTGAATGCTCTTCCACAGTTCGTGTCTGCCAACTGGGAGCTGGTCCTGGGCAATACTTATTCGTATACTGTCCTCGCTGCTTTTGGCCTCTTTTACGCAGGTTTTGGCTTTATCATCACGCCATATTTCGGGGTTGCTGAGTCGTATGGCGGGTCCGACACACCTGAGTACAATAATGCTCTTGGCTTCTGGGTTTTGATGTGAGTTCATTAAATCCATAATTTCAGCAGCGCCCGATGCAGCAGCAGCAGAATACTGACAACTCGCAGGTGGGCGGTCTGGAACGTATTCTTTTTGCTCGGCTCTCTGTCAATCAACCTGGTGTTCATTGGTATCTTTGCCACAGTCCAGGGAGCCTTCACGCTCGTCGCTGCCGGCTACTTTTTGAAAGCAGACGGCAGTTCTCAGGCGACTGCTGTGCTCAAAGCCGGGGGCGCCTTTGCATTCGCGTCAGGTATGCTGGGCTATTACACGGTTGCGAATCTGATGTGCTCGGAAGTCTTGCCATTTTCGCTTCCGATGGGCGATACGAGCCGGTTCTTCAAGAGGAAGCAGAAGCAGGGCTAATCGAGAGGTGAGACGGGCGGTGGAATGGCGATATAGAATGGTGAGACTGCGGTCGGTATGCCTGTTCTTTGGTACCAATGTGCAATGCTTAGATTAGTGAACGTGATGACAACCTTCATCTCATTATGAACCCCGCTCGCACATGCGCGGGGGCCATCATGCTACATCTGCTGTAGATCGTGTTCTATCGTTGTGGTTTCCATGGTATTTCTGTGCATTTGAACTGGCTTCCGGTGGTAGATATCGCTTGTCACTTCTTCAGCGCCTGCCGCTCGGAGCAATGGTGTCCCGAGCCTGCCACTGCCAGACTTCGGATCCCGAGTGGTGCTGACAGGCGCGATGGTGGGAATCGTGCGTTTTGCTGTCGCGACATTGTGACTGAGATACAGACTGTGGTCGTCCATCCAGACTTGGAGCATCACGGACTGCCAAGATGGCCCACCTGGACGCTGAGCCGTGTCCGACTACACGGGTTCACCAGCCCTGCTCAATCGACAAAGCAACAGACTACAGCAACGCCCGAGAGCAGTGTGGCCACGGTGACCACCATTCGTGATACTGCCCCGTCATCCTGGAGAGCGTCGCGATCGACTCGGCCTCGAGGAAAGCCACCCATTCATTTCCGCTGCTTGTCACCACCGCATACCGCCATAGATCGTACCACACCGAAGCACATCGAACGCATACGCCACGACGTCCAGCAGCAGATACCTCACTGGCCATGAGAGATCGAAGCGCCATGCCATCGCCGGCAACGAGCGTCCCGGGGGAAAGACACGATCCACGACTACCGCAGCTTATCGCCATTGCACGATACCACAATACGTAGCCGATAGGCCATCATTGGAACACCCAGAGGGCCCGGGTCTGAGCACACTGATGCTCATGGTACACACGTACGTACCCTAAGAGGAGGTCATGCTTGAGATATCGCTGCCCGGGCCGCAGTTCCCAAGCAGCATGCTACGCAAGGCTGCGGGCAACCGGACACCCACAGCGAACAGGTCAGAAAGCTGCTCCGTACGCTTCGACGCTTCCACATCAATACATGCGGCATGTATCGCGTAGCCGACACATGAGCGTTGGGATAAGCAGGAGCGGCAAATCTCTTCGCTTCGGAGCAGACACTCATACAGGCGATGAAAGAGGATTGAATTGAGATCTCGCTCTCCGAGTGCATCTTTGCCCGAAATCAGGATATTGGAGTCCGTGGCCGACGCCGCAGCTCCAGAGACGAGGCTTCAGAGCCGGCGCAGTTCACCACGATGCTGAACATCTGCTTGAAGGCGGCGCGAGACCTACTAGCAACTGAGTGTTGCTTCCCACATTCTCCAGGCTCAGTACTGCTGACACGCGTCAAATAAGCTTGGAGTGAGCTTAAGAATCAGCGTGAAGCTCAGTCGTCACACACACCGTGATGCTGCAAGCTTCAGGGTAGACCGCCGCCCCAGCGGAAGAGGACACGAAAGCCGGTAGGCGTGTGCTCATGCGCCGAGTCCATCTGGAATCGCTGATCGGACCATACAAGCCGGAGAGGCTCACAGCTCTCACTGTTACGCTCAGCTCTCAGACTGATTGCACAATGCGATATACTTCTTCTCAGCTTGCGCTGCACATGACTTGAAATGCACTGAGCCGTAGACTTGCCAAATTCAGCGAATATGAACTGCTGAACACGAAGACACATGCCAAAGACCTCGCACGGAGGCAACGAGGAGTACATCGCTCGGTTGCAGTGCTTGCAAGGCGTAGTGCTCATTCCCCGTTCAGAGTATAACTCAGCACTGGTCGAGCAGCTCCGCACGGTATCCCTAGAGGGCATCGCATGCGTTGCTCATAATCTGAGCCACATCAGGTGGCAGTCTCGTGCATGTCTTGGACATCCCAGAGAACACACCACCATCAGGTGGCATTTATTGAAGGAATTATAAGTCCGGCAGCATACAGTCCAGGCTGTAGTATCTTGACACTGGCAGCTGTTGCAGCCATGATGGAAGCCAGGATACCAACCTTGTCGTGTTCCCGGAGGCTGGGACCAGATGGATTTGTTCTTCGCACTTCCCGGTGCTGACCTCCAATAAGCTGCTGCCAGCGGGTCGTTTCGACCCATCGTGGAGCATTTAAAGGACCGACAAAGGAAGAGATCTCGATATGCACCTACCTTGCCGGCTACATCCGGTAGTGAAGCATGACTTACGCTTTCAGCTGGAGACATCAAGCAGAGCACGGCGTTGGCTCAGCGGACTCAACACTTGCTCGAAAAAAGGTACGCTCCCCTCCTGCAATTGCATCGCTGCATCTGGATCAGGTCCGGACCCTGTCTTAGACGTCTGTTGGGCGAGGTCCAGATCATCGTGTCCTGTGTCGTACCTTTCTGGCTCACGGCTTCCGGATATTGCCGCCCAGCTTCACCGGCCTTCGTGTGCTTCGAGCTGTCGGGAAATGCTCGCAACTCGGCTTCGGGCACTCTTGAGACGCTACTCATATGCCACATACCGCACAGAGATCCCATGTGCAGCGCATATTTGCAGACGAAACGCCTGCTAGTCTTTCTGGAGCTGTCGCGTGGCATAGGGTTTAGACAACCTCTGGCTCTGCTCATTCTTCTGGTGTATCGTCGCTCATGTCTTGAGCTCGAAACTCCGTGAACAGCATCATCTCGCTCCAGAGACCGCGTCCTCCAAAAGAGCGTGTCCCTAGCTCAGCACCATTGTCTGTTGATGCTATTGGCCACGTCAATGATTGCGGGCCGGCATTGTGCAAGTCTCCAATCCCATGGCCTTGTCGTCGATCACGTCCTGTCCGACGCCTTCGTCCTGGTTTTGGCACGCTCAAGGACACCAGCCGGAGCTTATGGTCTGTCTCAGGGGCATGCGTGCTCTGTCGCCCTTTCAGTATCCGGGTTGCTTCCTTGCTCATAGCGATATCTTCCCGCAGGCAGGGACGGCTCCGCGATCATATGGCGCGCGGCCCCGAAGCTCGAATTGCTGCCAGAGCCCTTCTGCACATGGTCTGTGTCTTGATCAACAGTCCTGGCGGTTCCATTGGAGCTCGTGTGGAGTTCTCATGACGCTCCGGCATATTGCTGCAGCGGTCGGTCTGTTATCGCTGGCTTCCGGCCTCGTGGACAGTGCCGCCTTGTCTTCGGATGCTCGAGAAAGACTCCATCGCGAAGCCCGTGAGACCAAGTTGCCCGCCTCGCTGCTAGGAATGTGTGTGCTGGCTGGCTCGCAATCGACCGCTCGAGCATTGCTTGTCGCGGCCGGCCCAGTAGCCTGCTCTGTCGTTTGCTGCCACTGCCCTGCCATTATCGATCCAATCACCTGGCTCTTTCTCGCTTGCTCTCAGGCTCCGCCAGCAGCGTAGACAAAGGTGGAACTCGTGCTGCGCATGTCGTCGGCCGGCAGGCAGCTGCAGGCTTGGTAGGCTTGGAGATATATCAAAGCGCCATGTCCTTCCTGTGCTCCTCCGCTCGATATCGATCAGCTGATGCTTGTCAGCATTCGTCCGCGCCGCTGCCCATGCCGGTGTTCGTTGAGCTCGTCTCACGGTTGTGTGGTGCGCGCTGCTTGTCATGGCTGGCTTCGTTGCCCATCGCTGTTCGGAGCTGATGTGGATTTCGTCCGATTCGAGGCTCCGAAGCAAAAGTATTCGCCGCAGCCTCAAAAATGCATTACGGCCGCAATGTCGAGCGCACAGACATGACGACGCTGTCCGAAGATCTTCACGACAATCTCTGTCACCTCTGGGGCATCAGATTGTTGTGCGTGTGGTGTTGCGATTGCATGAGCAGGGCGAGCGAAGCTGGGTGTCCAAAAGAAGCGCCAATCCGGCGTGCACAATTCAGCAAAAGGATTGGCTTCGCCACGAATCGGACGTGGGTTTCCCGGTACGAAGACCATTGGTGATTACACCCGTCAACATGACTACGCCACATAAGCCACGGCAAACGCCATACCGGTTGCTTTGCTCCGAGCGTGCTTCCATTGCACCGCGAAGCCGATTTATCTGGTAGAACCTTAATGATCCCTGATTATCAGTGCTTACTTTTCGGGTCGTAGCGACGCAGCCTCTCGCTACAGCGCTGAGGCCCGGGGAGGTTCAACTGTTGGGCCTGTGTGTATCGAAACAGTCACGGCCTGAGATGGCACATTGGGGATCTACCGACGGAAGCGCCTACACAGTGGATGGCTGTACAGGAAAACGAGCTGCGATGACACCGAATACAGTGCGGCGATCTCATCATTCCTCCCGTCGCCGTGTAATGCTCTATTGCAATCAGAGCGCGCAGAGATGCCGGCGAACATGTCACCCAGAGGTTTTGCTAGGAGCCCAGTCCGATGTTGACTGCGTCTGTAGCGGCTTGCTGCACAGGCATGTCCTTCCACTGTTTGCTTGTCAAGAAGCGCTCGACCTGCGCTGGTCATGCCTTTGCCGGCCTCGGTCAGTGCGTAGACAATGCACATGCGGCAGATCACTGTAGGCCCATCTGACTTTGAAGGCTACCATAGACTGCCCGCAGCTTCCACCTCTGCTGCTACCCGAGCTGGCCTTTGTACCGCCTTTGCTCATCTATTCCAGCAGACGACTGTACTGCCCTGATCATTTATGGTCTTGCGCCACTCTTCTGTCCGTTACATAACCCTCAACCGGACTGGCTTGTGCTGTGCAACTGGTGCTGTTCTCTTCTCTTATGCTAGCACCTGCTCTCTCCGTCGCGAGCGGTGCAGAGAAGACGCAATGTTGCCATGATGCCAGACCGGGCGGTTATGGTGTAGTATCCGCAACCCGTCCCATTGTGTCTCCGCGCTCTTTTCATGGCGAGCGCTGAGCTGGCGCCGTTTCCGAAGAAGATCTGCTCGTTCTGTCGCGCGGCTAGATGAGGAAACCGGGCTTCTCGCGCCATGACTTCGCTGGCGCGTCAGCAAGCTTCCGTCATTGAAGGAGGTGTTTCTGATGGTCTTGATGGAACTTGATGGCCTTCGCACCCTTCCTGAATATTGTTATCAGGAGTCTGTCCGAAGCGCCAGCTTTTGCAAATGTGATGAAGGCGGTCAAGGTTCGTGGTCAGGGTAAGACACCCGACGACGGCGATGGATTTCAACTATCCCACGCTGTCGCGAAAACGCCGTGCTCAGTGATTCCTGATCGGAGATGTTGCTGAACCTGGAGACGGCCCATGTTCCCCTGACGTCTTAGGAGCAGTTTGTACGCTGCTGAACCGCATTGAGACTGTCACAGGCATCGCCATGCTATGTGAGCTTCTGCGGCCATGCTGATGCTACATCGTGTACATGGGTCGCTCCATACATGCCTTCCTAGACATGTTGCGAGTGCAGACTCTGATCAGGTCATCAAGGACCATGCTCAGCGGTCCTGACATCTGAAGATTGTAAAGTAGAGTGGTCAAGGGAGTGACTAGCTCTCGTGCCCGGAAAGGTGAGTGAGTATATGGCACTCTGCTGTCTCCTACAACCTCGCAGCAAAGCCAATCGCAGCAACGCTGCCTGGTAAGTGCCAAGACTCAGCCACCCTGTTGTCATTCAGCTTCTTCGTCTTCACCACCACGGCATCAACAAACACAACACGAGTAAGTGAATCACCCTCTATGTTTGTCTAACCTCTCAGATAGGCACGAGTGACAGCAGGCGACGAGCATGGAGCCGGCGGCTCTCATCAGGTCGGAGGCACCCTGGGGCGCCCGCCGGACCCACTTAGGTGAACTGGACTTCCGGATCTGGACTGGACATTTGGACGGTCGCTATGCTGCATAGCGGCGTGTCAGAGGCTCTCTGACCGCCATGATGGCCTTCCCACCGTCACTAGCTCGCTGGCGACACCCTGCTCTGCTCTATTGGTCGCTGCCATGGACACCACGCGCACGCGCCGCGAACTGTGACAGCGATGGCAACACGGAGACCTCGCACTGTCCGACCGGCAGCACGATAGCACTCTTGACGCCAAATCCTGGAGCTCATGTCTCTGAATGTCACCGGCGAGCTTGCCAACTACCACCACGTCGCCGACCGCGACCAATATGGCTTCACCAGAGGCAACACGCCTGATCGACTGCCACGTACTGAGAGCAACGATGACGACTACGCATCAGCATACAAGAGCGCTGCTTTGTCGCATCATCGCTCTCTCCAACAAGTCAGTTAACCTCTACTCTCAAAGTACCAGTACCAACTGACAAGTTTTATAGATATCCTGAAAGAGCGTGTGGAGCAACCTACCGGTATGCTCCTCTGTTCCAAAGTTATACGGGCAGAGAACAATGGCGATCCGTCAGAGGCTCTACAGCTCTATGTATCCTGCCGTACAACACGACATGAACCATTTTGGCATGGTTTGGCAACACAGGGCCGGAAGCATCTTGAAAGCGTGAGAAGCCACTCACAACCTGCTGTGAAATCCGATAATCACCATGGCCGGTCCTCTTTACGATATGGCAACCGTGTATGGCTCTAAGAAATGGGGACATTGGCGTCTGACCATGCTTCGCTTTCGACAGGCCGTATTAAACGGCATACCCGGCAAAGACAAACAGGATAAGAAGCTGCCACGGCGAGGTCTTGGACTGGGAGTGGGACTGAATCTTTTTGCCATCCTTTGGCAGGTCTGCATAGCGCTACTGCTGCTGTACACTGGCATGTCAAAGATCTTTCAAGGCCCACCCGATCGCTGAGTCCGCCATCGACCATCCTACACAATTTGCAATTACTGGAAGTTGGATCTGCAGACCCTCTACTGCCTGCTTGATGCTGTACGTGATCGACAATGGCTCCAGACCTGGCCAACGCATTGGCGACTATCCTTGAACCAAGTCCTGAACGGCCGATGCGGGTGTCCAATGCTGCTGATTGCTTGAGGACATGTTCGACAATCGGGCCCAGCGGCCGAAAGGTGTCGCTCTCATGCATATGCACCTGCTAAACATGAATTCGCCTGTACGGACAGAGTGTACACTGGATCCAGCCCACGAGGACATGCACCCCATACCAACTGCTATGGCCCTCGCCCTTCTCCGGGGGCTGACCACCTGCTTCGCGGCGTTTCTACCATCACGGTCCGCTTCTCCATGTGGGTGTATCCATGCTCGGGTCCTCTTTCTGCGCTGCATCTGGTGGCTCACGGCCGCTCCAGCTCATGGCACAGTCAGGTGATATCGATTTCCAATGCCGGTCAAGCGCCAACGGCCGCGGCCTCCTCATCGCGCGGGCCCTGCTCCTCCTCCACGCAGATGTGCCGCCGCTTCAGCACTGTTCTGCACATCGAGCGCGCAGACACTGTTGTACCCGAGGCACTCGACATAGCGCTGGCACACGCGACCTCAAAAGGCAGCCGGCTGGACTCCCTGACGGTGTCTTTTCTTGTCCTTCCGGCCGATGGTGTTTCTTCTGACAGCTCCCGGACCTTGCAAGTGACTGGGAAAGGCGGTGTGCCTGGCCGTTGGACCTCTTCACTTCTCGCTGTGCGGGCTTTACTTCCCCACCGCGCCTTCCGCTCGCCGCTCGCTGCTGCTCACTCGTGCCTGCCTGCCTGACTGCAGCCTGACTTCAGTTGGCTGGTGCGTTGTTGCCCCACTCAATCCTGACTAACGCACTTTCCAGTGACGGCCGTGCCAAATTCCGCCGCCTCCAACTCCCCAACTCCCTCCTTTGACAATACCGACATCTCCCCCACATCAACTCTATCAATCAGCACCAGCTCCATCATTGCACTCTTCCCTCCAGTCCCTTCCTCAGCTTCACAACATCCACTCGCAAACCCACCGCGCACCCCTCGCATTCAGCCTCTCGAGCTGAGCGACCCTGTTTCTCCCTTGACTCTCCCCTCCTCATACGAAAGCACTCAGGCCTGACTAGCTTCGGCTGTCGTCATGTCTGATACTCATGTGGACGCCGAGGCGCCTGTCGTCGACCAGAAGGCGCTCGACCTGGCCAAGGCCCGCGAGGCTGGCTGGTCCGAGACGACTGCATTCAACTACGATGAGTTCACGAAGCAAGGCGGCCACAGCGGCGAGTGGCAAGGCATGACCGGCGTCTACGAGTGGAACGACGAGTACGGCGACGTTGCACCTGAGCTTCCTGAGCTCGAGCGCATGCTTTACGGCACCGAGACGCGTGTCGTGGAAGGCAAGCATCGGGATACACTCGACGACATTGAGGTCGTGCTCGAGGGTGCCACCAAGGTGAAGCCAATCCAGACTGTAAGTCCAATCCTTCACATCGCCTCATGAACCCTCACTAACACGCGAACAGTTCGCAGATGGTGGTCTTCACCCCGTCATGGCCGAAAATGTTAAGCGTTGTGGCTACGAGAAGCCAACGCCCATCCAGGCCTACACCATCCCGGCAGTCAAGCTCGGTTACGACGTTGTCGGCATCGCTCAGACAGGTATGGCCCTGCCGCCAGTCCCACTTGCATCATCCAACTAACATTCTCACTAGGTAGCGGAAAGACTGCCTCCTACATGATTCCCATCATCTCGGCATTGATGGGCAAGGCCAAGAAGTTGCGTGGCCCGCGCCCCAACGTCGTCGACCCGCGCTACGACCCCAAGCTGCACCGCGTCCGCGCCGAGCCACTCGTGCTCATCATCGTTCCCACGCGCGAGCTCGCGATTCAAGTCTTTGACGAGGCTCGCCGCCTCTGCTATCGTTCCATGCTTCGCCCAGGTGTTGCATATGGCGGTCTGCCAATGGGTCTTCAGGTCGAGGACCTTGGCAAGGGCTGTGACATCCTCATTGGTTCCCCAGGTCGCTTGATGGATCTCATGGACCGCCCTGACGTTCTGACCATGAGCCGCGTCAAGTACACCGTCATCGACGAGGCCGATGAAATGCTCAACGAGGACTGGTCCGAAGAGATGGCCAAGATTCTCGCTGGTGGTGGTACGTCACAAAGCAAAGTACTTGTTCAGATCCCTGCTAACGCAATCCAGACGCCAACGAAGATGCTGATCACGTCTACATGATGTTTTCGGCCACCTTTCCCAAGGGCGCTCGTCGCGTTGCCCGCGAGTACATGGCTGAAGATCACATGCGCATCAAGGTCGGTCGCGCGGGTCAAGCCCACAAGAACATCAAGCAAGAAATCATTGAGGTCGACCACACGAACAAGCGCCAAGCTGTCTACGACCTCCTCTTCGCATCTGAGCCATGTCGCACCTTGATCTTCTGCAACTCCAAGAACACGGTCGATCTCATTGACGACTTCCTCTACAACAAGGGCTTGCCAACCACGTCGATCCACTCAGACCGCAACATGAAGGAGCGTGAAGATGCCATGTAAGTCTTCCTTCTCCATGAACATCCATGCAGCTACTGATCAATCTACAGTCGTGCCTTCCGCACTGGCACTGCCCCGATCCTCATTGCCACCGGTGTCTCTGCTCGTGGTCTGGATGTTCCCAGCGTCGGACACGTGATCAACTTCGATATGCCATCCGCGATGTACGGCGGCATCCAAGAATACATACACCGCATCGGCCGCACCGCGCGTATTGGCAACCTAGGCCTTGCCACCTCATTCTACAATGAGCGTAACGAAGACATCGCTCAGGACCTCGTCAACGTCCTCATGGAGTGCGACCAGAGCGTTCCAGAGTTCCTCGAGCATCTGAAGCCGGAGCAGGTCTCTGAGATTCAGTTCGACGATGACTCTGAGGACGAGGCCGAGGCAGGCGAGGATGACGCCGGCGGTGCTTGGGGTGGCGATGCTGCTCCAGCTGATGAGCCAGCTGACACCGGCTTTCAGGCCGACGCCGGCTTTCAGGCTGACGACAGCTTCAAGCCTGCTACCGATGATGCTTGGTAGATTGCTGGCGGCTGACACACTTCCACTCGTTACTTCACGACAAGAGCGGAGGTACTTTCACACTTTCACGATTCAAACGATCATTCGCTGCTCCATGTCGAGGGCCACAGAGCACTCGCACCAAGAGGGGCACAGAGACATGAGGTGGCAGGTACCGCGAGATGACACCCTACCGCGCTTGGTAGCATTAGTCGCGAGGGCCTCAGCAACATTGCTGAACGGCATGTCTCAATGAAATGAGCGTCAGGATACTCACATCGAATTTGGTATCGAGAAAATTGAGACATCGTTCTCAACACTTGTTCTAGCTCACTCTCTCACTTCGTAACCGTGACTGTGCCTCATCTTGGTGATTCCTGATATGCCGCATGAATCATACCTCCTTGTGATAGCTTGTGATTGTCACCCTCGCATTCGCCCTTCATCTTCACATTCATTGTCATTTTCACCGACCCTTGCTGCAAGCTCAATCTCGATCTTGTCCCTCCACCTGCGTTTCGAGCTCTGATCCTTGTTGAAAGTTCAGCAAGAACGCAGTGTAACGTGGCCCAAAGCACCAGTCGCGAGTCTTGGGCATGCGTGTGACGAAGGAAATTGTCTTGAGTAAATCGTTGCTGCTCGGTGAAGACTGGAGAACTTTGTGCAAGTGATTAAGTATTAATTAGAATGTACCAGCTACAGCTTTGTCTATCTGGATGGTTTGTCCGAGTATTCTCGCTCCTCCAGAGCAGAGGCTTCTGTCCATGCTTCGTCTTCGTCTCTCATACAGTTCTCTCAATGCATATGTCTCGTAATCGTATACCCGTTCTTCCATGCGTCCGTCTCTTCATTCGTGTCATCTTCGTCGATGACTTCTCCGTTTCTCCTGCGAAACAATCAACCCGATGCTCATAACAAACAAACTCCCTGAAAGCGCCATCGCTAAATCGCAGTAAAAGTAAAATCATCAATCGAGTTTCTCATCCCCATCATCTTCAAATCCTCCTGACGCGATCAATCGCCACGCACTCCCTGCCATCTCTGCCGCCGAATCTTCCATAAGCATATCTCGCTGGTCCTCCTCCCACAGGAGCGTCAGCCGCGACAGGCAACAGGTCTCGGTTCTGTTCAGCCTGCTGTCTAGCCCGTCCGAATCCTCTCACGGAATCTGCCAAAGAGATTTTACTCCCAGCTGCAGCCTCCGCTTGGCTAGAGTAGAGCTGCGATCGGGGCGGAAGGAGCTTCTCGTTGTGAGAGTCTTGCTGCTGATGTTGGATGTTGTTACGTTGGCGATGTGTCGAGCTCGAGAGCAATCTCGTCACCAGATCGATTTTGCTGACAGGGTTGCGGAAGGCAAAATCGTCGAGGAGGCGGCTTTGAGAGAGGCAGTCTCTGATACCAGCGAAAGTGTCGAGGTGAGAGGGGAGATTGCTGTGGCGGAGGGAGGAGCTGGGCCAGATGGCGAGGTAGGCCAGAGCGTAGATTGTGACGAAGACGGAGAGGGCGATGTAAGCAGACATGTCAGCGGATATTCTAACACGCTGTTGGGCGATGTAAAATTGTGCCCAGAAGACGCCACCGGCCAAGATGGGTATCGCGGCGCTGAGTAGGGTGACGGCGGAGATGAATGCCATACGATAGTGTCCATTGAAGAGTGCACTCAGGCTAGTGAGGACGGGAAGGTCGGCGGTGTAAGACGTGAGCAGCGTTCGTTCGGCCGTATTGCCAGTCGAATCTCCGGTCCAGGTGGTATTTTTGGCTGCAAATTGCGTGCTGGACGTCAAGCTCTCAAACGGCGTAAGACGGCGATACGCAAGGTCGATGTCGTGCCACCCCAGGAAGGCGATCATAGCCAGCAGCGCAGGCAGGAAGCTGTAGAGGAAGTTCGTGCCGCTGAAGCCGAGCGTGTCGACTGCTGCCGGAACCAGAGGATCGAAGCCGTTGTCGATCGCCGTTGAGGGAAGGTAGGAGACGATCAAGAATGCGAGCAGAAGCACGATGGCCACGATCGGCCAGAGAAGCGCGAAGAATGGCTGCAAGAACCAGGGAAGTGGGGAGCCAGTCGCGTGGTCTTCTTCGCTGTGGTGATCGCGGAGGATTGCTTCTTTGGACTGACGCGGCTGCCGTCCGGCTTCGAGGTCCATGTCTGGTTCGGAATACCGTTTCTCGCGGATTCGACCGTCCTCCACTTCGTAGCTCCGAGCCGGCTTGTCTGCAATGCCGTAGGCATGGAAGACGTCGTTGGGCCGATGCGAGGTACGGAAGTAGCCGATCTGAGGCACGGTCTCGCCTTCACCATCCAGAGCGTTGCTGCGTTCAAGGAGGACGATCAAATCCGCGAGACTGCGAGGATCCCACTTCAGGCTGGTCGTTGTTCGTGTGACGCCGTAGATCAACACAATGGACAAAACGAGGAGCAAGATGTAAAGCGCGATGACGACCCAGATCACGCCCTGCACGGCAATCCAATGCCATGAGGCGGAGCTATCCTGGTGCACGTTGAAACTACTGGCCAGAAGCGGGATGGTGAAGCTCTGCAACCAAGCCACGAGTAGAAACGTTCCCACGGTGGGCATTCGGGCACCGAAGTGCCCAAAGTAAGGCAGGAGTAGACTGCGGGGCTGCAGAGGCAACTTTGCCCCTGCAAATCGAGAAGGTGGCGAAGCTGAAGAGGCCATTGCAATGAATGGAGCGATGCGGTAGATGGCCTTGACAATCTCAAAGAGCCACATGAGGATGGCCATTCCGAGGATCGTTGGCAAGTATCGGAACACGAAGTATTTCCCATCCGCGAAGCCTTCGTACTCCGTCAGACCCATGCCTCCATTGGCTCTGCTCCATGCCGCAGCGATGATCAGGCAGATCAGGTACGCCAGAAGTGCTAGCACAAATGCAGAAAGCGCCAGAGGTCGCAGAATGCCTGGGATGAAGTTCAACGGCGGTTGCCGCGACTCTGCTTGACTGACTGGGATGAATAAGTTCGGTCCTTGCGGCTGGGCCACTTGTGAGTATCCTTTGCTCGTTCGATCGGAGTTGCGTGGTGCAGGTAGGACACCGATGTCCTGCTCCAGATCCTGCTTCTCCTCTTGCGGCACTTCCTCATAGCGGTGCTGCTTTTGGGGCTGCAAAGCATTAGGCCAATGTGCGGCTGTTGAAGCATCGTAGGGATACTGGCCTTCGATGCCCGGACCTCCAGGGTATCGTCGGCTGCCTCGAACTTCTTCGTCTCGGGTAAGCTGATCGAGGGCGAAGTGGATGTAGGGTGTATCGTCAACACCTGGCGTGGGTGCGTCTCTTTCTCGATTAATCGCTTGTGCTGCTGAGCTTTGGGCAAGCGTTGGTGATATGCGACTCGCCGTCTTGGTCGATCGAGTGTCCTCCATAACGGCGCTGGGCACGGGCTTTCTTCTGATTCCACCGTTTCGTAGTTGTCCTTGAGGATGAGGCTGACTTGATCCTGCAACGACTCCACAAGCTGCAGCAGCTGCAGGAGCTGCGGGTGCCTCTTCGATGCTCGCCCGTCTGTGGCCTTCCCCTCTTAGCGGAGTCTTCCGGTGCTGCTCCTCTTCCTCGGTGACGGGTGCATGCTGGGGTTGAACAGCTAATTGAGTTTGGCTTTGTGATGGGGTTCGGTATCGCGAGGGTGGTGTTTGGAAGCGAGTGATGGTTTGTCGTGATGCGTGCAGAGCATTGGCAGACTCGACGGATCGACCAGACGAGCCTGAGTTGGATAGCGAGTAGTAGTCTTCGGAGGCAGCGACGGAGGTGAGGGAGGGACGACTGTGAATGACGGATGGGTTGGAGACTGTTATTTGGTCAGGCACGAGTCAGTCCTGGTCCATCGGTTGCCGTGCAGCATGGATGCGTTGTCCCCCATGGTGTTCCACTTACCGTTGGTCTGGCGGAGGAAGAAGGCGTCGTGCTCCGGCGTGCGGAGAGTGTTCGACATTGGAGGGGCTATAGTGAGTGTGGGCTGTGCATATTATGTATGTCGTCAACAACGATCAGACGAGCAGCGGGCAGGCAGTCGGTATGATCGTTGGACGATTGCACACGTGCGATAAGAAAGCGAACGGGGCCGATGGGACGGGCAGTTCGGATAAACGTGCAGCTGTTGGAACGTCTTCGTTGCAATACTTGCGCTATGTACCCTACCGACGTGCCGCAGCAAAGAGTGGTATGAGATGGCGGGCAAACCAGCTCAGCAGCTTGGTGGCGGGGAAGGCTGGGAACACCTCAACGCGCCCGCTCATTGGCTGCGGACCGCATTGAGTGCCATGGCGGGCGGTGATGATGATACAGTGCGACTAAAGGCGACGAAGGAAGCGTGTTGCCGCATCGCGCAGCGCTTGCGTATGGTCCGGTTTTGGGGAGTGTTGTTGTTCCTGTGCAAGTCGAGTGAGTCGTGGCGTAGCTATCACTTTGTGGCTGGAGTGACGCCTGAGGCATCAGTCACGTGTACTCATCGGAAACCTCGCGAGTCTTGCCGAGCAGCAGCGACTTCGACGAGGAGCAGCATTGAAGAGCACCCGCCAGCAACCTCACCAACCCACATCACACCGCGCACTCGTCACAATGGCCGGTCTCCTCGGAAAGAAGTTCCCCGCGCCCGTCGGTATGGAATCCTCAATGCCTGCGCCCGGGAGCTGCAGCGGACAGGACTGACGACATGAATAGCAAAGCCGATGTGGCCTTTCTACACTGCCGGTACGTCAGGACAACATTATGATATGCTGGAGGTGGAGGAGATGGCATTGTGGAGCTGGGGGAGAGGTTTGGGGAGATAGAAAGGCAGACAGAAGAGCTGACATCCCCGCGCAGGCTTGATCATTGCATACGGCATCAACTCCTTTGCGACCGTCCTTGCAAACAGTACGTCCACGACCCTGGCTCAACGATGACCCCATGGCTTTTTGGCTGCCGTCCCAAGTCTACTTCGACTAACAATTGCCCTCACACAGCCGATGAGTACAAGAACGACCCAAGGAACCCAGCAAAGAACATCAAGAAGGACCACTAAGCTTCTGAATGGGCGGCATGACTGCAATGGCACGAGCGAGGGACAATAGAAGACATTACAGTATGACTGGAATGGTCTGCGCGCTGCGATAGACGGGGGAAAAGCGAGTGTACATATACTACCACATACCCGAACCTCGTGCTTTGCGGTTGAGAACGAAAACGAAGTCTTTTCTTTGTGCAACGTGGGCTTCATGGATATCTCTCTGGCGACCTCAGAATCTCCGAATGGGCGATTTGCTGAAGGCGAAAGTCGGACTTGTGTGTCTGGAGAAGCGACAACACACCACGCTTCGCGGATATGTGTGCAACTGCACAGGCGGCTTGCGTTACGGAACAAATTCAGCAGAACAAGCTCGCTTCGCTCGCGCCGTGTCTCCGGTCTGTTACCAGTTGCTGCGCCCCATCTTTCGGTGCTTTATCCTCAGACATTGCATCGTCAACTCATGCGAAGTGGTGCAAAATGTTAGCGTGCCTTTCCTGCAGCGACATGGCAGGAGATTTACTCCTCAATCTGCTTCATCTCTGTCCGTGCTGGCCTCGACGACTTCCCCGGCTTCTAGTCAACGCGTGCATGATGAAACTGGCGACTCTAGAGGCGGGACGCGCCGCGATATCCATTCGACATTCTGTTCTTCCTCTGCAGACTAACATCAATTCACATTGACTGCGGCCTGCAAACTCTGGCATGTGGCCGGTAGCGCTGTTGATGGTTTATTGATATGAAATATCAGGATGTTCATCTCTTCCATTCGACGGACTGCCTTGCAGCATGGCGCCCTCTGCATGAGAACACTGACCTACTCCTCAACGCATTGTGGCTATCTCCACTGCCATCGATCCCATCATCAACGACCCACGACCATTAGAAGAGCACATACATCATCGCCTCTCAAACTAGACCATTCCGTGATTATAGAAGAGGAGACCCTTCCCGGTTACAATCCTTCCCATTACTATGCCGTTCGCATCGGCGACCTACTCCGAGACCGCTACCACATTATCGGCAAGCTGGGCTACGGCTCAACATCAACCGTCTGGCTCTGTCGTGACCTCAAATCACAAGGCTCGTCTGTTTACGTCGCCCTCAAGATTCACACCAACAACAACTCCAAGAGCCATCGAGAACTACCAGTTTACAAATACATCAACAATCTCAAAGAATCTTCGCACGAAGGCCGCAAGTACGTACGTGCACTGCGCGATCACTTCGAACTGGAAGGACCTCACGGAAATCACATTTGTCTCGTCCACGAAACAGCTGGATTGAACCTCGAAGAATTACGAGATCTATTGCCTAATCAGACTTTCGAACCGGATTTACTTCGTCAGAGTCTTCGCAGTATCCTTCGCGGGTTACATTTTCTCCACTCTGAGGTGGGAGTGATTCACACGGGTTCGTTTCTTTCCCTTCCAACCACTTGCCGCAGCTGATTGTCACTGCGTGTGTAGACATTCAACCTAAGAATATTCTCCTCGGTGTCCTCGATAATTCTGCTTTCGAAAGGTTTGAACGCGATGAGAAAGAAGCGCCTTTTCCGCAGAAAGAATTGCCTTGTGGTCGAATCGTCTACGTCTCGCATCCCATGCCGCTGACTAAAGGACCTCCGCTACTATGCGACTTGAGTGAAGCAAGATTCGCAACATCAGAGCATCAGTCAAACAAAGATCTCATCATGCCAGATCTATACAGAGCTCCAGAGGTCATACTAGGAATGCCGTGGAGTTATGAAGTGGACATATGGGGCTTTGGGATGATGGTATGTTTGTTCCTCTCAATCAGCTCAATCAGCAACCTGAAGAGGACGATAATAATGACTTCTTTGCATCCTAGCTCTGGGACCTCCTCGAACCCACACGACTTTTCGCTGCAAAAGGACCTGATGGAAGATACTCTGAAGCCCATCACCTCGCACAAATGATTGCCATGATGGGTCCGCCGCCTACAGGTTTCTTGGAGCGCTCAGACCATAGTGCAATGTACTTTGATCAGAAAGGTATGTCCAAGCTCTGCACGTCGAGCTCACTCAACAGTTCGTTGTGTCTAACACATCTCGAACAGGCCACTGGAAAGGCGGCATCGAGATCCCCGAAGACATGACTTTGGAGGCTGCAGAACAGAGACTGCAAGGTGAAGAGAAAGCACAATTCCTGAATTTGATGAGAAAGACGCTGCAGTGGAGACCGGAGGATCGATGTAGTATTGAGGATATCTACCTAGATGAGTGGATGATGGCTGATCTGATCACTTCGGGAGAAATCGTTTCCACATGCTCCTCCTTCCCGTCTTCATCTCCTCGTCTGCGATTCCGTCCCGGTCCAGTCTGTGATGCATTGTGAAGGAGTTGTGATAGACTTGTAGTGCTTCAGAGGTCAAAGTCACCGAGACTCGATATGTTCCTGGGTCCCCATCGATACTGGATCTTTCTTTCAAACATCCGTACTCTCTGATACTTTGCTACGTTCACAGTCAGCCTTGTGGACAACAATCTGGCTTTCGTCATACATTCCTGTCGAAGGCGATCCGCGGGTGCCACAGAAGTCTCATGTGCCAGATTATGCATGCCGTTCCGATATCCTACATATGAAGCATCAGTTCGCGTGCGGCTCGTGCAGCTGTCAAACAGCCCTGCAGATAGTCGGATGTGTCGGCGGTAAGTAGGGCATAGTCCTGCTCTCGTAGATATATCATAATGATCAATATATGGCATCTTCTACGGGTGTCCGGTATTGCATTTAGTGTATCAGTGTCCAATTCCTTCCTTGAGCAACAGTAGTGACGAGGTGCCATCCGCGACGTGCGGTCGCGCTTGTTGCCAAATCAATGTTAGCGGTGGCTTGTGCGATGGCATATGTCGATCATGTAGTCGTGCGACGGAGCCAAGGGCCTGGATCTCACTGCTTGTTTCACGCTGTTTGGATAGCATTGACGATCTTGCGGAGAGCGAGGCATATAGCTTTTTGCCAGTAGCCACGAGGTACAAAACTCGGCACATTGCCTACCTCTTTGGTACTGCACAGCTACGTGTACGGCCAGCGACGATGTGAGATGAGGTGTGCAAGTCGGAAGTGGATGACGCTCCCCGCGTGAGAAAGGGCTGTCACGAGTCGCGTGCCATCGGAATGATGAGGTGAGGTCGCAAGCTGGGCACAGCTAACTAATTGCCCTTTTTGCCCGATGGCGGGCTCACGATAGGATCCGCGCAGCCGTGACGACGATCCAACAAGTCGACAAGTCATGGCCCGGGGTGGGTGAGATCGCGAGAGCGGCACTGACCACGCACGGTGGACGGTTTGCTGGTTGCTTCCCCGTTTGAAGCGGCGTTGTGCAGATTGGAAAGCATAGCATTCCAGAAGAGGCACGAGAGCCCAAGGCGCTGGGAGGCAATACTGATGATCTCGGAGATGCGCAGGCGTTGTTTTTTGGGCGCATGTCCGGAGTGCAGATGCGCAGTAGCCGCGGCAGGTCGGTGGTTGAATCTCGTGTGCCAAAGTTAGACGGGCTCGAGCATGCATCGCCGTTGCTTGGAGGGTGTCGGTACAAGGAAGTTGCTGGCAGGTCGCAAATGGCTGCCCTTTCATTGACGCCCAAAGCGCGTCCGCATTGGCAGCGCAAGTGTGACGGTCTGGACGAGGCGACGCGCGTGTCAGTGGTGCTGCTGAAGCAAAAGGAAGTCAATTTGACGGCAATTTGAACGAGTCGGACGTCGCGACGGATGCCAAGTGCTCTCTTTGTTTCTTCTGCCTCGTTGTTGTTCGGAGCGGATTTGGCCTGATTGTGCGCTTGCATTCACCACTGCACGCGGCTGCTCGTTTGTGCTCGACTGCTAACTACTTGGAGCGTCGACCCGCGCCCGGCGCCAAACCACTTGCTCTCGACCCAGCTACCGCACTCTTGCTTCTCCCTCCCACGCACTCGCCTTCCGCGGTTCGCATCTGCACCGCTCGCTCGCTCGCTCGCCCGCCAAACACCGCCGCCACGGCTGGCTCCTGCTGCTAGCCTGAGACACTGCGCTGCTCTCGGTACGTACACTGCACTCTCTGCCTTGCCTTGCCTTGCCTTGCTCCCACCACAAGCGGTCAGCGGACTGTTCGTCGCTATCCGGCTCGTGACCATCCACCACCTTCACTCGCTTGCACATCAGCCCTCGAGCAGCCCTCTTCACGCCCGCACGAGCACGTCTTGCTTAGAGACTCTGCTTGCTTGCTTGCACCGCACGACGACGTTTGGAAAAAGGCGTGCTCGCGAGGCTGCCTTCTGCAGATCTGCTCCCGCCGCCCGATTGACGTCCTGTCTGCCTCCTCAGCCAGGCTCGCCCCGCAAAGGTTAGGCAAGCAAGCAGCGATTCGGCCCTCACCGCCCAACCTGCCCTGCCCTCAGCCTCTTACTCTCGCCCGCCGTCCTGCACCACTACCACTAACACCATCCACCACAGTCCCACCTCCACTTCGACCGCTCCCCGCTCGCTCTCGGTAGAAATACTGAGCAGCGCCGACCGTCGACCCTCGCAAAACCTTGCAAACCCCTCTTCGGAGGTCATAAATCAACATGACGACAATGGTACGCCGAGCCTCACCACACCCCTGCGACGACCGCGTCTCAAAAAACAGTCTGGAGGATGCATGTTGACACGAGGACAGGATCTCCGCGTGGGGAACAAATACAGAATCGGTCGCAAGATCGGTAGCGGCTCGTTCGGTGACATCTACCTGGGTATGACGATCATGAAGCCTGCTGCACGCAAAGAGGGAGTGCTGACGTGACCAGGCACCAATATCATTTCCGGCGAAGAGATTGCCATCAAGCTCGAGTCGGTCAAGGCGAAGCACCCACAGTTGGAATACGAAGCTCGCGTGTACAAGTCGTTGGCGGGTGGTGTTGGTATTCCGTTTGTGAGATGGTTCGGCACGGAATGCGACTACAACGCCATGGTCCTCGATCTCCTCGGACCTTCTCTCGAGGATCTCTTCAACTTCTGCAACCGCAAGTTCTCCCTCAAGACCGTCCTCCTCCTCGCCGATCAGCTCATCTCCCGCATCGAGTACATCCACGCAAAGAGCTTCATCCACCGCGATATCAAGCCCGACAACTTCCTCATGGGCATCGGCAAGCGCGGCAACCAGGTCAACGTGATCGATTTTGGTCTGGCCAAGAAGTACCGTGACCCCAAGACGCACTTCCACATCCCATACAGAGAGAACAAGAACCTGACTGGTACCGCTCGTTATGCCTCGATCAACACCCACCTGGGTGTCGGTAAGCCAGACCCAGCTCTCCTCTCGCCTATGCGCTTACTAACCATCTTCTAGAGCAATCTCGTCGCGATGACATGGAATCTCTCGGCTACGTCATGCTGTACTTCTGCCGCGGATCGCTCCCATGGCAAGGCCTGAAGGCGGCAACCAAGAAGCAGAAGTACGACCGCATTATGGAAAAGAAGATGACCACTCCGACTGAGGTCCTGTGCCGTGGCTTCCCCAACGAGTTCGCCATCTACCTCAACTACACCCGCAGCCTGCGTTTCGACGACAAGCCCGACTACTCCTACCTCCGCAAGATCTTCCGCGATCTTTTTGTCCGCGAAGGCTTCCAGTACGACTATGTGTTCGACTGGACTGTGTACAAGTACCAGAAGAACGCTCAGGCTATCGCTCAGGCCCAGGGCAACCAGAACGCGGCCGACGAAGCTGAGGAGAAGCCGGGCCGTAGGACTGGAGCTGCCACTCGTGGTACTACCGGCCAGCTCTCCAAGGACCGCACTGGTGCTGTTCCGCAGAGAGAGGGTTCCGGAATGTGAGTGCGCACATACACATAACCTGCCTCCGAACCTCCGTCTTGTAAGGCGCCTTCTCCTCTGCGTTCGTGATTTGTATACGCGCGAGGGGATAGAAGACTTGTGCTAACGACCGCTTCTGTTCTGACAGGCAACTTCGCAGTGCAAACAAGCGTGGCGCTGCTGATCAGCCCTACACTGGTTACTGAATGACGGACAGGCTCTCGGCGGGGCTGCCACTCACTCTCATCTCACGGACATCGTAGCAGGCATTGAGCAAGCAACGTTTGTCTATGCTTTGGATCTGGACCACGGACTGGACCTGGCAACACTTTCTTATCGGTATCTGGCACTAGTACACGGCTGTTTGATCGTTTCGCTTCTCGCATGGCTCAGCACAAGACAGGACGATGCTTTGCGCAATCGATCGTGTTTTGAAACATGCAGCCTTGGAGAAGCGAAGACGAATGACTTGCAATATTTCAACTTGCAGCAACACACAGTCTTCTGGCAGTGTCACTCGGCAGGGTTTTTGGCGATCCTCTTCAACATGAAGCGACCAAGCTGGACTCTCCTGCAGGCGTGGAGCCACCGATAATCACCCTTTTCCTATCTTACGAATCGACCCGACTTCCCATTTGGACGATAAAAAACGACAAAAATAAACTTATTACACGATTTCCTTTGGCGTTTCTTTCTGGACTCTTTGGACTTCACCTGCTCCGTATGTCTTCCTATAGTTTTTTGGTTTTCCGCGCGACGAGCGGAGGAGATAATGGCTTCGAGATTGTAAAGGGTACGCGAGGGGAGGTTTTTGTGCGTACGAACATTAGGGGACGAGGGGTTCTCTTTTCTATGCGAAGCGTCGCCAGGAGGGCAGCGCGTTGGGCTTTTCACGGGCCCGGCGGAGCATGTTGCAAGGAGAGGCGTGTGAGCATGGAATAGGGGAGTGCTGCGGCGAGAGTTGGTTTCCCTGATTTTGGCTGAGCACGGTGTTTGTTCTTGATTTTGTGCTGCGTTCTGCGTGCTGGATAGTGTGGTAATACAATTGTGTTGCCGCCATTCTCGTCTTCCATCAAAATGTCGCTAATTCGAATATGTGATGTGCACTTGTCAACGCAGAGACTGAACCTTACCCACCCTGGACGGACACGAGAGTTGAGTTGATGTGCTGTCTTTCCAACAGACGAGCGGAGTGTACATATTTGCCGCGATGGATTAGGCCCTGACATCGTAGTTTTACATATCATCGTTTCACCAGTCATCGTCGTCCATCGATGCATCATCACCAGCCACCAACGTAGCATTCTTCCGTCTGCCATTTCCCATTGCCTTCTTATCCCTCTTATCCCTGATCCCCTTAACCTTCTGCCTCCCACTCCTCAAATTCCCACCTTTCATCGCAGCTACTTTTCCTTCTTTCGAGGCATTGCTCACCACCCTCCCAAACTCATCTACACCCACATCAGGCACACCCTGCAAATCAACTTTCATGCGTTTCTTCTTTTCTTTCTTCGAATTTTTGACAAGCTTCGCATCCATGTCTCCTGTGATATCGCGCGGTTTGGCTTTGACGTTCCTAGGAACGCGAGTTTTGGCTCCGAGGGCCCAGAGGTCACCCCAGTTGACTTTGCGAGCGTCGCGGAAGGCTTGTTTGCTGAAGGAGCGGGGGACGGTCCAGCGTTCGAGGGTTCCTGAGGGGGTGCA